CCGCATTCGGATTCAAATTCAAATGCAATTCAATACGTTTTATGCACATACACAAATCACACCAAGACCAGCCTCAAATTGCGGAAAACTAGATGCGCCGAGCCACTAATGTGGGCACCGATCCGATCGAATCCCTTCCTTCAGCGCGCATTGTCACGTAATCGACCGACCACAACATTAGGACTTCTGGTTTGGATTGGAGGGATTGCTTTCTGAGGGAGCTATGTATATTTAAAAAAGAATACGCCGTCCCTAAGAACAATTACCCACTTTCCACACCCATGTGCGAGAATACGTGCCCCGGAAATGGTGTCCTGTTGCATTTTCTATGCCACCTCGCATAATTATATTGGCTGTCAGCTGAGATTCCCAGCAGCCCGCCGTGCGAATGATGCAGAGCCACCAAACCAGACCAGAAAGTCTCGACTTCTGGGCCAACTCCTCCCCCGCATAACTCTCTGCTAACCAACTGGAGCATGTCGTTGTTTTCAGCTTGGAGTTTTCGGTTGCTGGGTTGGAACTGCATGCGCACCACCCTGCCAACCTGGCGGAGGTTCTCAAGCATACGCGTGCTTGCGTCGCATTTATTCTCTCGGATCTGGGTACTTCCTCCTGCCAGACGCCCCTTTCTCCTCGGATGCCTCATTGTTAATTACACATTCAAAATTTTAACAAAAACCCACTTCAAAGTCATCATCATCATCGCCAGCTGGGGAATTTGTGCCTGTTCGGTTTGGCGCCATAGATAGTTGATAGTTGATGGTTGGTAGTCGGTGGGGGAGTGATAAACACTTGAACAAAAGAATGGAAAGACCTCAACGTCAAAAAGGGTGTATTATTCAGTTCTGACAAGGAGCTCGAGAACCTAAAAGACAGGGGATTGTCAAAGATTGTATCTAAAGCTCAGATCATTAAAGTGACACATTGGGCCTATTTTCTTCAAAAGGAATACTTCCCAAATCGATTTAAGCCATCCAATTATTTTGATTATTGTGAGTTACTTGAAACTCTTCCTCTATTTTTCCCTCTGTGTAACCAACTGGAATACCAACAGGAAGTGCAGCCTTTAAATGGAAATAACAACTTCAAAATTGTCCACTTAGGTGACGAAGTGCCCCGCCAAAGACTCGACTGGCTTATTCAAATCTGATTCATGCACGAAGCACTTGCCATACCGATCCAGATGTGGATCCCTCCTCCGCAGCCTCCATTCATTATTTCTGCATTATTTTACAATGAGTGCCGGGGGGACTATTTCTGCCGGCTCCCCCACAGAGGGGCTGACTTCAATTGAAGCGACACCGGAGATGCGCCCACTGCTGCCTCTGCTGCTTAGTTTCTTATAAATATGCACGGGCATATCACGATGATGATGACATGGGGCATGGAGCACCACCCTTCCTGCAAGCTGCTCGCTGCATCCATAATTCATTGCCTTCGTGCGTTGCAATATCTCCCTCCCGCCCCTGCTGACTTTTTGAAGATGCAAAGTCCGGGGCTACATCTGGGTGTCTGGGTGTCGTCAATGCCATTTGAAAGCCAAGCTCGGGAGTCGTTTGGCCATTCATGTGAAACACAAGCCCGGGCTAATTGCTCGGGCCTGAACCTGTCTTGCCCGAAATTAAATCTACCACATGCATCCGCTCTTGGTTCGAGGCCATTCACTGCCTAGTAACTGCCTTGGACTGATTCTTCGCCAGGGAGGAGAAGAACCCAACAATGCTCTTTTTTGTGTTCTGCGCCCGAGGGTTCGGTCGAATTCGTTTTCATTTTCCCGCTGGGCAGCTGACAGGCCAGTCCCGTACTTAAGGTCCCGGCCCCCTATGCCCTCTGCTGGCTGGGCACAATTTCTGGAACTGGCAAATGGGAATAGAACTGTGCCACACCTCCCGGTTTATTGTCGCTCGTCAGGCAACTGTTTGGCGGCCTGTTTATAGTACTGTTAGAAGAAAGAAGTCTTGTTGTACCAATAATTACAGGGGATCTCTTCGTGTGCGTTCTCTCCCCTGCTTTACGTAATTCCTAGATCCTAGGCCCTTGATTGCCGCATGATTGTCGTTTCAATAAAGGCCCGTAGTTCTCTCCAACAATGCCCCGTGAGGTGATCAATCGGAGGCCAAAGAGGTTCGATTTAAGGGACTGGTTGGGGAAGAACTTAAAGACCCTGAATCAGCATAACCTATTGTGTCTCTATGTCTGTAGTTTGGATGCTTCTCCTTCTCAGATTGTAGGGGATAAAGCTTCTATAGTATATCTGTGGAAGTGAGAAATACTGCATAACGTTTACAGCTTTCCCTGCAAGCAGAATTGCTATGGCTTCTAAGTAGGTTTTTATGTTCTCGAGGTGGGTGCCTTGTTTGTTCAATAATAATTTTATGCCGTGTACTAGCCATAGCCATTCAATTTGATCCGGTGATAAATTAAGCCAATTTGTTGCCAGCTGAGTCATGCTGGTCGCAGAGGAACAGCAACGTGTTGATTGCCAGCATTTGCCTGGAATTTGCGGATCGGGACAACTTAGACACGCTCTCGCCATGAGGTTTTCTAAAAAAAGTGTAAGTGGTAGGGCGGGCCACCAACTCCTATCTCCCAAGCCCGCTCCCGTGGTTCTTATTGCACCGCCCAGCCCGGCACAGGTAGCGCTCCTCCTGAATGGCTGTTCTGGTCTGCGAAACCTACCTGTTCGCTTGCGAAAACGAAAAATTGCAACCCGCCTGGCCGAGTCAGGAAACCGGTTTGCGCTGCAATGCCATTCCAGTTCCTGGCATTGCATCTGCCTTTGGTCAAGCCGCGCATTTCGGTATGCAGATTCCCGGCCGTGGTGCGGTGGTTTTCATGGTCGCAGCCCCAACCTTGAGATACATTTCCACTTTTGAGGAAACCACAAATCTCAGCACCTGCAAGTGCACCTGGATACCAGCCGGCCCTAAACTCTAGCAGTGCCTGAACATCCTGTGTAAGTGCGTTGGAGTTTCCTTTTTACAAGAGGAGCCTTTTGTGTTTCCGGGGACATATCAATTTTCAGCCTTCGAGTATTTCCGCGTTTCCTCCACCGAAATAGCAGAGTCCTCTGTTTGTTTGATTGTCGAGCCTGGACTGAGAATGTCTCAGGGCCCTTGAGAGTCCTACTTGTGAGGAGCTAGGCCCTTCCACGCTATGATTTGCAGGGCCAGGAGATAGATCACGTCCTTGTAAAATATGAAATATTGGTGTTGGCCACACGCCAATCCGTCAGGGGTTGCAGTGCCGAGTGCACAAAGGACTCCCGAAACCGGTTCCGCGCCATTGGAAGCGGCAGATGTTTCCTTCGCAGGCTATCCTTCCTTGAGTCCGACCTGCCGCATTTGAGTGACTCCTTGAGCCGCAGCAGCAGCTGAATGCGAGTCTATTCTTCGGGCAGGGCTGGAGAACATCCAAATAGCAGCTGTCGCAGGCCCGACTCTCACTCAAAGTCCTTCCCTTATTTTGTGCCGCTTAGAGGGGTGGGAGGCAGCCCGTTTGAGTGCAATGCACCGGGAAACACACACCCTGCTGCTGCCAGCGACTCAGGATCAGTCTGCCCCGGAACGCGAACGGAATAGACACGCGAACGCGGAATGAAACTGAGTTAGAACCCGAACTTTGACTTGAAGAAGCTGACCCTGTGTTTGTGCAACAGTTCCGATTATGGTCACATACCACGTGCGAACCAACCTCACACAGTTCAGTGTCGCCAAAATAGAGAACATGAACAGCTCCCGAAAGCCGATTAGGAGCCACGCCTGGCACCACAGCCAGCCCCGGAAGCCCCGGTCGGTGGGCGTGGAGAGGCGCCTCGCCAAGACATTGCAACGGTGAGGCAACACTATCCTTCCCAAACTGGAGCACTGCAGCTCAATCAAGACGTCAATCAGCCTCAATCACTCAGATTGCAGCTGTGCGTCAAATCACCTCAAAGTGAAGATGCCGACTTTTGCCAACAGCTTCCCACCAAAGAGTGCACTGACAGAAACTAGCTATGGGACTAACAAGAGATTTAATAACCCACAGATTCTTTCTTCTGTTTGGAACTACATTTCCATCAAGCTTAATCTAAAATTTAAGATCTAAGAGGGGCCTTTCTACCAGTTTCCAGATGGTTCTCCCTGTGGTGGGCATTTGATACTCTTCCTTCTACATCTCTTTCAAAGAAATCTTTAGAAAGCCTAAATGGTCCTGGCATTTGTTCCTTGTGCAGCCTTGCACCGCTCTGACTGCATTCCTTCACGCATCCCCAGATTTAATCCGTTTTTTGTTCTGAGCACGAAAATACCCTCCCAGCGCTGAGGTCTTCCCTGGCCAGGCCGGAGGAATGCTGCGCCAAGCCGAGGAAATTCAGAGACACCGCAGGCGAAAACTATGCGCTCCTGGCAGCCATCCCTCTCTGCCGTTCCCCCTCCTCTGGCCAGTGTCCTGTTGATTCCCAATGCCACGACCTCGGCATTTCCCTGCGCCTTTTAGGGCCTGTGTCTGTGTCTCTGTTTGCTTGCCTTGCGAGCCGGAATTCCCAGAATTTATAGTGTTTGCTTACAATAAGCATACGGAAACAGAATTGGCCAGGTTTGCCTTAGATTTGGATTTGGATTTGGTTTTCTTTGAGCGGTCCGCTTTGGCTTACCTTCGGGAAAGGAATCCTTTTTCTTTACAACCACTTTCCCAGCCACTTGCCTGGCCAGGGTCGAGGGGTACCTGCACTAACGACTCTGCCGCATTTTCACACGCAGGACGAGCTCCTGAGGCTGTAGCGCAACCTTATATCACGGACTCGGCGAAATGAGATGCCGGGGAGGGGTTCTCTGAATTCGCTGAATTTTTACGATCTAAACACCCCTTTAGCCTTTGCCGGGCTGGCTAATGAGGGGATACACAATGGCCAGAATGGACGGGAGGAGGTCAGGTAGCGGCGCTAAGTTTTGCATAATTCGCGGCGGGAGGCTACCGTGCGATTGTTGACTAATAGTTTCCACTTTGTGTCTTTGCAGAATGCCAAAAAGCGGAAGTCAAGGAGCCAGGAGCAACAGCGTCTTTGCCGTGGGACTGGTAAGTTCTAATACTCTAATACTCGGCTTAATGGCTTTCGGGTTAAGCACGGTTCCTGGGAATCTCGGAAACTAATGAAACAGTTGGGCACTTTGGAGGCATATGCCTGCCCACATGACGAGTGACAAGCAGGACCCTCAAGTGGTTCGATAGTATCGCATTACTCGGCAGCTGGCATTGTTTTCCTGCCCGAATTTAAATTGATTTATTTCGGCTGAGCGACTGCGACAGCTGCGATTTGTATACAAATGTTTAGTTTTTGTCACACGCTCCGTCCGTTTGCTCCTCTTCTCCATCGGCTGAGCAGGGCTGAGGTCACAACAAGCATGCTCTTCCCTTTTGGGTGCTGGGTGCTGGGTCTGGGTGGAAGGAGCCCCGAGCTGGATGCACTTGGAATGCTTTTAGGGGTGCAAGTCGGTTTATCGCGGCCCTCCCCTTCGCTGTTAAGTAGCGCCCGGCTGTAAAGCTCTTCCATAAAACCTACACTACTTTAATATGTGCATCTGTTGTAACTCCGTCCACTGGCAACTTGAACCCCTAAAAGTTTTACAGCCGAAGCTCAACTAATTAAACTCAATTTTACGACGCGGGTATATAAAGTTTGGAAAGAGCATCGTCTATTTAAAGACTCGCTTTCACTGGGGATGGTTTGGAGGTTGGATGCACTGGAGCTGGAGTCATCCATCCATTCAATTCCAACCGGCAGCTGGCAACTGGCAAGGTGGCAGTTGTCAGAGTTCAATAGACTGATTGCCTGCCCCTGGACTACGATAGAGTTCCTCCAATAGCCTTTTCTTTTTATATAAGACGTTTATGTCAATGTGGAGATCCCATTACAAAACTATCAATGCCGCAACCGCAAAGACATGCTATGGGATGCCCTGCTCTGCTCGCCGGGAGAGTCATGAACTGAAGCCCGTGAAAGCTCCCGAAATCCGATCCCATGTAGAGGAGGTCCAGGAGAAGGGGAGGCAGCAATCAGCCAGGCAGGCTGAGGACAGAAACAGGGTCGCCAATTTAATTTTGGACTCGGTAATGGCAACCGCAAGGACCTCTTCTGACAGCTCATTAAATTCAAAAGACAGTGAGCTGGGAAGCGGTGGCGAGGCGACGAAGAACACATGTTTCCGGCTCTATTTGTTTTCTTTTCCGGACTTTTCTTTTTTAGCCGCCGTTAAATCCGGCCGCTCAAGTCTCTAATGCTTTCTGTATGCAAATGTTGTCGAAATGTGTTTTTAAATCACTTGAGACCGGAGACCGTGGCCGGGCCGGGCCGGGTCCGGGTCCGGGTCGGAGGCCTAGGAGTTACCGCTTTAGGGTCTTATCCCAGCCATCTTCCGGCCCTTCTGCTGCTGCTCGTGTTTACATTTCCACGATGTTGTCGAAGTTCATTGCGCCCATAAATACAACTTTTTAATGTTTCTTCCACCTTAAACACCGGAGCTGAAGTGGCTGTCTGTGAGTGGAGTCTGTCTATGCGTGACATTCGATTCACGTGTGAATCTCTCAATTGGCTCGAAGCAGCGACTTCTAGCTGGGAATCAGTGCACCTCCCCAACCACCCTGTCCATATATAGACTTTAATCTGTATCGGATGGATTTACAGCATGCAGCGCAGCGTCACTCACCATTTCCTTGAACTCTCAAAAAAACACATGCCCTTGGATTTGGTGGAAAAACTAGCAGACCTAGCCACGTCTAGGTTTTTCGTTTTCCAGAAAGTGATTAATGTAAAACCCTGTAGATGGAGTTTCAGATTGTGATGGGAACAGCGATTCGGAGGAACGTTTCAATCAATCATTGGGCCGGACGACGCAAATTAATTGAATCCCTGCTGATACTGTCAGTGGACTTGAGTTTATACCTCCATGTTCGGCAGTTTCATTTCTCAAGAGCCCTGGTAATTGGAGCTCTAACTATCACACAAGTCTTCCATTCACATTCAACCGAGCCCTTCCTATCAGAGGTAGTATCCCGATTGAGTTACAAAGTTAGACCTTTTAATTAATTGAAACTATTAGAACAATCGGCCCATTCTTAGAGGGCTAAGCTGGGAACAATTCATAAGCCCGTTCCTAAGCCGATTAAAATCCTGGCCGGGACAATGGCGAACCGGGTCCTACGCCCGGCCGGACAGGTAGTGGAAGGTCGCGGGGCAAGAAAACCCATCACGCAACACAAAGCTTCTCGGGCCAGGTCCGACTGGATGCAGTTTGACATTGGTCTGCCCGGACAATGGACAATGGAGCAGGGATTGACCTAGGACAGGGAACAATGACGCCTCAAGTAGCGGCAGTCAGCGGCTCGTGTCATTCCTGTGCTAATCTAATCAGTCCACTTCAATCCAGACTCGAATCCAAGGGCCATTATGTCCCTTTTGAATACGACGATACCATCTCTGGGCACAATGGTGTGGTGCAGTCCAACCCAAAGCCCTCACGACCGGACGACGACACCGCCGACGACAGCACTCTAGAGCACTCAGTCCCCAGTCCCCAGTCAGCAGTCAGCAGTTGGCATTCGCATTCCCATTTGCAAGTCTATCGCAATCAGTTATTATTTATCGCTTCGGCCGGTTACACCTGCTCGCGGTCTCCTCCAGATCGGATCGGTGCGGTGCGTTCGGTTTGGATCGGGGCCAGTCGGCGGGGCGGCGGACAGCCATGAAGAAGCTGATAATACCCACGCTTATGGACACCTATGGCCTGATTAAGTTCTGGGATTTCGACACAGGCGCCCCCGGCAGTGGCAGTGGCAGCGGGAGTGTGTCGCAATCCAGGAACTTTGCTGCTGGTCCGCTGCTGGCCGAAGACTCGATGCCCGGCGAGGGTCGTCGCCACCAGTACCGGTGGAGAAGACCTCGCCTGCTCCAGGTCAGCTACCATTATCGATTCGCGATAAGTGCCCCCCAACTACCCTTTTCCGCTTCCCAACTGCCTCCCCCAACTACCCTTTTCCAAAGCAAACACATTTGAAACTCATTTCACTCGAATGTCAAAACGAGAAGCTATAGACCCGATAAAAAATTGGAGACATAAATACCCGATCCCGACTGCGTCTGTGCTAGTGCTAGTGCGAGTGTGTGTGTGTCTGTTGCCGTGGGCCGCGGCTATGATCGTCACATGTCAGTAAGGCAGATCTCCGCCAGGAAGAAGTAGTCGTCCAACCCCATCCGAACCTCCATCCCAAATCCCAATAGCACCAACAGTTCCCATTTCGTCACATGCCATGGTGTGGAATCCGAAGCCCTCACAGTCATAATCGCGCTCTGGAACCATTAAAATTCTTGTGACATTCCAACCACCACACAGACCTCGGCCACAGACACATGCACCGCGGCCACATCCAGTGGTTGTTGTCATAGGCACCTCGTTATTGTTTCCCCCCACTACACTACTATAAACAAAACCCAAGCGAAATGATAAGATTTTTGTGGTTTCGCGTGCGAAGGAGCCGAGTCACCTCGGTATCATCACCGAAGCAATACGTAAGGGAGCCGAGATGGTCGATAAATAATCAATGAATCATGTGATTACAATAATCTAATAGTGCCTCCCTCTTTCTTGTCCCTCTTGTTCCAGTCGCAGCAGATGCGGGCCGTTTCCAGTCCCACGCTCTCGGAGCCACCACCAACATCGCAGCCGAAGCCGAATCCCAAGCCAGACGAGGGCTCGGAAGCGGCGACAGGAAGCACAAACGCCGGCGGAGGAAGCGGCGGTGGAGGTCTGGGCGTTCTCCAGAAGTTCAAGCGGACGTTCAACAACTTCAATAACAAAAATCAGCTCAACATTAGTCCTTTGCCTCCATCGGCCGGCAGCCAGGCGAAGGGCAAATCCTCGCCCACGACGACAACACCCATTGTGTCCATCACGGCGCCTCCTCCCGCCAACGCCGCCACAGGCGCCACAGTCGCCAACGAACCTGTAAATGATGGGGGTGACGGGAGCTCTGGCAAATACCGATTTGGGCCCCTCATTTGGCGCACCTCCAAGGAGCGGCGGAAGACCAAGTTCAATCGACGAGACAAGTGCAACTCCGGCGACTCGGGCATTCAGATTGAGCTCGAGCAGGATGAGCACTATTCCAGAGTGCTGGCCATTGGCAATGGCCAGGGGGGCGACAGGGCCTCGGCCCCTGTCAGCGGGTGCTCTGGACAGGCTGGTGCCGACGCCAAAATCCGATCCATTAGGCGCACCAACTCGGCCAAGGCCAGCAGCCTGCTTGGACGTGGACCCATCGCTCTGAAATCCAGAAATGCCAAGCTGCTGAACGAGAAAACAGAACGCGAGGCCCCCGAGTCGCTGCCCACTCGCTCCCTGAGTCAGCCGAACGGCCTGGAGACCTATGGAATGGGAGGGCGTCCGGAGGCGGAGGACAGCGACAGCGACAGCGTGGCATCGCACGAAGAAGGTAGGTTGGGGATAACACAATAAGAAAGTAGCATTTCCACTAATGGACGTCCCTTTGGTATCCACAGCTGTCAGCTACTATACCACCATCTACGCCGAGGTGCTTTATAACTTCACGGCCGGCGGGCCACAGGAGCTGGGCCTGGAGCGGGGCATGCTCATCGAGATTCTGCGCAAGGAGGTCGGACCCTGGTGGTTCGGACGCATCAAGAAGGAAGAGACCAACCTCGTGGAGGAGATACTCGATCCCGAGCTGGGCTGGTTCCCCAAAGAGTTTGTGCGCATTATTCACTGTCCGGAGACCGATGTGTTTTTCAATGCGCACCGTGCGGCCGCCGCCGAAGCAGCAGCTGCCGAGGAGGAGGCCGCAGCAGCCGTGGCGGGTTCTGGCGGGGAGGCCACTAGCAACACCATACCCATTCCAGTGGCGGCCTTCGACCAGGACGCCGAGGCGACTGGAAACGGAGATGGGGACCTCGATGTCACCGTAACCACTGACCAAAGCAACATCACCACCATAGTCATTGAATCGCCACCCAATCCCCTGAGCTCCAATGGGCCTCTGGACCAGGACAACATCCTGCGCCGCAGTGCTGTGCGCGAACTGCTCGAAACTGAGGTGAACTATGTCAAGCTGCTGGCCTCCATCTGCGATGGGTAAGTTGAGGCATCAACCATACTCTTCTGGCCTTTGGATAACCTTTCGTCTTCGCCTACAGATATCTGCCCGCCATGAGCAAGCGCATCGATATATTCTCGCCCAACAGTATTCGCCTGATCTTCTCCAACATATCAGCCATCTACAAGTTCCAGCGAAAGTTTCTGGAGGCCCTGCGTCGCGGAATCGAGCAGAACCAGATTGCCAAGGTGTTTCTCAAAATGGTAAGCACCCTTTGCAAGGATTTCATAAAGCAAACTTACTTTATTTTCCACCATTCTATAGCACAAAGGCTTCCTATGCTACTCCACCTACTGCAATGCCTATCCTCGCGCATTGATCGAGCTCGAGTCCTACGATCGCGTCAAGGATGCACGCACCATACTGGAAAAGTAAGAAACCTCCCACACCCCTTACTAAAATTATGTACTAACTGGGATTTCCTCTCCCTCCAGCTGTCGCGAGTCGGAGAACCTGGCTGAGTTGCCCCTGTCCGCCCACCTCTTGGCTCCCGTCCAACGGATCTGCCGATATCCTTTGCATCTGAACGAGATCATCAAGTCGGCTCTGGCCAGTTGTCCAGCTGCTGGCCAGGCCGGACCAGATGCCGATGAAGTGGATGGAAGCGATCAAGTCAAGCCGACACCCGCTGACTACGAGCAGATGGACATCAGCGAACTGGACGTCCCGGACACCCACGAGGTGGTCAACCAGGCCTTGGACGCGATGCGAGGCATCACTGAGGCCGTCAACGAAGGCAAGCGCCACAGCGAGACGATTGCCCGGCACCAGGCCAGCTTCCAGAACTTCAAGGGCCCGCCACTTCACCTGCACAGCGCCCGCTTCTTCCTTCAGGTTGATGCCACGCGCCAGAAACAGAACCTGTGGAACAGTAGCTGCACCCTGTTCTTGTTCGATAACCAGCTGGTCTACTGCAAGCGGGACATCATCAAGCGGAGTCACTTCATCTACAAGGGACGCATCTTCCTCGACCGCTGTCGCGTGGTCAATGTACGTGATGGCAAGATGTTTGGACACACGATTAAGAATTCCCTACGCATTTACTGCGAGTCCCGCGATAAGTGGTACGACTTCAGCTTCCGGTCGGCGAACCGGAAACACCGGTTTCTGAGCACCCTCGCCTTGGAGCGGCAATTCGGAGGCAAGGCGTTGTACGTGTCGGAAATGACGGGCTTCGAGTACAACTACGATGAGCGACCCGGCGATTGCTCCGATCAGTCGGACTACGAGGCGCCGGAATTCGAACATGCCGGCGGAGGTGCCACCTCGGCCAGTGGGGACAGCTCGGTGCCGGAATCACCAGCCAAATCGACGTCCCGTCTGTGCGAAACGCTCCCCAAGAAGTCGCAGTCGCGGGACGGCATCGCCAGCGCCAATACCAGTGCAGACAACTCCACGACATCCACGGGCTCGCTGGGCAGGCGGCGCATTGGGAATTGGTTCCGTAAGCCGAAGAGCACCAACTGCACGCCCAGCCAGTCGCCGACGCACAAGCCGAGCTTCGATGCGGACGAAACCCTGACAGAGGCCCGGGTGGCCGCCATGGAGCTGGCTGAGGCCGCTGCGGCGCTTATCCCCACGGACAGCTCGTCGGCATAAGGAGTCGCTGCCGGTGTCGGTGTCGGTCGGAAACCAAAATGAATCGCAATATCATAACCCCAGCTAAACAATACATTCAAATATGTACTCGACGCATACAAGATATAAAAATAATATTTGTTATCATAATATTAATTGCCTTTAATCGCATCCAACCAGAGTCGCAGGGAGTCGAATGAGTGTTACATTCTGAATTGAATTTTAGCGTAAAATTTAATTTTCCTTCTCGTTTTTTTGTTTTGATATATATATTTAGCATTATGTTCGATTTGTTGTAACCGAATGGAAGTCGTTTGTCCTTAAGTCTGTTCCAGGTCCAAACGTTAATTGGAACTTTAGATTAACCTACCCAGAACATCAGACCATGTATACTTCTGGCATTTCAATGCGGTTTTGTTAAAAAGCAAAAAAGTCGCCGACTGCTAGTCTAAAAAACCCTATTACCTGTCCATATACTTGTAAATCTAGGTTACGTGATAAGTCGATAATAATAAACACCCGCAAAATATGATGTGAAGATTTCTGTTTGTGCTCCTGCTCCGCTCAAGCCACCCCAAGCTGAATAGAAAACTACCCACAGAATTGATATTGTATTAACGATTAAAAGATGCGTTTTAGAAACGCAGCACCTTTTAGCCAGAACGACTACAAGAACTCTATCTTTGTACTTGATGTGTATTGTATTGGAAATAGTGCTGCTACCAATGGCATTTGTTAATGTTTTTTGTTAGGCCACAGCCCAGTAAGGGGTGTATATGTATTCAATGTTGAAGGTTACCCCACTCATGAGAGAAACATATTAATTAAAATTATTGTAGCTTTCAGTAATGGAACAACAAATATTGCATTCGTATTGCAGAAACGTTATGATATTGTACTATATAGAAATCGGTAGATTGTCAATTCGAACACAGATCTAAAACAATATTAGCAAATGCAACAAAACAATTGAGCGAATTTAATTTTTTCTAAAGAGAAACTCGTATGTATCCCAATTAGTATTTAACTGTTGCCCAGTTGGCAAGTTGGATTAGTTGAACTTTTTAAAGACAACATAAGTTAATCAAAAGATTCGTTAAGCAATTTACTATTTAATAGACTTTGCCAAAAGGGAAGATAAGAAAACTGATTGGTTTTTACAAAAACAATTATTAACTGATATTTCCTCTGTAAAAACTGCGGAAACCATAAATTCTAAACCGAGTCCTGCACACCACGCTACGACACAATATACAAAACTATAACGAGTGCTGAATGTAATCAGGACTTAAAGCTTAACAAATAGACAGATACTCTTTTTGTTAAGCTTTTTTTCAAGAGAAACAAGATAAACAGATTGGGATAATTGACTTTTTGAAAACGCTTCGCCGAACACATTTGTACAAAAATGGCAAGCGCTGAGTATGATTAGAATGGAAATCGAAAGTCGTGCTCGTAACTTTAACCGGAAACACTACCGTATACATTTAGCAGCCAAATATGCTCCATATGCCAAATAAACAAACATATATTTATCCAAAAACATGTTTTTTAATTTATTCGAAAATTCTTTTCAGAAATCTGAAGCCGCCATTTTTCAAATTAACAGTGGACTGTTAGTCGCTGTTAATGGTATTTTGCAGTATTTTTATTTAAACGCCTAGAGGGATTTAGCGTGGCTTCGAAAACGACCACACTATTGTTGAGGATCATGGTAAATTAAGTTTGGAAACATAAACATTTAATTTATCGCGGAGCCTGGCTTGTATTAACCAAAACCGACTGCAGTTATGCTAGCTAGGGACCGGACCTGCTGCTGAAAGTGTTCGCATACTACGATGCACAGTCTCAGCGGAGCAAGCAAAGTTGTGGCCACTCTCCGCGCGGACGGAAATGTGTATCCGATGGAGCACTCCAACCTGCTCCACTATGAAATTGTAAGTGGGCGAACTGAGCTCGATTCCGAACCTCACTAATCACGTATTGGCTTCCAGCGCACCGAGGGCGAGGTCCAACAGAAGAAGGGAAACTTGCAGGGACCCGCCACGGGCGTGGACCTGGGCAAACAGCTGCTCCAGTACGCGAGGGACAACGATGTAAATGGCGTGAAGTCTGCGCTGTCCCACGGAGCGCCGTTTGCATCCGACTGGCTGGGCATGTCAGCGCTTCACTTTGCGGCCATGAACAACCAGTTGGAAATATGCGAGATTCTGCTGCAGGGCGGCATTAATGTCGAGTCCAAGACGAAGGTGGACCGGACGCCGTTGCACCTGGCCTGTTATTACGGCCATGAAAGGGTAGTCAGCCTGCTTTTGGCGTTGAAGTGCAGCGTCAACCCGCGCGACATGGTGAGAATTTTATAAAGTTCGGCGTCGGCCCTGCCACAGCTTATCTAACCCGCATGTTTCCTCTCGCCCCACCAAGCTCCGCATGACACCACTTCACTGGGCCGTGGAGAAGAGGCACAAAGGTATCGTTCGCTTGCTACTGAAGCATCACGCGGATGTCACTGTGGTCTCCAAGTTCGGCAAGACGCCAATCGGACTGGCCGTGTACACGGAACAGGCGGATGTTTTAACGGAACTGGAGTCGGCGCGACAGGCGCAAGCCAACCGGAAGTACAAAGAAGAGTCGGAGGTGAGTAAGCGAAGATGGTTGGCTTGGTGTGGATAGTTAGTGATAGTCACAGATTAGACCTTACGCCTACTCATACAATAATTTACAATTTCTTGCTGCCGATGGCTTCTCTGCGCTTCGGAACTCCAGCGTCAGACGCATTCGAGCAAAGTATGTATCATGGATAACTTTTCATATTTACATAGAACAGCATTGTCCTCAAATCCCTATTGTCCCAAAATGACTAACATCCTGTTCGAGCTGTCAAACTAAAATAATTAGTTTTTATGTTAAAAAAAATATAAAAGCTAAAATTCTCAATATTTTCACAGAAAGAAACCAGCGAAGCTGTCAATTCTATAATGGGCGAGACGGAAGTCAAAAAACCTCCGGACGATAAGGAAATGTCTGTGGAGGAACGAATGGATGTTCTGGAAACATTGCGGGGGCGTAAGTAGACCGTGCTAAAATCGGTTAAGAATAACCCTTTTCACCATCTTAGATACCAATGTGCTGGGGAACTCTGCCCTGAACATGCTGAAAACTCATGGAATAGCAGACATGATGCAGGAAAACGATGACGAAGCCTCCAAGGAAATGCTAAACACTGCCCTGCAAAACGGCCGCCAACTGGTCCTCTCCGAGGGTGGCCGCATGGTGCTGCACGAAACGAAGGCGGGCCTTGGTGTCGGCACTACGAAGCAATATGTTAACGGATCGGGCGCCAGAAAACCCGCCGGTATAGCCCTCCGACCTAACGTTAATAATTCAACGTCCCCCCAAAAAATTCGAATGAACGTGATCAAGCAAAAGGAACCTACGGCCCCTACTCCGGCGGGGGTTTCCAAAAACAAGGTATAGTGTTTTTGGGTTTATTCATCCATAACACGTTTAATCGTTACTTTGCTTTCAGAATATACGCATAATCTCGTTGACTGATTTTAAGAAGCTCTGCGGATCGGACAATCAGCCAAAGTCCCTGCAAAAAATACCCGCAACTCTGGCAAGGTAAGCCCTAGAAAAATACCCATCTTTTCGTATACTCATACCTGAATATTCCCTCCATTTTAGCTCTGGAATGGTGCGCCAACTGCCCGACGGTACGAAACTGGTCAACATGCGGCACCTTCAGTCTCGACAGGTTTGTGGTGGCGTTGCAATGTCTCTCCTAGTTCTAAGATTTTAGTTTGACTTAAGTCCTCTTTCTAGCTAAGTTAATTCATATTCGTATGCAAAAGATGAATCATTGGCGTCTTTTTTAATTTTAGCTAAAGCTTCCATCCCTGCCAAGGGCCCACGCCCAAGATGCCACGAATGCGGACGAACCCCTTACTGAGTCACAGCCTGGTTCTAACCCCGCGAGTACGCTACGAGGTCAAGTAGGCACCGTGCAGACGATACAGCTGCGACCCCCAACGACGAGCAGTGGCCAGGGGCCGGCAAACAACGGAGTGTCTGGCAGCAAAGGGATCGGTAGTGCGGGAAAACTGGCGGCAGCCAAAGCCCCCAACGTAATGCCACTGCTGACTTCCTCCGAAATCTGCCGCCAGCTCCACGAACTTCGGCGTCAAAACGAAGACCTCCGCCGACGCCTCGACACACAGCAGCGGGAAAAGGAGGAAATAATGAGACGCTTGGACCGCTTAGAACAACTGGTGCTTCTCCGCGAGCCTGAGGCGGACTACACGGAGGAATTGTAATTAGAACTAAGATAGATTTGTACATAAATGTAGACCGTAGTAGTACAGTGGTAACGTCGTTCGACTGCTTCCTCATTTTTGGCCTGCACACAGTTAAACACCGGGAACACAGTTCAAGTTTAGATTAAGCTAGATTATATGACTAATCATCTACATCCTACCGCTTAGTGCATTCGTTTATCGCCCATCCGAGGACGATTTCATATTTTATAAAAACAGAGCCGTATTAATATAAAATTTGCGATTTTTATATATATATGCCTGCGTTTTGAAAAGCCAGAGTGCCGCCTATTCTTAGTGGCACTGCGATTCAAATGCAATCTGTTGACAAAACTCTTGTGGCTACGGGTGCGAAAGTTATTAATTATGTACCTTGTAAGCATTTGTTAGTCGTTTAATAAGCTGGCATAACTTTTTAATAAATCAATAAGCCATTACCTTTCAATTTTTTTTACCCTCATTTTTTAAATAAATTTTAAATATTTTAAAGGACGACTCTGTTAAGCAAGAAATAAGCGACGTTATCTTGTCAGGCAAATAACAGAGCTCTGTTAAGCATCAAGTCTGACGCTTCAACAATCAGCTGTTTATTGACGAGGTGGCAACACCGCCGTAAATGCACGTGTAAACTTTAAGGCAAAACAAAAATGGTAAAGTTAATACATTTCATTGAATTAATGGCTGATTAATACCGATTTTTGCAATGAAACAGGGCAAGAAGCAAGCCGATGAGATACCAGGGTTCCCCTCGCTGGACAATGGTGGCGGAGGCGGACAGAACGACGATATTCTGAAGAGCAAAGCCAAGTCTAAGAAAAGCGGTGGCTTTCAGTCCATGGGACTCGGGTTTGAACTGATCAAGGGCATTACCAAGCGTGGTTACAAGGTGCCCACACCCATCCAGCGAAAAACTATACCCCTCATCCTCGAGGGACGCGATGTGGTGGCCATGGCCAAGACGGGCTCTGGAAAGACAGCCTGTTTTCTGATTCCGCTCTTCGAGAAGCTGCAGCGCCGGGAACCCACCAAGGGCGCCCGAGCCCTCATCCTCTCACCCACTCGAGAGTTGGCCGTGCAGACGTACAAGTTCATTAAGGAGCTGGGACGGTTTATGGAGCTGAAAACTATTCTGGTGCTGGGTGGCGACTCCATGGACTCGCAGTTCTCCGCTATACACACGTGCCCTGATGTTATTGTGGCTACGCCAGGTCGGTTCCTTCACCTGTGTGTAGAAATGGACCTGAAACTAAACTCCATTGAATATGTCGTGTTTGACGAAGCCGATCGGCTCTTCGAAATGGGCTTCGGTGAGCAACTAAACGAGACATTGCACCGCCTTCCCTCTACCCGTCAGATGGTCATGTTTTCTGCGACGCTGCCCAAGCTGCTTGTGGACTTCGCTCGTGCTGGACTCAACGATCCGGTGCTGATACGTCTGGATGTCGAGTCCAAGCTACCTGACGCACTGGCTCTCAAGTTCCTCTACTGCCGCCCCGACGATCGCTACACTGCTCTGGTGGTCCTTCTTAAGTACGTGATTCCCCAGGAAGCGCAGACCGTAGTGTTTGCCGGCACCCAACACCACGTGGAGTTAATCTCGTATATTCTCACCGGTGCGGGCATCTCCAACACCTCCGTTTACTCCAGTCTCGACCCGGCGGCGCGTAAAATTAATACGGCAAAGTTTGTCAGCAAAAAAGTATCCGTCCTCATAGTCACGGACGTAGCAGCTCGAGGTATCGACATTCCCAGCCTGGACTACGTAGTAAATCTTCACTTTCCGGGCAAGCCGAAGCTCTTTGTGCATCGCGTTGGACGTTGTGCTCGCGCTGGTCGGACTGGTACCGCCTATTCCATCTTCTCCACCGACGACACCGCCCATCTGCTGGATCTGCATCTCTTCCTCAACCGGCCCTTTAATATCAACGACAGCACAGCCATGGGCACAATTCCACAGGATCTGCTGGAGGAGGAACACTTGACCGTGACTGAGATCAAGAAGAGTCACCACATTGTAAGTTGTTAGCGACAGCAAGCATGTATTTTTTAATATTTCCCACATTTTCGCAGGCCGGAGTCTTACGGACCAGTGAGAACGCTTACAAGAAGTACCTTAGCTCTCGTCCCGTGGCCTCCACAGATGCCAATGCGCGGGTGAAAAAGATTAAGTTCTTTGCCCTCAAGCCCCTGGAGGACTTCTTCACAGCCGCTCCTGTGTTGGCCCAGGCGGCCGAGGTAAATGGCCAGACAAAGGAATCCCAGTCCGCTGTGGCTGCTGCCGAGCGCAAGTTGCAGGAGGAAAAGCACGATATACTGGTCAAAATGCGAAATTTCCGACCAGGAGGGGTGAGGCTTAATGCTTGGCACCTCAATAGTATCACCTGATACCTTTCTTTGTTTTTGCAGACGGTCTTTGAACTGAACACCACGCAAAAGTCTACACAGTTCCTGGTGATGAAGGAGAAACGCTCCCAGCACGCCGAGGTGATTGAAAAGTTCCGACAGCAGCGGGCCGAGGAGGACGACGATGAAGCCAAGAAGGAGGCCGAGGCCCAGCAGCCAAGCTCCGACCGAATGCCCACAGCAGATGAAGAAGCTATCAGCAGTACCTTTAACAAAGTGGTGGCCCCCAAGAAGCGCCAGAACATGGACTCTTTGTACAAAGAAAAGCCGAAGAAGAGAAAGCGACAGGCTAACACCAAGGACACAGAGCACTATATTCCGTATCAGTCGGCGGACAAGCACACGGAGGATGGACTGGCCATCAACACGTTCGAGCGGCAGGCGCAGAATGCCGAGTTCTCTGTGGTCGACCGTAATGCGGCGGAAGTGAAGCACAAGCCTGGTCTGAAGAAGTGGGACCGCATCAAGAAGAAAATGATTTCGGTACAGGATCCGAGGGCAAACAAAATCCGCACCGAGTCCGGCGCCTGGATACCCGCCTCTTTCAAAACGGGCCGCTACACCCAATGGAAGGAGAAGTCCAAGATCGAGGATCAGTTGCAGCGGGAGAACGCGGGCAGCGACGACGACAACTTCAAGCCGCTGAGCCACGCCCAGCGCTATCCTGTCAGTCGCCATGCTCGCCACAATGTCAAGCTGGAGCTGAAGAAACGGCTGACTGGCAACGACAAGGAGATGCGCCGGCCCGAGCAGATCGTCAAGTCGCGTATGCGCCTGGAGTTCATCAAGAAGCGCAACGAGGACAACGCAGAGCGAAAGGCCGAGAACCGAAAGCGCAGCATGCGGAAGAACCAACGCCCCAAGGGCCAGGGGTCTGGCGGTGGATCGCGGAAGCGGAAGTGACCAATGAAGAGAGAAAGTGCCTGCCAAGTCCGGTAAGTGTTGGGGTCTAACTAATGTGGGAGGTGTCGTGACCGTAATTGGTTGTGGCTTAGGCTAAGCTATGGCAGCAGTACACGAACAGCCCCAGGACCCTTGCCCCCTGGTCTGACCTCACATTCCATTTTAATTAACTTGGCCCAGACTTCAGTCTTTCCAGCTTACGTGACAGCTACACGAGCTTGGTGTTATTGCCTTGAGGTAGTTGGAGCGCAGCCCAAAAGGTGTGTCGTGAGTGAGGTCGGGAGTTCGGGAGTTCCCGTCATCTGTGCATCCAGTAAACAAAGCATTTGAATTCGATCCCTCATCTGTCAAGCGAAGCCATTAGCGCGACTTTCGAAAGTCTCTTCCGTTCCGCCAGCAGCCGAATTGACAGACAAATCCAAGGCCCAGGCTTCGCCTTCGGTTTTTGGTGGGCTTCAGTTTATGAAGTGCTGGAAACAAGCGGGAAATGGAACTCGTACACATTTTTTTGTTGAGGCCCTCGAACACGCACGTGTCCTCCCCTGAAGTAAAAAATAGAAAACACGAGGAGAGAAAGTGCCCGAGGCGAAGCCAATGTTCACATACCCTTTTAATTGGTTTTAAAAATTGAAGTGTTTAAGGATGTTAGTATTAGGTCCTTCCGATCGAGACACAGTGATTCCTGTCCTTGACTCTCCAATCTTTGGAGTTTGGTTTTCCCTTCTTCAAACTTTCTATTTCCTTCCAATTTTAAAAGTATTTTAAAAGTAATATTTCAATCTGTTTGTTAAAATTGATGTACCCTTCGCCAGGGAATTAAAAATGTCAAAAGTCAGCCGACCCGCTAAACAGTTCGCTTGTCCAGCCAAATAGGAAGCCGTGTTGCAAACTAATACCTTTTCATCCCCTGGTGGCCTCCTTTTGAACATGACCTAAATAGGAAAGGCAACAGGACAATGAGGCTGACCTACGTGCGTTCCAGGGGGATATGTCACGGGGTGTGTTTACCACGTGCAGGCTAACCCAGGGGTTTCGAAAAGGTACACACACGCCGCACTCCGCACTCTGCACACCCAACACGCACCAAGGCCGCACCCCGCCACCGATGACACGCATATCCTGTGCGTGGGCTAAGCAAACACTAGGCCCTCCGCACCCCGGGACGCGACCCTTGTTCTGTTGGCTCGCTGTGTGCCCACACCTAGATAATCCATCTCTTTCGGAGCTCGCACCGATCCTCGGCAACCACCGTGACTGCATAATCCATCAACTGCCGGCCCTCGCCCGCAGAACGTCACGTAATTGAATGTTATTTAATGTCCATCGAATTGATCGCACAGGAGTGCAGGATAAGATAATACTCCCTGTTGTCCCTCATATCGCGTTCTAAATCAACTCTTTGTTTACTTTATGCCTGCTGCCACTGGTAGTTGTACTGAAGCACATCTCCCCTATTTCATCCGCAGGGATCTTCGAATGCTCCGCACCCGGACCCGGACCCGGACCGATGTGTGCCCCGTGAAGAGGAGAGTGTGCTGATTAATCGCCGCCGCCTCCCCCCGAACGAGACACTCAAAATATTTGTTCAGGAGGAGTGGCATTGCGCCCGAGGGGTTCGTTCCCCATTGCTCTTTAGGATTTCGAAAAGTGTTTTGATAAAAATACACGATGAAATGTGTGAAGTACGACATCTTTGAAATGCGGTTGGGGTGCCACTCTCAAGTGGGGACGGGGACTGCGAGACTGGGGATGGCGGGCCATAAACAAATTTTAATTCCGAATTGGAACACAAAGAAGCTAAGGAAACTTCCCCAGCGAGCTAAAAATACGCGGATGGAATCCAGTGTCCATATGGTCCCCATCTTGGACCGTGGGATTCCCCCATGGGCCACTTTATGCCCAATGCATTCCGCCGCTGTCTTTTAAGCCGTTGCATTTGGGTCGTGCAGCATGTGCGTGGGGCAAGGAACACCCATTCGGTTAACTGCTTCTGCCACTTCATTTTCGCAGTTCGTCGAGGGGTGCCCCGAAATAGACACAGATTCGTTCTGGCACATGTGTCCCAGCGGTTCCAGGAACTTGTTCTTGGACTGCTCGAGTCATAGTAAAAAGATACCAAATCTAGTGGAGATTCTTGTGATTGAGACAGCACAGATGAGTTCTTCGCCCGATAAGTGCATTTCTCTTTCCTCAGGAACCTTTCCAGCCACTCGAGTTGCTGGTGCCGGCATCCGATGGGTGCTCCATCTCGGATACTCAGTGGCTAACGCTCTTGACCTGTCATAGATGCGGGTCCGTGAGGCATGAGGCAATGGCGCACATGTTTACAATCAGAGATCATTTGTTCGCCGCGAAACGCCTCGGAATGTGTTAAATCTTCCATGCTGCCCTCCTTCTCCAGAGATTTTTTATGCCGTAATATACACAGTTCCCATTCAGGCACTTGGCATTCCATGCTCAACTTGCGATCGATTTGAAACGGAAATTCCAGTAGGAAATATTTGTATATTCTATTAATAATACCAGCCAAGGGAGCTGTTCTCTACTTTGGTAGATCTGGTCTCAAATAGTTTTTATAAAAACAACCAAGAAAACATCGTTGAATGTGGAATTTATTCGGTTGATATGCACACCCCCTTTTATTTGAAGGCAAATTTTGCTTTTATAATCCGCATTTTCCACTAATGACATCATGCCGCGGGGCTAGCTCCATATTCAGGGAGGAGCCCAAAGTCCAGCCAACATCTCACTTGAGCTTCATCATCTCTAGACTTTAAAACTATTTTTCATTCCGTGGGAAAGATGAAAACGAAGCGCCCCGAGCAAGTCATCTGCAATCAGTCTAATCAGCTCCCGGCTCCCCAAAAGTGGATGTGTGAACTGGGGGAATTATGGAAAATCTATAGTCCGAAACTGAATCATTTTCTATCTCCGAGGCATGGGGAATTTAATTTCATTCGACTTGACTGCCTTCAGACCTCGGATGCATGATGCGAGATGCGAGATGTGTGAGTGGCTCATCCATTAAGCGGGGAGTCTGACTGCAACCCCTAGCGACTGTTATTTAGTTTCGGGGGGGATGGTATGGCTTCCACGTCCAGATGACAGACATCTTGTGCGGACGCTGATATCCGAGGCAGAGGCAATCCAGTCAATCAAATAAATGAGGCGGACACTCGCTGGGGCAGGGGGCAACGAAGGGTATGGATGAGGAGTGTCCAATTGCAGCGGCATGCAGCACAATTTACATCGACAGCCAAGGAGATACCCACTCACTTGCGACCAATTTACAGATTGTTGAACTCACGCAACGTCCAGCTGCTAGCTGCTGGCTGCTGGCTGCTCCGAAGGGTCTAATCTACGCCTCGAGATCTCTCAATCTTGGATCTGTTGTGTGCACGCCGGGCATGGCTTTTTGTTTGCGTTCTCTAATTTGGGCCGCTCTGACAATTGCACAATTTACTGAAGAATGCGTCTAAGCGTCACTTAAAAACGCATTATTCAATTTATGTGCCGCCCATCCATCCACCAGATGCAAACACGACTTGAGCTCGGAGCAGTGCCATGTTCTTATGGAGAGAGATGTATTGGATTGGTAGTGAAAGCGATGAAAAGCTCTTACACTTTTCCAGCACTTTGGGGTGCTATTCTTGGAAACCTTTTATTAATTGTTCCGCAATTGGGGAGAAATAAATAACAAAGATAGTCTCTTATTGCTTTTATCTTCTTTCCAGAACAATAAAATATCTACAAGCTGGTTCATTTTAATGTGGGGGGTTCAGATACTCCCAAATCTCGGACTATATATTTTCACATAATTAAATGGAAATCTTTAAAAAAATATTTAAAGTTAAGAACAGGTAAAGGTTTTTAATAAGGATAAGTATTTTTTTCTGCCTAAAGTATAAAAATTTAAATGTTGCAATAAAAACCTAAAATATGTGTTCCCAAATAGAAAACTATGTAAGATATATAGAACTAAAATCATAAATCAATCAATGCACTTTGAAAAATATTGTTTTTTAAAATTCGTTGATTAGTGCGACCGCATTCAGTTTCGTTAAGAGGCGCTAGTGCATTTCTGCCAAATCCGTATAACCGGTTCGTATTAGATTAAAAGTTTTAACAAAAAAATAAACTAAATACTTTATTATAATATCTCATTTTTAAAAATAGAGCTAGGAAAATAAAAATAGAAATATAATACAAGTTTTTGAACCGGTTAGGCTGAACGAAGAGCATTGTACAGTTGCGTGCAAGCGAGAGGTATTATTTCCCTCCCGCTCACAACAATAGAGGGACCAATAAAAAAATACCAGAAAATACGGTTCCCAGAAAAACCCCTTGGGGAAAAATAGTTTGATGGCAACGGTCACACTGAGAAAAAAAGTCAACTGCGTTGGACGTGTCGACGCTAGATCGCGTAATTTGTTTTCGTTGTGGGAGTACAAGAAGTCTGATTTCCCCTTTTGAGCGATTGCCAGTGCCGCGGCATTAATAATCCACGCGAGTGATTGCATCTGCGGAGCCCAGCAGCAGCAACAGCAGCCGAGTGCCTGCCCAAGTTCAATTCCCTTGTATACACACTACATGGGCGCGTCTCTTTTTGTTCCTTGGTGTTGTTGTTCGTGTACTGTGTGTCCGACGTCGTACTGTCTCGTCGTCCCTCGTTGCAAAAACAAACGCGCGTAAATCTACACAACTTATTTTAAATTAATTGCCCCCCAAGATTGGCTGGCAAATAGACGGCCAAAGGCTGGCCAAATATTGAAACAAGTGTCGCCTCGGCGAATTGTGATTTCTCGACGTCGTCGGACGCGTCGGGCGAATTTTCGCACGCACACTATCCAGATTTGCGCGTCCGTGTGAGTGGGCTGCGCTGGTAGTAGTGCTGCGGTGACTGTAGTTGTAGTTGTGTGTAGTTGTGGTTGTAGTAGTGCCAGTGCTTGTGCAACAACGAAATTCAATTGTTTATTGCTGGGTAGCCAGAAAGCCAAACGAAAGGCAGGCGGAAAGCAAGGCAGCCGAGTAGAGCAACAATAGCACAATACGATGCAGCTCGTTAAGGTGGCATAGTGTCGCAGTGGCGCCTCCATCTCACCTGCCATTCAGGTACTCGGTACTCGGCACTCGCAGTGTCTGTCTGTGTGAATCGCGGCGATAATAATAGGAATTTCTGTTTGTGATTTCCTATTCCGATTTCTGATTTCTGATTTCCACCGTGGAAAGCCAGCCAGCGCCAGCCAGCAAGTGAAAGTCGAACGAGCCCTCCCTATCGCGGATTCATCTCACCAGCCAGTTGCGGATTTGGATTACCCTTCCAAGGACTATCGAGGTATGTCTTCCTCCAGACTCTATACATGCATTATTCATTAATTTCCTAGTGCGTGATAAGGCCATTAATCACCATTCTGTTGCTTCTGTTTTTGTTTTTTGTTGTTTTTGCTTTTCGTTTTTTATTCGTATCTGGCCGGGAATGGGAATCCGCCCTTGTTTTGTTCCTCTTCTCGGTACGATTCCCTTGTTTACCCGGTCGGTTGTGCGCTGCTTCCTTCCGCTCTAGAGGTCGGGGTTCCTCCTCGCTGCACTTTGGACTCAACCATATGATGGTGGTTAGAATGGTAGTATTTTTAAACAAATTAGTAATGGAGAGGTCCTAAAAATAAATCAACATGGGTATTTTTAGAGACTCATTTTTTTAAAGGCGAGAGTATCTATTTTTTCGAAAAGTGGCTAATATTTTGCGAATATCGGTTCGTCTTGAGATGAGTTATGGCCGTTTCAGTGATGTTTTTCAGTAATAGGTTTCAAAACTCGTAGCTCCAGACCTAGAGTACGAATCCACCATCTAATGATATATTTTTTGATTCATATTTAAATAATTAGCCAGTTTTGTGTCCTCAGTTTGTATTAATTTGTCTCCCGAAACATCTGCCTTGAAAGAAAACAAATCTATAGAAAATATATATATATTTATATTATTCATATATTTATATTTATATTTTCTTTTGGAAATGATTGTTTTCTATTTAGTCTTCCTTTGTCGTACTAGCCACGCATTTAGGAAGAGGCACTGACATTGCCAATAAAAGAGTCATCCGCCAAATGGAAATAGAAACACGGAAGTCTGGCACTTGGTATTTAGTTCTCATTTGGGATCTCAGTTGCCCAACTTGATGCCTTCTTGGCACTCTCCTCGGGCACTCCCCCAGTTCATTGACTCACCGGGGCGGTCTAGCCGCTCCCCGAGTCCAGCAGAGTCCACTGGAATCCCATCGATAAGCCCGTAAGCCAGCTTAGGCGATTGCGAAAATCGGTTGCATTTGAATCCAAGGCGAGCGGGTCTGCGCTGCGGCCGAAGACCAGGGCGCCGAGTCGATGAACTCCCGCGGAACGGGGCAGCAGTGGCTGGCGAAAAAGCAAAACAAATGCCAGTGCGTGGCCAGTGCGGAGCCAAAAACAGAACCGCAGCGTAAACAAGCGCTGGGAGCCAAACGGAAACAAAGAGCGGAGCGGAGCGGTCGACAGTGGAAACTGTTGTTCTGCCGCTGAGCTGGGCTTGACTCCGATTCGGGTTGCCTCTAGAAGGCATTGCGCTCGATTTCGTTTCGTTTCGCTTCGGAATGTGGAGTGTGGAATGTCGAAGGTGTTGTGTGGCAGCTTAGATAACTTCTCCCGCCAGATCGAAAGCCTCTGGAAGTTTTATAAAAAAGAAAACAGAAAGAGGTGAGCACGCCGATGTAACCGGGACCCAGATAGGGGGAGCAGTCAGCGGGACAGGGCAATTAAACTGTAATTACTCTTTCGAGCGGCGATAACTATGACATAAGCGGAGAGCTGCAACAGCTGTCAATCTACCTGCCTACCTGTAGCTACCTTGCACGTTGCGTCGTCGGCAGACGTTGCCAAATAGCTGGCTCTGGGCCTTAGTTTCGAGTTAGTTGAGCGCGGCAATTGGCTCTGCAATCAGAGCTTCGGTGAAGAGGTCCAGTCGGCGTCCGAAACGGGAAGCCAACCAGTTTCCGATCACTCCAATGATGGCAAGCCGAGCTTTGAACTGGAATTCGTTCGGAGCTGGTGTTGCTATTTCTGTTTGGAAGCCACCACTTGCCGTCGTGGCCCGCTCTCCGAGGCGGAAATTAAAATTGATAAATAATTTATTGACAAACAGAAAGTGGCTTGTTCGGAGGCGGGGCGGGAGGGGCTTCGATAAGGCCCGCTGTCTGCGTTCTCGGCAGCAAACATTCGGGGAATCGATCCCATCAGCTCTAATCACCTCTTCCAGGGTTCCCCGAAGTGACTCGCTTGTCCCACCTGCGATCAGCCCGAAACAGAAACAAAGCAAGGTCGCCAGGTAGCTCGAACTGCTTCTCCGAAATCCCAGCTCGACCGCCCTCGGTTACTTCAGTGCGAAAGGTGACGTCATGGGCTGAAAGCCAAACAAACAATTTGGAGCTTGTGTATGAAACAAAAAACAGAAAACAGCAAGTCCGGTGCAAGCAGGAACGACCGGAAGTACTGTCGCCCAGCCCGGCTGTGGGTGCTCCTCCTCAGGGGGAAAGACAGCCCAGGGCGAGATGCGAAAACGTCCAAAGTCGGTGCAGAAAGTGAAAGTCTTGGCGGTATTTGGGTATTTGTTGGCGCTATCCAGAGACGAAGGTGGAGACGGAGAGCGGCCCACGCACAGCCCGAGTTACGTAACGACAGAGTTCATCGGCTGAGACCCAGTGGCTGGCAGTCTAAGCGGGGTTCTTGACTCGACCCCGTCCACTCGGGCTGGGGCAGCTCGCATTACCAGCTAATGACTGGCGCTGCCAGTGGGTCAGTCTGTTGGGGAAAAGAACGGGAACTGGGCGATGGGCGATGGGAACTGGGCAGTGGGTAGTAAGGTAAAAGATAGCTGTAGTCATGGGTGTTAAGTGTGTCTCTGGGTCTCCAGGTCTTCCTACTGGGAAGGGGGTCTGCGACTCCCCCTCTCCTGGTCTTTGCTCTTGGGCTTGCTTGCCCGCTTCCTGCGTCTCAGCGGCACCGGACGCTTGTCGTAGATGGGGCGCCGGACCTTCGTGGAGCCCCGGCCGGTCTGGCCTTGTCGGCTCCGGAAGAGCAGCCTCCTAGCCCGATTCGCCTTGGCCTGACGCACCATTCGAGACACGACTCGCTGCAGACAGAAGAACAATGAGCCACTGGCTGGGAACTGGGAGACGGATGGACTTACCTCTGGCTCGAAGCTCCTCTTCTGGGCCTTCGTCAGGGCGTCCCACAAGGGAGGGGCTTCCTGGAGCAGGCGGCGCATGCCGTAGCGCTTGAAGACGTTCGTCTTCAGGTGGCGCAGAAAGTTGAGGTACGGCAGGGGCGCCACCAGGCAGGGCTGGGCCACGACGTGCCGGTTCCGGAGCACGGTCCGGGGGCTCAGAGGCGGCACAGGGCGCGGACCAGCACCATCTCGAGGAGTCGGGGGCATGGCTTCTTGATCAGTCCGAAAAGTAGCATCCACACGAGAACTCCCAGCAGTGATCTCATGACCAGGTCGGGAGCGAGTATGACTGTGCGAGTGGGAGTGCTGGTTGAGTGGGGAGCTCAGGGCTGCTTCGATCGGTGTGGCTCCGAGCGGAGGGGACTTGAGTCAGACAGAAGCCGACAGAAACCGAGCCATCGGCGAGCACAGCGCCCGTATATAGACCGATTATCAGCACAACGCCCACCGATTCATCGCGACTTATTTTGGTCCGAGTCGTGATTGTCGGCGGCTGCACTGTATCATGTCCGAGGAAATGGGACGGCGGGGGAGCCACTGATAAGTCTCGTGGGCATCCATCCGGCCAAAGTCCAGGCACGCACTCTGAGACGCAAATAGGCTTTTCTTTCGGGCATCCAGTGAGCACAGTCGCGGACAATCGGAAGCAACTCACTTCCGTTCTGGCGCTCTTCCGCCTCTCATCCCAAACAGCCTGCAGCCTCGGCTAGTTTCTATTCGATTGGATGGCTTTCTCGCCATGGAGATGGAGACAGAACTTTCCTCCGGCCACCGGGCGATAATGGTGCTGCTTTCGGTTTCAGTTTGGCGTCTTAATTGCCTTAATTGGTGAATTGGTGAAAATATTGAAGAAACATCTGCGCAGGGGACTGGTGGGGAATCGAGTGGAACGCCGCGGCTTTTCCCGCCCGCCCCATCGGTTGTGCAACCAACTTTCCCCCACCGGTTCAGAGATGGGAAACGGCCATTAGGCTTTCCCTCTGCACTCTGGCTGCTCCGCTGGCTGGGCTCTGCCCGCTCCTCAGTGCATCGGAGAGTTAATGCTGTGTGACATCGCCGCTCATAATGGATTCGACTTGGACTAGGCGACTAGGCCCTCTTGGACGGAGGCCCAGCTCCGTGGGAAAGACTCCGGGCAGACCACAGCTCCAATCGAACGGAGGTGAGTGCGAGGTACTTCAAGTTCGCTGCAGTTCACAACTCCCGCCCGGGCTCGGGCCAAGGCAAGTGGATTTGCCCAATTAGACACTTTAATTAACTGATTTTGGAGACTTGCGAGTGCTCGGGCCAGTAGCTCGGGCGGAGCACGGGGCTTGTTGACTCGGGGAGGTGGAGATAGCCCGGCTTGTGTCTCGAGATTAGATAACTTGTGGTAGCTGGATGCTAGATATCATTCGGCCTGCCAGTGCACCTCGCTGCCTTGGCTTGGTGCCCGGACTTGAACCCTGCGAGGCGGGCTTGGAGCTCCCCTTTTTTCGGGGGAGACCCAACGAGCTCTCACTCGAGCTCGGCGTGACTGCTCGCCTTGACCAGAGCGGCGGCTTCGGTTCTACATCGACTGCGGTCGAATTATTTTGAAAAGTTACTCAACGAGGTGGAAGCGGGCTGGTGTGTGTGTCTGATTGGGACGACCTTGATAGCGCCGTTCAAACAAGCTCGTTCGCCGCGAATATCTTGGCGGAGCGAGATCCGAAGCTAGAGTATCTGCGCCTCTAACAGCGTATCTCTGTATCTGTATCTGTATCTGGTGCTGGCTGTTTGCGGTTTATAACCGCACATCACCAGCAGCACCAGCGGAATGTGAAACTCTAGATTCGTTATTGCACTCGAGCGTAATCTCCGTAACGGCTGCTGCTGCTGTGGTTTGGCTCCAAACGGTGCCAGAGTTGAGAGCCTTCTGCCACATTAGTTTGCTGCATGCCCCTCGAAATCCGTGGCGCACTCCAGCTCGAGTGCGAAACTGGCGGACCAGCCACTCCGCTTTGACTTTCTTTCGCGAGCCACTCTTGCAGTGGAATCCCGCACCCCGACTCCACCAAGTTGCACCTACTGGAGGACCGGGTCGCGTGCCGCTTGTTGCAAGAGCCAGCTTGTAAAAGCCAAAGACCCAGTTTGAAACCAAGGAGGAACTAGCTCGCCACTCTCTGGCGATTGCGACTCCCCATTTGCATATCCGAAACGGTATCCATCGAACGCGACCTTCGCCACGAGAAAGTGTCGAAAAAACGGGGCCGCCGGGTCGCAGATTCCGGGGGGCAGGCCACTTCGAGGGGCGGCCTGTTACAGTTAGTTATTCAACGCCAAACACAAGCCCGACAAACTGTTGCGTCTCGCATTTTTTGGAAATGCTAATTAGCTGGAAACACAATCGCTGAAAGGCCAGCGATGGTATCGGTCCCCGACTTGGAGCCCTCCTCCTCCGACTCGCGCCGTACACTTGCGGGTTCATTCAGAACTGTGTGTATGAGCCGTGTGTATCCGCCGAGTACGCTACGAAGGCATGAGTTTTGCATACATCTCGCATTCATGCTCCCGCCAGCAGCCACGCCCTGCGCCTGCGCCTCAGCAGCCATGGAATTTGATTAAAACGAGCTCCGTTCTCCGTTCTCGTCGCAATCTCGGCCTCTCCTCAGAGTCCCCCAGCTATTCTGTATCAGCTATTGCTCCACGGGGGCTCCGCATCCGGATGCTGGCCCGGCTCCTAAATGGCCCAGCAATTAAAAAAGTCCCTTGGGAGGATGGATGGTGGACTCCCAGGGGGCTGCCGAAATCCGCTGCTCCTCAAACGCAGTGCATCTCGAGGCAAGGCGAGTTATGTAGAACATGAAATAATAATTGCATCTTTTGAGCGGCTGGGGGGAGGGAGGAGCCCGACATGGAGCATGAAATTGCGAAGACGCCCGACTCGAGGAATGCTCCGCAGCTGCCCCCCACCGCTGTGTTCCTATTTGAGCCAAATTATGCTCAGAATGCGACCCAGAAGCCACTCTAACGATCTGCGATTGCAGGCCGTTGCAGCTGCAATTGAAAGTTGCATTTCGCGGCTCATTAAGGCGCCAGAGGAGGGATCTGCCCGCCGAGGCTGCCGAGTTCGTTGACAGTTGCCTCCGAACGCCGTTCCCAGTCCGAGACGCTGGCCGGGATGCCCCGGCTCTTTGCGTTTCTCGAACGAAAACACGGCGCAGATTGCGAGCCGAAAGCTGAGGCCGCACAGCTGTGCGGTTTTCTGTGATGTGAGTGACTTGCGCAAGCCGCAGCTCCCCAGCCCCCCCTGCTCCACCGCCCCATAGCTCCACAGCGCCACAGCTCGCAGCTGCTCGATCCGCAGCTGGAGTCACACAATGCTTGATACATTCTCCCAAACAATCGGACCTCTGGGCTGGCCAACGCTATCTCTGGTTGCTGGAATGGGAGCACCTGATTCTGGAAAGGGCATGTGCCCCAAGCAGTCGCAGGAAGTGCTCCGCAGAGCGATCCGGCCCGTGGCTATTGGCTTTTAATGACTTCGATTGCCCACTCACTGAGCCAAAGCCAGAGCGAAATATTTATTGGCCTTTCGAGAGTCGGTTGGGAGCAGGTCCCAGGCTGAACCAGTTTTTGGGGAGTGCGACACTCACTTCCGGACCAGCGCCGAATGGAAATTCAAGCTAATGTTTCAATTTTCGTGGCCGCCGAATGCAGTTCCCGAGCCAGCGGAGTTTTCCTCCGTCTCGATGGGGTTGTGGGGAAAACTCGTTTGTCGGCCGCTGAGATGGCTTGGGATGGGCTCCGGAGCTGTGATTGATTGGCGGCCTGGGTGTACGGCTTGTGCGGAGGGAACACCATCTGCCTGTGGGCCGGGTCTCGGATCCAAATACCAGGCATTCTCGCCTTGATTGCCATTGAACTCATGACTTTTGCTGACTCGAGCAATAAAACAGCTTCTAGCGCGCTGCTCCAAAGAGCACATTCCGAGATTGTTTTCGATTTGCGGCTCTGAGCTGCCAGGTCGAGAGTCGTCTTTGGGCTACCAGTCGGTAGCTAGCACCGGTACAGTGGAGCGTGGCCGACCGTCAAGGCCGCCTTCGCCGCAGAACAATTGTCGGATTGTCGGATTGGGGGATTGGGCAACAGCCCCGCAAGAGTCAGAGCAGGGAAGTCGGGTCAGGGCAAGTGGAAAACCAGTTTTGGTTCCAAAATGATTCGCTGATCGGCCAGCAGGCCACGGCCCTGGATTCGGTTACGCCTGGGTACTTGTCGGAGGACCTGCCCTCCGCAGAGTCTCCGAGGAGTGGTTCCCACACTCGGTGGTTGTGAAATTGGATCAGCCCGAGTCGGGTTACAGGGGCCCTCGAGAGGGTCCTTGGCCGAGTCGAGTCATCCTCGCAACTCAAATCAGCACTGCCCGGCATGTGGGGTTCGTGAAACCAAATTCCAAATTCCCCCCCTTGTACCCCCTCGGCCCTCGGGCGGAATTATTTTTAGTGCCGCCCGCATTCTTGTCTCGCTCTCCTCCGCACACTCTCGCGGCCAGCGTTATACAATTTTAATTATTACAGCACTCCGGGCCGGGCCAGGCCGGGCAGGGTCGGGCCGGGCATAGGCACGGCGGCAGTGCTTGCGTGTGATCCGCCTGCCCCCGGAAAGATATCGTTCATCGGCCCGTCCCCGAATCGAAAGAATGTTCTCGTCCATCTGGGGCCAGTGGGGAGTGTCGGCCGCTGCTTTCCGCAAGTGTTGTAGGCCATTTCAAGTCGTGACGCACGGGAGTGGGGGGCAGAGGACCAGATCCAGGGGGGAAAGAGCCTTCCAAGGTTACCACGCACGCCGGCAGACGTCCTGCATCTTTGGGCAGAACTAGGAGCCCCCAATGGCTGGCGACATTCATTTCCGTTTGGCGGAAAATCACAGTTCCTCGGTGCGTCACAGATAATAAAAGGTATTCTGTCACGGCTGACGTGAATCACTTGCGTGCAGTGGCCGTCTTCGGAGGTAATTAGCGCCGCGCCGGAGAGATTTGCGAACGGAGGGGCTGGGGGCGGAGGCGGAATTGGGGTCAGGTCGCCAGCTCATGAAATTCAAATTGAAGCTGCGGGGCATTGAGGGTATGGGGGCGATGGGCCGGCATTGATAAGAGAAAGGATGCCACGGATCTCGGCCGAGGCTCCAGCCCACCCCACCGGCCGCCTGCCACCTGCCCCCTGCCACCTGCCCCCTGCCACCTGCTCATTCCCACGTCCCAGTTTCCGCTCTCGGACGGCGCGGAAACAAAGAGAAACCGTCGTCTCAGTGGCGCCGAAATGGGTCAAGGCAGGGCCGAAAACCAGCACCTGTTCGGGCTTTTAAGGTCGCGGGTGCAACGCCCGGCGGACGAATCTTCAGAGAGGCTGCCTAGCTGCTAGGTGCTGATTTATAGACGTGGTTCGTATTTGAATTTATCTCCCCGGCAGTTCATGTTTATTTTCCGCTGCTTACGCCACTCGGGCGTATGCGTGTGTTCGGCCTGCGGTACACGGTCCTCAGCGGAGGAAATGGCCCGTCTGGGAGGGGGGAGGGGAGTTCTTGGGAGGAACAAGAGGCACACGCGCCAGAGTCGGAGAACAATGCAGCGCGAACTCGCCCAGTTCGCCCCAATTGATTGAAAATTACTAATTGACACCAATTTTGTTTATCTTTCGCAGCAATAGCACCCCGAACGGCGATATGAGGGCCACACGCTCCGTGGAAACAACCGGAGGTGACCGAACCCAGAGCTGAGCCAAGGGGCATGACTCAACTGGCCGGCGCATAATTCTATTTGGGAGACATCGCCGAGCAATGGAACACACGAGCAATTCCAAGGTTGTGCCACAGAGAACTGCGTATCTAGCCGTATAAGAGACCCCTCGGAACCACTCACCCAGGACCGAAGCGAACCAGTTCCCCTGCCCTGCCCATCGCCAGCACCCGCTCCCGCTCCACTCCGAACCACAATGAACTCCGTCATATCTGCATTTAAGGGCAAGAAGAGCAGCGCCGCCAGCTGCAACCCGCCGAACGGGGCGGCCAACGGAGCTGCCCCCGCGGAGGCCAAACAGAGCCTGGCCAGCATCAGCATCAGCGGCGGGGTGGCCAAGAAGAAGCCGGTGGCCCAGAGCAGCGGCTATCAGTACTACCGGCACATCCGCGAAATCGAGACGGCCAACAAGCTGTACCCCTCGGTTGTGGTGGTGGCGGTGGAGGAGCCGGCGGCGTCTGCCCCGGCTGGCCTCCCCGCAGGAGTCGATGTCGTGGACCACTGCGTGCCGGCCACGGTGCGCCTGTCCAGCCCTCCGGAGTCACTCTCCGACTTCAACATGAACGGGAAGTCGCTGGCAGCGGCGACTGCCGCGGGTGGCGACAACGCCAACCTGGAGATGAGTGACACCTGGGTTTGCCCACCACCACCACCATCGACGACGGCGGACGACGAAGATCTCTCCGAGCACTCGACGGCCGCCTGCACAAGCACCAGTTCCAGCGAGCACAGCAACAGCACCGTGGTGCACAGTCCGACGGTCGCGGAGGGACTCAACTCGGCGACCTCGGTCTCCGCCTCCGCCACGGCCTCGGCCAGCCATCCCAGTCCCAGCCTCAGCCTGCACAGCTCCTCGTCCGCCACCTGCGACTCCTCGTCGCTGGCCATCACCTGCGAGCCGCACTCCAACTCCACCACTACCCTCTCCTCCTTGGGCTCGGACGGAGGCAACGGCAACGGAAACGGAAACTATATACCCGCCTTTCTAATGGCCACTCCGGTCACGCTGCCCATCGGCGGACAGATGCCCTCGGCGACGGCCACCACCAGCTCCGCGGCCAGCACGCCCAAGCACACGCGCTACTCCAAGCCGCGCCTCAGCCTGAGTCGGGGGTTCAACCAATCGATGCCCTCGGTTCACGGGCGCCTCAATCTCAGTGTGGCGCAGTCGGCAAGCGGAGGACCAGCTGCCGCCGGATCAGGCAACGGCGCGAATCCGCCCAAACGTATTTCGACACACCAAAGAAACTTGAGTCTGGACTTTCGGTAAGTAGTCTCTTATGAATTGTGGATGGGAATCGGGTGATTATTGCCAAAGCCATAAATATAGCCATCGCTGTGGGCCATATAGGACCTCCTTGCATTTTTCCGCTCAAGAATCGGGTGATTATTGCCAGAGATATAGCCATCGCTGTGGGTCATATAGGGCCTCCATGCATTTTTGAAGGGGACCCCCCAGAAAATTTGACAAAAAATCTGAAAAATATTTTGTAGCTAGATTTTGATTCAGATTAATTCAGAATCGATTTAGAAATCGTTTAAGCCATTCCGCTCAAGAATCGGGTGATTATTGCCAGAGATATAGCCATCGCTGTGGGCCATATAGGGCCTCCATGCATTTTTGAAGGGGTCCCCCCAGAAAATTGGAAAAAAAATCTGAAAAATATTTTGTAGCTAGATTTTGATGCAGATTTGTTCAGAATCGATCTAGAAATCGTTTAAGCCATTCCGCTCAAGAATCGGGTGATTATTGTCAGAGATATAGCCTTCGCTGTGGGCCATATAGGGCTTCTATGCATTTTTGAAGGGGTCCCCCCAGAAAATTGGAAAAAAAATCTGAAAAATATGTTGTGGCTAGATTTTGATTCAGATTTGTTCAGAATCGATCTCGAAATCGTTTAAGCCATTCCGCTCAAGAATCGGGTGATTATTGCCAGAGATATAGCCATCGCTGTGGGCCATATAGGGCCTCCATGCATTTTTGAAGGGGTCCCCCCAGAAAATTGGACAAAAAATCTGAAAAATATTTTGTAGCTAGATTTTGATGCAGATTTATTCAGAATCGATTTAGAAATCGTTTAAGCCATTCCGCTCAAGAATCGGGTGATTATTGCCAGAGATAAAGCCATCGCTGTGGGCCATATAGGGCCTCCATGCATTTTTGAAGGGGTCCCCCCAGAAAATTGGACAAAAAATCTGAAAAATATTTTGTAGCTAGATTTTGATGCAGATTTATTCAGAATCGATTTAGAAATCGTTTAAGCCATTCCGCTCAAGAATCGGGTGATTATTGTCAGAGATATAGCCTTCGCTGTGGGCCATATAGGGCTTCTATGCATTTTTGAAGGGGTCCCCCCAGAAAATTGGAAAAAAAATCTGAAAAATATTTTGTAGCTAGATTTTGATGCAGATTTATTCAGAATCGATCTAGAAATCGTTTAAGCCATTCCGCTCAAGAATCGGGTGATTATTGCCAGAGATATAGCCATCGCTGTGGGCCATATAGGGCTTCTATGCATTTTTGAAGGGGTCCCCCCAGAAAATTGGAAAAAAAATCTGAAAAATATTTTGTAGCTAGATTTTGATGCAGATTTGTTCAGAATCGATCTAGAAATCGTTTAAGCCATTCCGCTCAAGAATCGGGTGATTATTGTCAGAGATATAGCCTTCGCTGTGGGCCATATAGGGCTTCTATGCATTTTTGAAGGGGTCCCCCAGAAAATTGGAAAAAAATCTGAAAAATATGTTGTGGCTAGATTTTGATTCAGATTTGTTCAGAATCGATCTCGAAATCGTTTAAGCCATTCCGCTCAAGAATCGGGTGATTATTGCCAGAGATATAGCCATCGCTGTGGGCCATATAGGGCCTCCATGCATTTTTGAAGGGGTCCCCCCAGAAAATTGGACAAAAAATCTGAAAAATATTTTGTAGCTAGATTTTGATGCAGATTTATTCAGAATCGATTTAGAAATCGTTTAAGCCATTCCGCTCAAGAATCGGGTGATTATTGCCAGAGATAAAGCCATCGCTGTGGGCCATATAGGGCCTCCATGCATTTTTGAAGGGGTCCCCCCAGAAAATTGGACAAAAAATCTGAAAAATATTTTGTAGCTAGATTTTGATGCAGATTTATTCAGAATCGATTTAGAAATCGTTTAAGCCTTTCCGCTCAAGAATCGGGTGATTATTGCCAGAGATATAGCCATCGCTGTGGGCCATATAGGGCCTCCATGCATTTTTGAAGGGGTCCCCCCAGAAAATTGGACAAAAAATCTGAAAAATATTTTGTAGCTAGATTTTGATGCAGATTTGTTCAGAATCGATCTAGAAATCGTTTAAGCCATTCCGCTCAAGAATCGGGTGATTATTGCCAGAGATATAGCCATCGCTGTGGGCCATATAGGGCCTCCATGCATTTTTGAAGGGGTCCCCCCAGAAAATTGGACAAAAAATCTGAAAAATATGTTGTGGCTAGATTTTGATTCAGATTTGTTCAGAATCGATCTCGAAATCGTTTAAGCCATTCCGCTCAAGAATCGGGTGATTATTGCCAGAGATAAAGCCATCGCTGTGGGCCATATAGGGCCTCAATGCATTTTTGAAGGGGTCCCCCCAGAAAATTGGAAACAAAATCTGAAAAATATTTTGTAGCTACATTTTGATGCAGATTTGTTCAGAATCGATCTAGAAATCGTTTAAGCCATTCCGCTCAAGAATCGGGTGATTATTGCCAGAGATATAGCCTTCGCTGTGGGCCATATAGGGCTTCTATGCATTTTTGAAGGGGTCCCCCCAGAAAATTGGAAAAAAAATCTGAAAAATATGTTGTGGCTAGATTTTGATTCAGATTTGTTCAGAATCGATCTCGAAATCGTTTAAGCCATTCCGCTCAAGAATCGGGTGATTATTGCCAGAGATATAGCCATCGCTGTGGGCCATATAGGGCCTCCATGCATTTTTGAAGGGGTCCCCCCAGAAAATTGGACAAAAAATCTGAAAAATATTTTGTAGCTAGATTTTGATGCAGATTTATTCAGAATCGATTTAGAAATCGTTTAAGCCATTCCGCTCAAGAATCGGGTGATTATTGCCAGAGATATAGCCATCGCTGTGGGCCATATAGGGCCTCCATGCATTTTTGAAGGGGTCCCCCCAGAAAATTTGACAAAAAATCTGAAAAATATTTTGTAGCTAGATTTTGATGCAGATTTGTTCAGAATCGATCTAGAAATCGTTTAAGCCATTCCGCTCAAGAATCGGGTGATTATTGCCAGAGATATAGCCATCGCTGTGGGCCATACAGGGCCTCCAAGCATTTTTGGAGGAAGTCTCTCCAGAGAAATGTGCAATAAATCAAAAAGGAGTAGGAATTCCTAGGTTTGGACGCAGAACTGATGCAGAAACACCCTAAAGGATTCGTAAATCAGAATTGGATGACTGAGATCCTTGCCTATCAGATCTCCCTAAATACTCTTCTCAGAATGGAGTGCAACGACTCCAATCAGTAAACAAGCGGCGTGTGAATCGATGTACTAAGTAGTTTGCCGGTGCAATGCAAAGCGGAAGAGTGACGCCGCATTCGCACGGCACGCAAGCCACCCGACGGCGCCTGGCAGGTAATGACCCACCTCCGGTTGCTCCCAGAAATGGTGCCCTAATGGGCAATAGCCCAGCCTACGAGGGAGCCACCAGAATGGCGTCAAAGCGCTGGGGCTGTCGGCCCCACGTCACTTGGCATGCAAGTTGCCTCTAGAGTCTGTAGTCTGTAGTCTAGAACCACGACTCCCGGATTCCGACACGCAGGCGCGTCAGCCTCGACTCCTGGCCATGAAAGCCAATTCTTTCTAGCTCTTTGCATTTTCATTGCCTGTTTACAACATGTTATTATTGAGGTGCCATTACCCCGGGGATTCCCCTCTGTCCCAAGTCCTTGGAGCTAGAAAGGCAGATACGGTTTTGTGCGAATTTCATCAGTTTTTATTGAACTTTGGGAACTATTTAGGTCGCTTTTGAGGCCGAGTGGAAGCCACATGAGCACATGTGCGAAACGTAAATAATCCCTGGAATAATGCACTCGCCGAACATATGCATTTGGTTGTGGAGCTGCGGCAGAGCATGCAGAACGTGCACTTGACTCGCACAGCGGATGCAGGGGCGGATCCGGATGCGGAGGAGCAGATTTTGCGAAAGCGAAAAAATCAACAATGTGTGCCGAGCTCTCCTTCCACTCGCCTCCATTGTGAATTGTAAATGCAGTAAATAAACAAGTCAACAGCCGTGCCCCAAGTATATGCATGTGGCACACTGGAGAACTGAATATGCAACATTGCAGTTTGGACGAGTCCGAGAAGGCCCTCTCCATCGGAAGGCCTCTCCATCGGAATTCCTCCCAGCCCTCTTTAATCAAGCTAATTGGGGGAGAATTGGTTTGGGATCTCTGCCATCGGGGTGGTTTTCCCCTCCAGTGGATCTGGTGGCTGGTCATCCATCTGAACCTTATCGATTGGATGCAAGTGGCTCTCTCAGCCCTGCCAGGTGTCGGGGACATTAACATTGCGAATAAATACCAGCACATTAGGATAATTGACCACAAGGAGAGGAGGCACACGTGCCGCATAATCTGGCCCGCCGCCGGAATCCACTCTCCAGATGGCCAGCAACCAGAGCCCGGTTCAACGGTGTCGAAAAACGCTTTGTTGCCTCGCCGTGTGTATGTACCCGTGTATTTGTATCAGACACAGATGGTGGCTGCTGGCTGCTGGCTGTGTTGAAAGTCTGCAGATGACGTGCCACACCCTGTCCTTGTTGTGTGCGTGCGCCGGCAAACAGGAGCGTTTTCCGGGCAGGAGTGAGCGGGTGGAGAAAGGAGTACGGAACGTAGTACGGAGTGGGAGGTATGGCCGGGCAGGTCTGGCCCACCCTGTCGCACCTTGTCGTAGGCAAGCCACTCTCCCTGCCACCTGCCTGGGGCAACATTGTCGCTTCGCTTTGTGGTTGCAGCTTTCCTCCCCCGCCAATGCTTAATTTCGTTAGCTTTGAGTTTCCTTCTGCGAGTCCCCCTCGCAATCAGTGGCGTGGAAGCAGAAAAACATGGGAATGTTTGCCAAACAATTAGGATATTGGATATTTTTATGATCCTTTGTTGGCCAAGACTTGGCTACTGAGAGTGGAATGGAGTCACATAGCTACAGGCAGGGGTGTGTTCTTTAAAACACTCTGTCCATTCCGTGTTCCGTACAGGATGCTATGACCCCAGGAACAACTTGCAATGGCAATAACCGAAGTAAGAACCTTATTTGCCCAAAACCCCCCTTAATATCCTGCCTACGCCGCTGTCCTCAATTCCTTGTTCTTTGAAACGATGAACTTTTGTCCAACAACTGCGGATTTCCCCAAGCTCCTCGTACTCGCACTCGCACTCGCACTTCCTATTCCGAAAGTTCAAAGGCACTTGATGATATGGAAACTACCCGGAGCAAATAAAAACGAAACCACGCACGGAAGCCTCGACTCCTCTTTGTTAATCCACGGAGGAGGGGGAGAAGGAAAGCTGAAAGCTGAAAGATCCAGATGTGGATGCATTTCCAGCTGGAGTGCCGCGCGGAAAGCCGGGCTATTGATGACACTTAGTGCCAGCGGAGGAGTGATGAATGGCGGACGGACAGCCGGGCTGGCGTGCACACAGAGTGGCCTGTCAGGGCTTGGTCAACAAACCTCACGACTCGCATTCAGGTCCTGATTATCCGGGGAGCGGCCTCGCCTCGAGTCGTTGAACTCTGGCTGACTAGTTGCGGAATGCAAAATAGTTGGCGTGAACTCGGCAGAGAGATTTTGGGGAAAGCCCCAAGGGCTCGCAAAGGCATAATCCCCAGCCCACCAGCCACCAGCCTAACAGGCAGGCGGCCTTCAACGGGTGCGTTTTGAGGTGTAATTACGTAAAGCCCGGTACGTGAGGGGCGGCCGAGCGATGGCCATAACAATAAGCGGGCAGGGCCAGCCAACACCCCACTGCCGATCGAGAGGCGCAAATTAATGCAAATGCGTATATAATTGACACAACGAGACATCTAACGTCGGGTGGAATGCCTGGAATTTGCACGCCCGCCGCGCCCCAACCCGAGCCCCAGCCGGGTGCACTTCCCGCCTCCGCTGCAATCTGGGAAGAGCGGAATAATCAACACGCTGACGACGACACTTCGCCAGCGAAAACTGAACGACAGCCACATGCCAGACATTCCGTCCGCTACAGAGCTATTGAGCCCGATGTGGCCATCCAAAGGGAGCGCACCGACCCACCTGCATGCGAAATGAGCTGCCGGAATGCTGTTGGCACGACACCCGCCAGTCAATCGAACAGCGCGGGAGCTGTGCGGCACCCCCAGTCCCAAACACTGCTCGAGATAGTGCCCGACATGACCACTGTATCGAGAACATCGCGAATCACCCAGTTTGATTTCCTGCCCATCCGCGATAAGCCTCTGGCAGCTGTTTCCGCAGGGAGATTGTTGAACCCGCTTGGTATGCACTAGGCAAGGAGCCTGTATGGTTCTAGGACAGGGTCTGTGACTCTACAAACCATAGGGTTTAATTTTAGACAAGGACAAAGCACCTACTTAGTGTTGTCCTTGTCAGATACCAGTTCCATAGTTTAAGATACTAATCGGGGCAAAAAGAATCGGGGTAGGACGAGTGCATAGTCTATAGTGCAGTCTAGGTGCCTCCACTCCCCTCCGAAGGTCAGGTGCTCCGCTCCCGCCAGGTCCCTTTGGGAGTAGCGGCCATAGGGGAGGGTTATCAGTGTTATCAAATACAGTGCTTATCGCCGACAACCGATAATGGTTCGCGTAATAGCCAAAGATAAGGTGCACCTACTCTGCCTCGGGAACTCCCAGAGCCACCCTCGCACAGACCCCGCGCTCTCGAGCGAACCGCTCGGAGCTTTCGGCGACTACGTCACCGTTGGGGCCGAGCTTTCGCTCAAGCTCCTCCCACGGCCAACCAGCTGGCCGTCCACAAAGGCCCCGAAAGCTGCTCGATTAGTCAGCCATTCCGGGCAGCTTTTTCGCCGTGGGATCGAACCCCTCCCCCTCCGTGCTTGTGTTTGAGCTTCTTTATGCTCGAGGGGCATTGTTTTCAGTGTTTCGGAGCTCTCGGTCGCGGTCCGTGTCCGTATGCGTCGTCGTCTTGTTCCCTCAGCATGGGAATTCGCTAATTTAATTTAAATTAAAATTCAAAAGAAGGGAATCGCGACATCCAGCGGGTTTTATCGTTCGGGCTAGTCTCCTCACGATATGATAACTGCGACGTTCGATTAAAAGTGAGTGAGTGAGTGAGTGAGCGGATGAGCAACGAGGGGGTGGGGGCAGTATCTGGCAGCAGGGCACAACGCTTGGCCAGACTCGCTCCTCAGCAGATGCATTGATTTTTAACAGATTCTAATCTGGTCGTCTTGTCGTTTCAGGTCCATGGGCATACTGCTGCCGCCCGTCTCGCAGGTGACCAATACGCGTATCAATCACACCCAGCACCACCGCAACCGGAGCCTCGACAGCGCCCTGCAACGCATCCCGGAGGTAAGTGGCTCTCGAGTAGTTTATTGCGGCAATCGGTTTAGGGCCTGCAAGTGTTCCCAAGCCCCAGTCTCAGTCCAATCCCGTGCCCGTAACCTTGTCGGATGCACATACGCAAATACACCAGCACACCCGTACACCCGTACACCCGCTACGGGTACGAGCACTCTCACGCCCGCGAATCGGCGAAAGCAGTAAAACCTGGAAAGTTTCTAAGTCTCTATCTAGCACCGAGCGTGTGGCAGAGTGTGTGTTCCTTCGTGTGTGTGATGCGCTGTTTATTTATATTTTTATCGTTGCGTTGCTGGCATTGTTGTTCACTTTGGCACTTGCTCCCAGTGCTAAATGTTTGTGTGCCTACCTGGTTATCAGCTGGCAGCCCCTCCAGCCAGCTCCGCAGTCGTCAGGGCAGAAGAAAGCTGAGTGCCAGGCCTAGGGCCAGGCGATTAGGGATTGGGAAGAGCCCGAACTGACCGCCACCTTTGTCTCTTGAACAGGTCGAAGTGTCGTCGCCAAATGCCGAGAGCGAGAACACCTTCTGCTCCCCGTCCATACTCGGCGCGAATATGTGCTCCAAGATTGCCACTACGGCGGCGAGTGTAACAGCCGCCTTGTCGCCCCCAGCGCCGCCCACGCCGGCCCTGATGTCCGTCGCGCCCTCGACAGCGGCCACGCCCTCGGCGAAGGTGGTGAGCGCGCCCCAACACCATCAGGTGCCAAGGCATCAGGCGATCTGCAGACCCAGTGCTGTTGGTAAGTCACAAAGCAACCCAATCCCTTCCAGAGACTAACCAGTGAAAATCCGTTACAGTGGAGTCCTGTCCCACGTTGAGGGTGCGACCAAAGTCCAGCGAATCGGTGGCTGCCAACGGCCAGGAGATGATCGCCGCGATGGGTGGAAGCAGCAGCGCCTCCAGCAACGGCGGCAACAGCAGCAACAACAGCTGCAGCAGTGCCGGCAGCAAAAAGCGGGAGGACCTCACCAGCCTGGGGTCGGACGACTCCGGTAAGTATTGGAGCAGTGGAAGTCGAATCCCAATCGGGAAGCCTTTGGCTTTCCTGTAGCCGACGACTCAATAATGTGAGCTACCCCTCCTCATTCACACACCTTATACCGCCCGCAGGCATCATCTGTGGCTCAGAGTCGGACCAAATCTCCCTGAATCGCATATGCCACTCACATGAGTCGCTCGATTCGGGCGAGATGGATGCGGACGCCGATGCGGAAGCCGAAGCCGATGCCGAGGAGGAGTGCGTTGACCTTATGGAAACGACCTCCATTGACGAGGAGTACAGCCTAATGCAGCTGGATCACAACTGCTTCTATCAATCCCACACCGCCGCCACCACCACCGACCTGGACTGCCGCACGCTGCGGCCATCCCGCAAGCAGAAGCGAGCCCAGCAGCAGGCCAAACTAATGTCCCAGCACCAAGGGGGCCAAGCCCAAGGCGACGCTGCCGATGTGCCGGACTCCTCTGCTGCTGTCGACGACCGGACCCGGTATCGAGTCATGAACATGTCCCAGGCAGCCATCAATGTCGAAATCGGAGCTGCGCCCAACGAAATCGAACCTGTGATCGACGAGCAGGAAGTCAACCACGATGCCGATTCTTCGCAAGCTGCGGCATCTGTACCGCCTAGCGCCTTGCCCACATGTTCCGCCACCGCCACCCCCACACCCACGCCCACAGCCACTCCAACGCCAACGCCCACAGAGAGCACCAAGAACGACCAGGTGCTGTTCAAGAACTTCTTCGGGGCCACCAAGAACGCCATCTTCCGAACGGCCCAGAGCATCATTGAGAACCATGAGAAGAAGAATGCGGCCAAGCAGAAGGAGCACCCGGACCACGCCGCAGCCGCTGCCGTGGCTAACGGGTCGGGTGGAGCTGGAGCTGGAGCCACTACTCCGCAGGACCAAGTCAAGTCCCCGACAGACATCTCAAAGAAGAAGGAGTTCTTCAGCCTGCTCACCTCGAACTCCAGCAAAAAAGCGGCAGCTGCAGCGGCGGCGGCAGCAGCGAGCTCAGCGGCCAACACCCCTGCCGCCACGCCCACGGAGTCGCAGACGACCGCCGCCGAGTCCAAGCCGTCGTCCGACGGATCCAGCGACGTAAAGGTCAAGGAACGCACCCTAAACCTCCGTCTACCCGGAGCGGATAGCGATGCTGCTGGCGAAGGAGCCCTGGCCAAGAGCTCGTCCATCAACTCGCTTCACAAACTGAAGCTACCGGTTCCGGGAGTGGTCAAGTACTTCATCAGCGAACGGGCGCCGGTGTCGGATGTGCTGCTGAAGCCGGAAAAGGGCCAGAGTGGCTTGTTGCGGTTCTTTGAGTCCCCGGTCTTCAACATCCACTTTGCGGTGCACTACCTCTTCTACTCAAAGGAGCCGGGGGTGCTCAGCTTCATCGGCAACAAGATATTCAGCTTCCCCGACCAGGAGGTCGACCTGTACATCCCCCAGCTGATCGTCATGTACATCCAAATGGACGAGCTGGCCGAAGTGCTGGATCCGTACTTGACCATACGGTGTCGCAAGTCTGTGGACTTCTCGCTCAAGTGCCTGTGGCTCCTGGAGGCCTACAACTACCAGGTGGACTCCCTGGGGAGCCGCAAGTCCAAGCTGGCGCTCATGAAGGAGATATTCTCGAAGAAGGAGCACAAGCAGGTGCAGAACGACCTCAAGTCCGGGTCGGGTGGCCCAAGCGAGCCCAAGTCGGTGGTGGCCTTTGCCAAGAAGACCCATCATCGCTCCCAGTCCGACGCCACAGTCCTGCTGGCCGATTCCCGATCTCCGCACATGCTGAGCATATCCCACCGTATGTACCAGCAACCTCCGTTCACCACCCAGACCCTTCTCGCCGCACCCACCAAGCTGTGTCTGGGCGAGCTGAACTCGGGGCATGCCTTCGACAATGGCTGCACCTGTTTCGAGACTGTGCGCGGCCAGGTGAACGGCCTGCTCGGCCAGCGGACGGTGTGCTGTTGCGGAGCTCCGAAGACTGCGCCCCAGAAGGAGTTCATGAAGGCGCTGATGAATGTTGGGAAGAACCTCACGGCGTTGCCCTCGAAGGCGGAAAAGACCTCTGCCCTGCGCATGTCGCTCAACCTGATCAACAAGAACCTGCCCGCCCGCGTCTGGCTGCCGCTCTACTCGTACATTCCGCACCACGTGGTTCGCATCACGGAGGAGAAGACCGCCGTGCTGAACTCGAAGGACAAGACGCCCTATATCATATACGTCGAGGTGGTCGAAGTGCCCGACATCTACTCCTCCCCGCTCATACCCAAAATGATGCCCTCGCTGAGGCACACAAAGAGCGAGGAGCACCTGGAGGGCTCCTGCCTGAACTCGCACCCGCACCTGAGCTGTAGCCGCACGTCCAGCTGCAGCAGCGGGCAGCAAGGCTCCAGTTGTCGGCGGAAAAAAGGCGCAGACGGTGGCGAGGGAGGCGGCGGTGGTTGTGGCGATGCTGGTCCCCACAACTGCTGTGGCACCAATGCGCTTTCCCTGGGCGGTCTGCACCTGCATGAGGACGATGTGTGGTCGCAGGAGGACGACGAGATCACGGCGCAGTACCTTAACATGCAAAAAGTGAGCGAAAGGGATGCCATTTCGCAAATGTCACTAGACTCGTGCGATTCGAGGGACCAAGGTAGGAAGCTATGGTATAATATCATCTTAAATAGGTACTTACGAAATGTATATTCCTCGTAGGACCACCCATTGTCTTTAACATCGGCGACGTACGCTCCCGCCACTGCAGCAACTTGAGCTGCGAGAACACAAAGTCCTTCAGCAATGACCCAGAAGATCCTTCGGCGGCAGCATTAAAGGTATTCGCGAACTTTTCGGCTCCTTGTTTATGGGAACTCATTGGCAACATCGTTTATTCTAGGAACCCTGGCATGAGAAGGAGAAGCTTATTCGAGAGTCCTCCCCCTATGGACATCTTCAAAACTGGCGTCTACTGTCCGCTATTGTCAAGTGCGGCGATGACTTGCGCCAGGAGCTGATGGCCACCCAGTTGTTGGAGGTAAGAATCCTTCTCTATCAGATGGGGCAACTAAGTAATTCAAATGTGTTCTTGCAGATGTTCAAAATCATTTGGCAGGAGGAGCAAGTGGATCTGTGGGTGCGTCCCTACAAGATCGTCTGCCTGTCGAACGACAGCGGCCTCATTGAGCCCATCCTGAACACCGTCTCGCTGCATCAAATCAAAAAGAACTCCAACAAATCATTAAGGGACTACTTCATCGATGAGTATGGAACACCCACAGGCGAGAGCTTTCGGCGCGCCCAGAAGAACTTTGTCCAGAGCTGCGCTGCCTACTGTCTTATATCGTATCTACTCCAAGTCAAGGACAGGTAAGATAGCATAGCGTTCTTAGCATTCCCAGTTACAAGCATTAACCTTCTCCTTCTTCGCCTCTAGGCACAATGGCAACATACTCTTCCACTCGGACGGGCACATCATTCACATAGACTTTGGTTTCATTCTGAGTATTTCACCAAAGAACTTGGGTAGGTACTCCTAAGAAGAGCTAAGGTACATCATGCTAATACTCCTTCTTCCTGCAGGCTTCGAGCAGTCGCCATTTAAGCTTACGCCCGAGTTCGTCGAAGTCATGGGTGGCACCAGCTCGGAGCACTGGCGCGAGTTCAACCGCCTTTTGCTGGTCGGAATGATGTCGGCGCGGAAGCACATGGACCGCATTATAAACTTTGTGGAAATCATGCGTAGCAGTAAGTTTTGAGTTGTTAGGTCCATTCTGAGGACGGTTCGTGACTTCCTCTTCCACATTTCAGATGCCCAATTGCCTTGCTTTAAGAACGGGTGCTCGGGCACCGTACAGAATCTCCGCAAACGTTTTCACATGAATTTAACCGAGCAGGAAATGGAACGCAAGGTGGAGCAGCTGGTGCAGGACTCATTGAAGAGTTTGTCAACCAAACTGTACGATGGGTATCAGTACTACACGAATGGCATATTGTGAGAGCGGTTTTTTATGAAGATCTAAGCAGAAGCAGGTGGATGATGCCGAGCTGGTTAACCAAAACTATGGACTGACTTTTTTGTAAAGAAATTATTGTATATTATATAACATGTATGTAATTATCAGCGACAAAAATAGAGAAAACAAACAAAAAAGCAAAAAAGAATGAAATTGTACCAAACCTAAATCTGTTATCGTAGCTTAAATCGTTCGTTGTATGCGTTTGCATTGTTGAATTAGCGTAAACTGTGTATGTTGTCTAGCTTTTAAGAGAAATTGTAAATTTTTTCAATGTACTTTTAGTTGGTCTGAGTGAGAACGCGCGTGTCGGTCTGTTATTCCATTTGCAATTTCATTATCGTGTACATATATAGAAACATATATATTTATATTTATATGCGAGACGATTTACCAATAACCAGGCTTGAACTTCTACAATTATTTCGGTTGCTACGCTTATCTATATTCATTCTTATCTAAATTTTAAACTCTGGCGCTTTTGTATTCATGAGTCTTATTGTAAATGCATCTTATTCCAATATTTAGCCGTAAGTGTAAGGATAAACTCTAATGCCACTTTTTGCTGCAGCTTCAAATCTAAACAAATCATACAGCAATATACTCTTTAAGGAATTCAATTTAATTATCAATCAAATTTATCGACATCATTTTAACAAACAAAAGAAAATATGCCACGGCAACATACAGAATTATAAAACTAAAATTTCAACTCGCCGCCGAATCAGTTTGTATTTGCCTAATAACCGATTATAACTAATTATTACCTAATGATTTTCTAACTTAATATACTTCTAAGCTACTGCGTAAAAACGGAAATCAAAGCATACGAAACAGTACTAAAATAAATAGCTAGGCACTGAAAGTGAACAATTTCGAGTTTGTAAAAAGGAGGTGGCATCAAAGCTGACCCCACCCACACTAGTGTGTATGTAGGAATTAAGTTTCACGCGAAAATTAGCTACAAGTATATGAAAATGTAAATGCATATTTCTAAAATTTATTACGTAAAGATCTAAAATAAATGAGCATATTGATAATATACAACCTGTATCCGTGTCAAGTTACTATGGGAAACGATGAAAGAAAAAATTGTTTATTGAACAAATAAAAGCCAAATATACTGCAGATTGGAATGGATCCAGGAAAAGTAATTGGAAAAGTGTAAGACCATTAACGTAAATATAAAATATTATGATTAAAACATACACTGACTGTTCCGTTAAGGAAGGAGCAGGTGCGCATGGAGCACAAGTCCCGGCGTAACTACCCAAAGGTGTGGTCTCAGGTTGCCGAAAAGGATACCAACAAGTTCTACCACCAAAACGAGATTGATACCCAACTAAGGCAACACCTAAAACTGAAAGGTTCAATATTATAAACCTGGCTATGGGTATATCCTAAAATAGACGCTTTTTCACAGATCTTTGTCCGATTAGACACAATAACCAGGGCGAGTCCCGCTTTTTTTCCCCGGAAATGTATAAAAACCTACTGGGTATATGTCGGTGTGGTCGATCTAGAGAGGGTCTTCACATGGGGAAGTGCCTACAAAGAACAGTGAGCCCTATTTATGAGCGGACCAACCAAAAAGAGGCTCTAAAGCCCGAGGAAAACCGAGAAGAGCCTCCTGAACCAAGGATTGTACCTCGCACCTCAAACTGTGAGTAAATCCAATGCGAATCGTGAGTTGAAAAGATTAGCTTTGTGATTATGCCTAAAGGGATCGAAATATCCATTATTAGTATAAAATTAAAAAAAATTACCTAAATATAAAGAAAGGCCACCGCTGATAAAGGGATTCAAAAAGTCATTTTGGAATTTACTAAACATGGGATCGCATTATTAAATGTTGAGAATTGGGAATGTTAAGTAACATTTTTACATTGCCCTAATAACAGTATTTTTTAACATAGTGTTTGAAAATTCTACACGTTTCCGTTTCCGCTCATGTTATATGATCAGGGATGGGAAATTTTACATTTCAAATTGTTTTGTTAGAGATGGTGAACATGTTAGGGATGGGAAATTGTATTTCAGTATTATTATTATATTTATATATTTATTTATCAGACTTGAAATTTAGTTGTACTTACTTATTACTGATGAAACCCCCACCTCTGAAAACCTATTAATTACATTAAAACTTCTTATTACTTGAGTTATTTTAATTTTAATATATATTGTTTATAATTTAACTTATTTTTACACTAATTTAATATTCATTTACTAAACAACTTAAGTTTTGAAATACAGACTTACCTTAAGTAGGGATCGAACTCAGGTACGTTCGGGTTTCCGATCAATGATCTTCACCTCTAGGCCATCACCTGCACTTGCTAGTGATTAACTTTACATCGACTACACTGCACTTTCGAAGTTTAACAAATGTTGAAGAAAAAGCTTTTGCCTAAAAAGCCTTGAATTAAAATTATTCTGGAATACGTTTTCTACCATTTTTTTAAATCTTTTATTTACAATATTTTTTAAATATAAATAAAAATAAAAAAATAAATGTATTAAACAAACAAAATAAAAGAACTTGAGAGAAATTTTTGGTGGAAGCCGGAATCGAACTCGGTTCTATTGGTTTAAAGGGCGGGCGCGTTCACCATTACACCGCTTCTTTATTTGTTGTAAAATTACAAGAAAGATTCGTGAAAATTGTGTTTGAATATATGATTATTTCAAAATGCATTCTTTTTAACTTTTTCCGTAAAGTTAAACCTATTTTCTAGGTTTATGTACAGTGGGTCGCAGCTTATTTCAACCAGCACCCTAAAAAAAACTCAAAGCTAAATATCTCGTGAACTAAAAAAGGTATCAAAATAATTCAAATGCAGATTTTTAGTTTTACTTTTCAACAACAAATATATGTTTCTATTTATTTTCTAAGATTTTTTATACATTTAATAATAATATTTAAAGAAAAATACAACTAAAAATAGCGTCGCAGCTTATTTCAACCAGCTAGTCAAAAATGTTTTAAACCTAACTTAAATTAAAAAAATCAACAAAATTAATATTTAGTATGCCCCCCTTATTATCTATAACCATTTTAAGCCGTTTTGGCATGGAATCTACCAATTTTTTGGTTACATCTGGGGTTATTTTTTCCCACTCCTCCTCCAAAGCGTTCTTCAGATCTTTTTGTTTTTTATCTGGCGTTTCCTTATATTTTGGTCCAATATTGCCCATAGATTTTCAATCACGTTCATATCCGGTGACTGGGCGGGAGGTTGCATAACGTGGGGGCAATTCCATATTAGCCAAGTCTGCACAATGCCCGACTTATGTTTCGGGTCATTGTCTTGGTAGAACCGGAATTGCTCTTGAATTCCCAGTTTCTCCGCACTTTGGACCAAATTTTTCTTCAAGACGTCGAGGTACTGGGTCTTGTCCATTGTTGACTCTATAAAATGCAGCTTCCCGACTCCCGCTGACGACATACAGGCCCAAACCATGACGCTGCCACCGCCATGTTTAACAGTCGCCTTTAGGTTTTTATTATGGAGCTCTGTGTTTGGCTTACGCCAGACATAAGATGCTCCATCAGAGCCAAAAATATTAAATTTGGACTCATCTGCGAATATTACAGACTGCCAAAAAGTTTCGTCCTTGTTCATATGGTCCATGGCGAATTTTAATCTTGCCTTCTGGTTTTTTGCACTAATGAAAGGCTTCTTTCGTGCAATTCGACCATTAAACCCCTGGCTGTGCAGAACTCGTCGGATGGTGTCTGGGTGGCAAGACTTGCCCAGCTCTGTCTCCACTTGGGCAGCCACTTTTGGAGCCGAAAGTTTAGGGTTTTCCCGGATTTTTCGGACAATATAACGCTCGTCCGTCTCATTAAAAATTTTGTTTGGGGCTTTTCGGCCCTTGTCATGCGTTCTGTTCTCGCGAACAAAACGGTAAATAATACTCTGTACTGTAGAGTCACTAAGAGCAACCATTTCCGCAATTTTCCGGCGAGAAAGTCCGTTTTTGAAGTGACGGAGCACATCTTCTCTCTTCTCTAAAGAGGTTCGGGGTCCCATTTTGATTTAATTGATATATTGCGGAAAAAAAGGCACAAAGTTGATGAAATCCAACACAACTAGTTAGTAAATAACAAATGTAAGCCGATGTAACAAAAAAAAAGTTTCTTGGAAAATAACGGATCATGGCAGTGCTGAAAATTGACTGGTTGAAATAAGCTGCGGCGGTATTTTCAGCGGTATTTTTCTTTAAATATTATTAATAAATGTAAAAAAAATCTTAAAAATTAAATAGAAACATATATTTGTTGTTGAAAAGTAAAACTAAAAATCTGCATTTGAATTATTTTAATACCTCATATAGTTTACCAGATATACTGATTCAAATTTTTTTCAAGGGGCTGGTCGAAATAAGCTGCGACCCACTGTACTTCAAAAACATTAAACAAAAAAGAAAATGTAATACATCGACATTTTATTTATGGTCCGAGCAGGATTCGAACCAGGTACCTTTAGATTATAAGTCGGGCTTGCTAACCTTTAAGCCACCTCGTTATTTGTTGCAAAATGATGTAGCAAATTACAACAAAAGCCTTTGTTTACAAAATAATTCATTCATGTTTCAACTTTTTTCAGCCAACATTGGATTTTTAGGCACAGCAACAGACTATCAAAAACTGGAAAGGTCCATGCAGTACGTTTCGCCATCTTATTCGATGAATGGTCCTCGGATTACAGCTGTTCCATACCACACAATTATTATTGGCTAAGACATCCATTATTTTCCATATGGAAGGGAATAAATTACCCAATTGCGCTTGTTCCGAACCAGATATTTGATGACTCAATCCATAGGGGATTTCTGAAACTTATATGTAGCTACCTTACGCTGGCTCAGATGAGCGGAATTTTATAATAAACAAGGCCCTCACATAGAACTGGAATTTCCAGAGACGACTTTTATTTTAAAACCTGTCTATTTTTTAAAAGATTACCTGCATCTGACTATGTGCCATGTAGTGTTAGTAGCTCACGAACCGTGGTTGAGTTTAAAGATGAGCTTCAGTTTGTCACCTATTTTACTACTAGCCTGTTTTGGTGGGCTTGGGGCCAAGGCTCAAGATGCTCTAATTTTTCAAACCACCAGTAGCTCTTTGGATTTAGTTGGTACTACTGGGCCACCACCAATTTCGGCGGCGAGCTCCAACAACTGGGTGCTGGTAAACAACATGAGAGTGCGAGGCGGGATAACACCGTTTGTTCCAGCTCCGCCACCGACACCAGAGTTCCTGGACTGCTTCGGAAGGTGCCCTACCACTCCGCAGTATACCCCTATTTGTGGAAGCAACATGCAGCTTTACCTGAATGAGCAAAAGTTTAACTGTGCTCGTTTTTGTGGGGCAGGTGGGTGTACTCCACTTTTAATTATAGTCCAATTATGATCCTTGGCTGTTTTAGATATACAGATCGTACGCAGAGGAAGTTGCGAGGGCCTCTTTCAAATGACGCGCGGATGAGAAGCTTTTACCCGACAGTTATTTTCCAAAATCAGTGTATTCCCAGATGAGATGATGAGCTCCGAGTTCATGGAAATTTGATAAGAACCTAAGTGATGACAAACTATGTAAATAGACAATGTATGTGACCTAATACTTAAGTAAACTTAGGAATATATAAAGTATACACATGATTTCTGATAACCCGTGGTGGCGCACATTCTACAGACAGTTCCTATCTGAATTTTGACTAGAACACTTGCCAAAATGCTGACGTCTTACCATTTGGCTATGATTCTGGGTAGAAAAAGTATTTTTTCTTACAAATGTATTCTAATAACAGCTTTTCAGGTGTGCTTCTGGGATGCTTGCTGCTCCAGGATATGGTGGCTGCCAGGGTTTATACTACAGTTCACAGGCGCCCCAACGCTACGCACTTTACTCCAGCTCAGACCCATAGTCCCGGCCACAAAGTTCACAACAACTTCACCCGTCCAAACCAAATTCCAGCTCAGACGTACCAGCCAGGATATCCCATAAACAACTTCACCCGGGTCGCTTTATCCCCAAATTGGTCTGCACCGGCTCCTGTTCCGTCCGGCTGGGCATCTCAGGGCTCCCACACCCACAACACTCCACCATCACTACCCACATCTGGTGTTTGGGCGATCAACAACACCATACCGTCTGGTTGGATTCAGCCGTCAGGTCAAGCAGGCAACCCAACCTTTGGACCCGGCAAATTCAACGCCACTTACTACCCAGCCTATAATCACACGACTTTTGCTGCTCCAGCTGGCAGGCCCGCACCTGGAGCTAACCCTTACGCAAATCTTTCCATTTAAGTGCGTTTCAAGCCACTGCCCCAATCATAAAAATAAAAGGATTAATTCATTTTTTCAAAAAACAATTTATTTCGCAACCAAACTGTTGCATATCCAAAAAATAGGATCATCGGTTTGAATATTTTGAGATAGCGTTCCGGTATTCCAGAAGTGTGAAATAAATGTGTTTACGAATGATGAAATTATCCCAGACATGGGACAAGTCAGGGGCGGATATTGGAGGCACGGCATCTATTAAGTATATCAGCTTTGAACTATTACACAATTGAGCGCCACCAGCAGTGTGTTGCATGGCTCAATATCCTTGGAATACCACCGATGATTAATCTATCAGCACCCGTAGAGGATCATCCCACGCTGCCGTCAAGTGCTCCCTCGCCGCAGTCAGTGATTCCCACGCTGCCGTCAGCATCCTTCACGATTCCCTCGCCGCAGTCGAAATATTCCCGATTAGGATCTCCCGCGCTGCAGTCAAAATTTAGTTCTCCCACGCCGCAGTCTCTTTGAATGACATCCCACGCAGCAGTCAGCACTTCCGTATCCCACGCCGCCGTCTGCATCCCTCGCCGCCGTCCCAAAATCCCACTTGAAGGTGGTTTCATGATTGGAGAGAAGACCCTATCCCTATCGCCCTCGTCTAAGCGCCCTAACAGTCCCACGTTGCAAACAAGGAATCCCACGCTGCAGTCTAAACGATGAATCCATCGCCGCAGTCTATTCGTTGGAAATCCCTCGCTGCCGTCCATGTCTTCGAATGTTCTCCCTCGCCGCCGTCACTCTTTGATCGCTTTATCCCGCGCTGCTGTCCAATTAATGATTCTCGAAATCCTCTAACCAATCTAACTTCCTTACGAAGAATCGTCCCAGAAAAATAACAGACCCGGGGGTAGCGAAGCCATGCGTCGTAAAAGTTCAAAACATCCACAAATTGGTTTCCAAAAGTAAAACATGATGGTACTAATTCGAATGCGATTTGAAGGTACGAAAGGTTTCACAAGACATCCTGTCCAGTAGTATTGCGAAAGCGAAAACAATTGAGTCTTGATGAAAATGGTGTTGAAGAAGTAGTGATAGTGTCAGACAATGTGTTGCTCCAGATGACAAAAGAGAGGTGAGTGGTCCAAAGAAAAAATCGTCGCTGCTTCTGGTAGTGAAAATACTCTAACTGGTGTAGTGTTACTAGTAGACTCCGCATCCGCCAAGGATGCTTGCATAGATAAGTGGCCATTGCAATGGGCTCGAATGTGGTAGTAGGTGGTGTAAAGCTTGAAGCCATTCAAATGATTCTCGAAAGCGCCTCTGCGAAGGTTGATCCCATCTTGTGGAATATGACCCTCAAGGTTTGTAGGACTAAGTCGAAGGTACCCAGTGACTTGGCAATGTTGCTGTATGCCAATCCCTCTCCTGACACGTAAAGCAATAGCCGCCCTCGAAGGTAGTAGTATTGCCAGTATTGAAGAGAAAAGTCGAAAAAGCCTCTGCTCCAGATGCTCCCTCTCTGCCACGGAAACGGACCTCGAAGATGGTACAAAGGATGGGGGGAAGCCTCTCTGTAGTTCAAAAACGCCTCTGCACTCAGTACGATGTTCTCACTGCTTTCTGCCTGGACTTCATTTCTATTCAACTCTGATCCCTGCCAGCTTTCGAATGGACTGGGCCTAGTTCACGCGTGCTCCGGCTGCTCTTCAGGAAGGTCGGGAGTCTGCTTTGCGCTTAGTACATAAATTTGGGGTTTACATGTTCAAGGTTAACAATATCTTACAACGGATTTACAATTTTCAAAATCACAAGCAATTCTACAATGATTGCATAACAATGCATTACAAATACAAAAGGATTTGACTCTACTTGTTTCTAAAAGAATCTGCAATGATAGTTTTAGGAAAACAAAAGAAACAAAATAAAGAGTATACTTCAGTTGCCTGTAGCGCGGGCGCGTGTCTCTTGGATTCCCTTTGAGACCAACGTGACGAGTGCTTGGAGACCAGATCCGGCCAGGCCGGTTGGAACTCGCATTTCAGACATGTGCGGGAAGTGGATGTTCCAGGGAAACGTGCGCATACACCGAGTATGTGACCCAGTCACATGGGTGGGATGACGCGCCGTCACGCTTCTGTCTGTCTGCCTGCCTGCCTCTTGCTGTCGCTGTACATCGCACTCGATTCCCTTTGCGATCATTGCTGAAGTGAAGAGTCGGGGAAGGTTGTCGGGAGCTCAACTGGGATTTCGACTGCTGCCTGCTGCCGCAGTACCACCTCGCATTGGATTCCCTTTTGCGGCATGTTGAACGATGGGCCAGGAGTTGGGTCTCAACTGGCAGAGCGAAGCACGGCACACTGGCCGCCTTGCTCCAACTTGGAACACTAATCGCATTTGATTCCCTTTGCGATGGATTTTGGGTTTCTCGAGTTCTGGGCTAACCTACGGGAGGAAAGTAGTGCGAAAGTGGAACGACAACCCGCTGCGCTAGACTGCCGTCGAAGAACGCCCGCTGGCTATGCCTGGCTAGTCTGACTGACCGATGGTCTTCAACTGCTGCTGCTGCACATCTTCTGATTCGGAGTCGGATTCGGATGCTTGAACACTAATCGCATTTGGTTCCCTTTTGCGATAAACGACTAGCTAGGTGTCGTTAGCTTCTGTTCTGGCACGTCTCTGTTCTGCTCTGATCTGTCCGGATGGATCGATGGATGACTTGGCTTGGCATGGCTATGATCGCCGATCACTGTTCGCTGCCGTTGCTGAAAGTGACAAGTGATAGTTAGCGACGCTAGGCGCAGGCACAAACCCACGTGGCGCAGCTGCTGCAGCAGCCCTGTAACAACGACAACTCATCAGCTCACTTCGCAGCGAATCTGGTGATGGTGCGGTGTAGCGGCTCTCGGTCCAAACGCATTTGTTTCCCTTTAGCGTGGACCGAACGCACAATTTCTGTGCGGTGCAATTTGCAGTACGTGAGGAGCCAAAGCTCAGTACGTCACGGCGCCCGGCGCCCGGCACCGGTCTCAGGCGCGGGCTCTGTCCAATGCCCGAGGATGGGGGAGGATGCAGCGGCCGGAAGCGCCAAGCTGGAGGGGCTGCTCTACTGGGCACCGATGTGCGCCTGGTGTCTAGGTAGACCCCAACCAGCGGCAGCCCTCATCGGCAGACAACTCGGCTGTAATGTAAAAGCGTTAGGTTCACATCTTACACAGTCGGCGCAGCGACAAGGCGAGAGTACACCGTTTGTCAGCGTGCATGCGTGCTTGCGATCTCTTGCTTTACGATGTTGCTCGATGATGTCGCTCGACATGGCAATATTGTGGCATTCACAGTGGCAGCTGCATCTGCATCAGCAGCAGGTGCGGTACAACTGCGGGTCGCAGATGTCGTAGTTGTCGTTGTGGCGGCGGCGCGCACTGGTCGCTCGAGAGAAGCCTAACTGGATGGATTGATGCATCGTTTTGGATTCCCTTTAACGATTTGCAGCAGCACAGCCGTAGACTCGGCCAGCTAGGAGCGGTGGTGTGCACGATTGAACATTCCGACCGTCGGTCCTTGGCAGCTGCCGTGTCTACCGGTTCGGATCGCTTCGATAACCTATGTATACAGAACTAAGTCGATGCGTACAGGGACTCTCGACTGTGCGTCATCGCTGCAAGAAGTGCAAAAGAAAGTTATGGACAGCGAAAGGATCTCACTCTGGAAGGCCATGATAAAACGTCGCTTTCTTGCTACAAAACATTCCATTCCTCTTGCTGGACAGACTCATATTGCTGAAAAAACAGGTGTGAGCGGTTCTAATTGGGATCAGACCTGACCTGCATATTTATCAAATTCGCGTGTTGTATGGATGTTGGACTGCAGCGATTGAGTGTTGGTGTTATTGCTTTCAAGTTGGCATTTGATTCCCATTGCCTCAAGAAATTTTGCTACATGTACACACACACACACAAGGCGGGCGAAAGTGCACGGGTAAGTTCAACTGTGTGGACAGGGTCGGATCGAAACGGTCGTACCAATTCGTCATTTGACACTGCAAGGAATACATTAATAAAAACCAGGACTTGGTTGAGATATAAGAGAAACTTCGGTGAAGGCACATCTTTGTTTTTCCCAGCATCTCTCAAACACCGCTTAAATGGCGCCTAAAATGTGGCAGGACGGAGATGGTCGGTCGTTGCTTTCAATTTTGATTGATGTTGACGTGATATGGGCAGGCACATTCAACTGCACGCATACCGCTAAAATACAGAAATATTCGGGTCGAAAAAACTAAAAAAAAAAAAATGAGGTTCATGCGATGCCATCCTCGCAGAGAAACTGTCCGCCAATATGCGCAGGAACCGTTCAACTGCGTCATATTTCTACAAAATATAAAGGAAAAGGGTTTCGATTTCAAATATCTTAACTTTTACGATGGCGGCGACGCTCCACGCAACAACGCAAAGATATATCCAACATTCGAGGGAGTAGCTATTCGATATTGGCAGTCCGCAAGCCCAGTTTAAGTTTTGAACAAGAGCACTGTGCTAAAAATAATTGAAACAGGAGCAGTTTGATCTAGTTAGGTATACAAAACGAGTTACGCTTCGGTGTTCATTTCATTGCTTAGTATCATTCGTCCCAGATTACAGAAATCAACTTAAGATGGATCTGTTACTCCCACTCTTTCATGCGGATGCACGCAGGCACCGTTCAACTGCGTCGCATCGCTAAAACAAATAAAGCAAAAGTGACGATTGTGCCTATCTACTAAGTTACGTGTTTGAGATAAATATACACTCGGTCTTATCCGCCATCAGGGTATACATATATGTTAAGTACTGTGCTAAAAAATAATTAAATCGCAAGCAGTTCGTTCGGATTAGTTATACAAAAACGAGTTACTCCTTTGGTTATTGATCCCATCGAATATTCAACTATAGGGCCACGTAACATGGGCATTCGATTTCAATATAAACCAGAGACACGTCCTTCTGCCACTCATTCGGGCCGATGCACGCAGGCACCGCTCAACTGCGTCGCATCGCTAAAATAAACAAAGGAAAAAGTGAAGCTTGTTCCTAGTCTACTAACTCTGTTTGGTTATTCGGTCGGAGTAGCTATTATTCTACTTGGTACGCATGGCCGTGTTGGGGTAGCTATAATTAGGATGCCAGAGGTCTTGCTTTTTAGAGTACTGAGCTAAAATTATTAAAACAGAAGACATTCGATCGAGTTAGGTATAAAAATCGGGTTACGCTTATCGATATTCTTCCCATTGGTGATGTGTTCTTTGGTTTTTCGATTTTGAAGAGTCGACTAGGACCACATATTGTCCTTCTGCCATTCTTTGGGCCGATGCACGCAGGCACCGCTCAACTGCGTAGCACCGCTAAAAAAAAAAAAGGAAAAGGTAAAGCTTCTTCCTAGTCTACTAACTCAGTATTGTTATTCGGTTGAGTTCCGCTTTTGTTGTCGCTAGCCTATACGGAAGCCGGGTACACATCTTTGTGCTAAAATGAATATTTAAAAGGACGAGCAATTTTTTCGGATAAGGTATCAAAAAAAACTAGGTTACTCTTATGGAAATTGATCCCCTTGACGTGTTCTTTGGACTTTCGATATCAACAAGTCGACTAAGACCAGAGATACATCCTTCTGCCACTCATTCGGGCCGATGCACGCAGGCACCGCTCAACTGCGTCGCATCGCTAAAAAAAAATAAAGGAAATATTGAAGCTTGTCCTAGTCTACTAACTTTGTTTGGCGGTCTTCCTCTTATGCCAGTTTCAATATTCGCCTTGCATTCCAATTCTTTTCTACAAGATTACTCTGCTAAAAATATTTAAAACGAACATTTGGTCTGGTTAAGTATAAAAACGATTTACGCTTCGGCTACCATCCCATCGAGCAGACGTGGTTGCCCAGTGTGTCGCTTGGGCAGACTTTAAGGTATCTTCATCCCACACGCTCATACAGATGAACGCAGGCACAGCTCAACTGCGTCGCATCGCTAAAAAAAATAAGGGAAAACGTGACGGTTGTTCCTATACTACCAACTATTGCGTGTTTCTTCAGTGACATCCAACATCAGCCCTTGCACCCACAGGAACAGCTCAACTGTGAAGTGGCGCTACAATAAAGATGAAATTGGCTTTGAAAGGCCCAAAGTTTAGGAGTCTGAAAGTGAAGACGTGTGCCTAGGGTCCAATCAAATAAAACAGAAGATCCAACAATGTGTGTACACTGTACAGTGAAGCAATCATAAAACCCAGTTGATGTCAGAATTACTGACGTCTGCAATTCAGGAATTAATCAAAATAATTATCCCAAGCTGCTTACATGCGAAGTGAAACGAATTTTGCAACAGTGGCTCCTCAAATTCCGAACCGTTGAGTTGTAGAACGATTTGCCGATGATATGATAGATATTCCTTTGTCTTGGTTATGCTTTTGACTTGTTCTTTTCGCTGTAAATCTGTTCAAAAAAGCAATATTTGTTCGCAGCTGATATACCAAATACCGTGTAACTGTGTGGATGGGTGGGTGGTGGTCAGCAGCTGCGAAGCGGGCTATGCAGAATAGGTGGTGGTAGTTGGTGGTAGTGGTGGCACAGCCTCGATGAGGGCACGAGAGCTTCAAACGCAGGTAAGCTGATGAGAGCTGGAGCTGCTGCTGCGCGCATTCCGCCTTGTCCCCTTGTGATATATGTCCCCATGTCAGTTGTGGTCATGTCATGCAGAGGAGACTCGGTGGTGTTTGCTGCTGCTGCTCCGTGCTCATCTCCGGCGATTTGTACTGAATCGGCCATCGGCTGTATTGCGGAACTCACTGCCGGGCGGTGGAGGTAGGGGTTACTCGGACAGACGTGAAGACTCACTCAGTAACTCGGTAAATGAACGAATGCTTCTGGCGAGCGACCGCCGTGGCTTTGTACATGTTTACAGCGGATCCAATTCCGCATCCGCTTGCGTACGGATTTCGTCGTGTTGCTTGGTTAGTATTCCGTTCCTCCTCAGCGTTGCCATTAACGTTCGAGGAGCAGGAAACTGCAAAACAAAATCGGTTATAGATGCGGTTTTGTCACAAACAAGGGAAGTTTTGATTTTGTTTGCTTATAGAGAAGTTTGAATGAATAATAAAGGCAACTTGGATTTCAATATTCAGTTATTACAATATTTTATTTTTAGGTTTTATCAAATATCAGTTCTGTATGCTTACTTTATGTACATTAATTCTATGTTCAGATCGTTTACTCTCTAATATATACTCTGAAGTACTGAAGTTACACTTGCAATAGCCTCGTTCTCTAACACGCGCTGATTCAATGTGAATCGTAAGCACGACGAATTTCTCGAAACCAAAATCGGACAAAAAGTAGCTCAACATGGTGGTGTACACAAAAATAACACAAGCGTACGACTCACGGACGTGCGGATGTGTGTACGGGCACACAAGCGTGCGCTTGTGTTTGAGTTTCTTTGTTATGCTGCTGACCAATTTTGTGACGTCGCGATTGTTTTCGCCAGAATTTCAATTATAAACTACGTAACTTAACTAATAGTATAATGTTTACAAACCGAGTGTGATCCTGAACCAAGCCTCTTTCTGGTGGCGTTCGCACAGATTGATTTCTTCATGGGTTTTGTTTCAGCGCCATGACTCACACCATTTTCGATCGAAGGCCGTTTGCTCATCGTCTTCTCACACTCTCCCATCCTCTTTCTCTCTTCTTCATTACAATCTATAACATGTTTGCGACTGCAAATGAGAAATGGTTGTCGTAATAAAACTAATTTAACAACAAACAAACTACTATTCTAAGACGGCGTTAGGGTAACAGTTTCATTTTCTTTTTTAGGCATTGTTCTCCATTTTGGATACGCACACAGACACATGTATGCGCTCGCTTGCACGTAGACACTAGGACGGTCCTCCGCTATATTTTAATTATAGCATGGTTGGCTTCAGTCTAAAATATAACTACTTTAAAGCCAAAACTGTTCAATTTTGACATTAGAGGTCGCGAAATGGTCTCGAAATTTCATTAAATCGAGGACCCTAGTATACACACACAAAACGGGCACTATAGTCGTCTCTTTTTAACTGTTCACAGCAATGGCCGCGCAGCTGAGGTTTTTGTTGGACGTGTAACTGTTGCTAGCCAGGCTGATGTTGTTGCTGCTACTATTCCCGTTGCCAGAAGTGCCGTTGTTTCCACTTAGACTGCGCATGAAATTGTCGAGGCCACTGAGCTCGCTCCTCCACAGACTGTTTTCTATTTCGCGACGCTCCTCCGCCTCCACGGCTTTGGCTTTGGCGTCGGCCATGGCATCGTTGGCACAGTGCGTCTTGCCATGGGGAACAAACTTGGTCTGCATTTCCAGCCAGCGGCTGAAGCGCTCCTGCTGCTTTCTCCGCAGCTCGTGCTCCGCATGGAACAGGGCCGTCGACAAAATGGCGTTCACGCGCAGGTCGCTGCCCGCACCACGCAGCTTGCGACGCATTTTCTGACGCTTCATGCGGAAATTACGCACCCAATCCGTCAGGGTCTTGGGATGCTCGGCGGCGTCACACTCGTCGTAGTACGCAACCATTTTATTTTATTTCGTAAGTGTATTGTATTTTGTATTGCGACGCACGAGGAAGTATTTGTGAAACTGCTTAAAACACACACCTTTACAGTGACGACAAACTGACATCCGACGCACACCAGAGCTCTTTGAAATTTTCTTCTCCAAATTTTTTTTCGACTGTGTGCAGCGCAGCCGAAGCATTTCCTTATATACCCTGTCCGCAGCTACGAAGCGTATTGCTCCGCCACGTCGTCTTGGTAGTACCTGTTTTGAAATTCTGGCAACGTTCTGAACGATAGTTGGCAACACTAATGTACTTTTAAATCGTTTTTCGGAATGTTTCCAAACCAAAAAGGTTCAAAATTCATCCTTCTAACGTTTACCTGGACAGGTAGCCTTGATTGGTAAGAACATTTGTTTCTATTTACCCAGGTAAATCAGGTAAACCCATTTATTAAATTTAATTTAGTTTTAACTCTTAGAGTTACCAGATCTAGCAAGCCTCTAAATAATAATCGTTCAGGGATGGAAAAATTTATCCAGAGTTGTCACTGCAAATTATTTTTTTTAACTGCGCGGTAAACTCAAACCTATGAAGGTTTGGATTTGTATGAAGGTACATACATATTAAAGGTGAATACAATATGTACATAGATAATATATTTTTGAATTACAATAAGTAGAATAATTTAAGTACAATATCCTGACCTAAAAGATTCTTTTGGTTAAAAAAAAACTATTTGTTACGTATTTGATGGTGTGGGTGGGTGGTGTAAATATACCACCCAAAAACTAAAAGTCTATTTCGCACATTAAATCTTATTAAAAATATGGTCCATCCGAGGCATTCCCAGTCGCTGAGAGATGCACGCCACTGGAGCCGGAGAGCCGCTACGATCAGTTTAGTGGGAAACATCGCCGGGCTCGGTCGCAAAATCGAAAGAACGGTACCAAGTGGCAAGTTTCCAAGCAAAGGTCACGGACGGGGAAGGAAAGGGAACGGGTCGCGAACGTGAGAAATTAGCACAGATTGGCAGCGGTGCGAGAAAACAACTGGATTTTCGAATATTTCAAAATAAACAAATCGCTCGACGAAGTGTAAAGGCGCAAAAGTGCCCACAAAATTGGTCTAATTAAGGCCAGAAACGATTCCGAGTGTCCATATGAGTTATTGGCGATCCGCAAAGTTTTATGGAAAAGTAAATGACCCCGTGCACCGAGGGCAGAAGACAGAGGGAAGACACTGAGTTCGTATCGGCGGCGAGACACCAAATGTTCAACAGCTGGAGACAGCTGGGCTGAGCAGTCTCACCGCCACCTCCTTCCTTCCACCTCCATTAATTCGGACGCAATCGAAAGTTTATTATTGTTTTGGCCACAAGAGTGTAAACAAATAGCCAACTGAAGAAGGGGCCTCAGAAGATGGAGAACGTGCGCTTTTCGATAATCGTAAGTGGGGCGATCTCGGTACCACACCCATTCATCCCCTTTCTTTTTTCAGGAAAACGATCTCAAATGGAATTCGGAGAGCGACCGCGAAGCCGACGTGGATCTGCTCCTGGACAAGCGAAGTATTTCAAGCGAGGCCAATAATGATGGGGCGTTTAGTAATGAGGCACACGAGATTTTTGCTCGCCAGCAACAGAACCAGAACCTGTGGGAGCTGGAAGAGATCGAAGATACGCTGTTGGCGATGCCCGGAGCCAAGCACGTCCTTGATCTGTGTCAGACTGGGTGCCTTCTTGGTAAGTGATGCATTTTGGTCAAATATTTATTTGATCCTTTTTCATTACATCCTTTTAGAACTTATAACCGACTCTAGCGACAGCAACCTAGCGTTGATTTGCTGCTCTGTATTTGGCAACGTGGACAACATAATGTACCTTCTAAACCACTGCAACGCTGATCCGAATGTAGCGGACCCTCGTGGCCGCACACCGCTTCACTTCGCCTGCTGTCGCGCCAATGCCCCCATCGCCAAGGTGCTGCTCGATCGCGGCTCCGACCCGAATCGCTGGGATTCCAAAAAGGAGGTGACGCCGTTGCACTGTGCAGCTAGGTGAGTGTGTGGGTGGAGTGTCCACCATGTGTTGGCCGCCTGCCACACATTGCATCCATTAAATGTTTTATTTTCATAGCTCCAAGAGTATTGAGTGCATTCTGTTGTTGCTGCGAAGAAAGGCAAACATCAACATTGGCATCGAAAAGCGCTCGGCTCTGCACTATGCCATAGATGTCAATGCCGTGGAGTGCGTGGAAATCCTGCTCAAGTACGGAGCTGACCCCAACACGCCCCAGGTGTACACAGAGACTCCGCTGCATACCGCCAGTGCGGCTGGGTTCGCGAAGTGCGTCCAATTGCTTCTCAGCCACAATGCTGATGTAAGGTCGCAGTTCGGAGAAGGAAAGGTCACAGCCTTGCACTTGGGTGAGCAGAGTGAAGGAACTAACAAGGCATTTGTTACAACCCATAAAATTTTAGCTGCGGAAAACGACTATGTGGAATGCGCTCGACTGCTACTGGAACACCGGGCCGAGGTGGACTGCCGAAACGCCAGTCACCAGACGCCTCTGCACTTGGCCTGCCTCTCGCAGTCCATCGGAACGGTAGACCTTCTCATATCGTACGGCGCTAATGTGAATGCCGTCTACCGGGATGGAAGAACAGCTCTCCATGCCGCCATTGTGAAGCAGTCCCGCTGCCTGGACTGCTGCAATTCTCTATTAAAAGCAGGAGCAGATGTGAACAAAGTAATAATTCTAAAAGCTTATAGCTTATAGTTCTATGTGTCTAAATAATATGCCATTAACCTTTTAATGACGCTATTTTATTTTGTATTTAAGAGCGGGTCATAAATCCTGGGAGATTAAATGCTTTTTTTCATATTGTGATTCATTTATCATTAAAATTTCCTTAAATAGGAAATGAGCAGATAGTGTAATACTTTGTGTAATTTTAAATTAAATGTTTCTGACTATTTAAGCATTTAGTTTACAAAACTAAAAACGAAATCCAATTTCGGATCATCTCAATGGAATGAGAGATATTAGGTTTTATATATCAGAAGAATGCCTGCTAAAATAATGTAATACTTTTAATCCATTACAGGCAGATAACTATGGTTACACCCCACTCCATATTGCTGCTCTTAACGAATTTAGCAGCTGTGTGTACACTTTTATAGGTAAGTATATTAAAAAAAATTATTTTGATTTAGTTTCAAAAAAACTATAAGGATTCTTTTTACCTCAGAGCACGGTGCGGACATCACGGCCCGAACTGACGGACATGTCTCGGCCTTGTCTTTTATTGTCCGGCGTACTCCGGAGATTATTCCAAAGCTTATGCAGAAACTGGATCGCTCGATTAAGGCTAATGATCACGAGATCGGCGACGTCGATTGTCAAATAAAACTAGATTTTCGTCTTCTGGTGCCCAGTTCTTCGATGGAGCGCGGCGAGACTGAGCTTCTCCTCTCGTTGATTGAAGTGGGACAGAAGCGAATTCTGATGCATCCACTCTGCGAGACGTTTCTCTTCTTGAAGTGGCGACGTATCCGTAAATTCTTTCTTATGAGCTTGGCCTACCACACGCTCTTCGTCCTGCTATTTACGCTTTATGTGATTCGAGTTTTTGTCCGTTGTTGCAAGGAGGGAGAACCTTGCCTGGCTCCGGCCTATGTATCCACCATTGGCTACTGTGTCATAATCCTGAATCTCGTTCTTCTTGGCAAGGAGGTGTTTCAGATGGCGCACGGTCTGCATGGGTATGCAAAATACTGGGAAAACTGGCTCCAGTGGACAATTGTCTTTGGAGTTCTCCTCTGTGTGGTAAGTTCACGTGTACGTACCTACTTTTTACTGGTCTTCTTAGGGTATAGTCCTCCTTAGTCTCCGGAGATCCTGCGTACTGGCGACTTACTTGCGGTGCCTGTTTGGCAGCACCATGTGGCCGCTGTGGTTATCCTGTTCGTTTGGCTGGAGTTGATGATGCTAGTTGGCCGTTTTCCTATCTTTGGCGTATACGTTCAAATGTTTACAAAAGGTACATACCTGCGTACATATGAATATCAAGTTCATCCAGAAACACCCACTTTTTATTTACCCATTTCAGTGGCTGTTAACTTTGGAAAATTTCTACTGGCCTACATTTGCCTTCTAGTCGCCTTCGGCCTCAGCTTTGCCGTTCTCTTCAACGACTACCCAGCTTTCGAGAACATCACTTGGTCGTTTCTGAAATCCATCACCATGATGTCTGGAGAGCTGGAATTCGAGGACATTTTTTACGGGGACTACGCCGTTAAGTTTCCGGTTACCGCCCATATCATCTTCCTAAGCTTCGTCCTGCTAGTAACTGTTATCCTAACCAACTTGATGGTGGGTCTGGCTGTTAGTGACATTCAGGGACTGCAAGTAAGCGCCACCCTGGACCGTTTAGTGCGACAGGCTGAACTAGTATCACGGCTGGAAAGCCTCTTCTTCTCACGGCTGCTTAGGAGTGCCCCCACCAATCTCATGCAACTGTGCAAGCGGAGCGCTTTGCTGCGAACTTCCCGCGATAAGCTGCAGTTTACCATTCGGCCCAACGATCCTCGTGATAACCAGCTACCCGAGGACATTAAGCTAAACGTGTATAAGCTGGTGGCAGAGCGGCGGGACCGGAACCAGAGTATGCGGCGTCGTCAGTTTGAAAACAACTACAACATCTTCAGTCGTAGCCTGCAACGCCAGCAGGAGCAGCCCCAGAGGGAATCAATCCACTTGGATCCTGCTGGAGTTCCGATCAAGGCAGCGAGCCCAAACCTTTTTCACATGCACGAGCTACTTCGTCCTCGTTCCGCCACTAATGTGCCTCAACAGCTGCGGCAGGAGCAGGACAGTACTGTCAAGCTAAAGAACCAGGCCAATGCCATGAGCGCCGTGCAGGTAGAAGTTCAGGCCATCAAAACCCAGTTGGGTGAGCTAATGGCCAAGTTCGAGCGATTCTCAGAGAATGCCACGCGCAAACTGAATTACAGTGCCGACGAACTTTGCCGGTTGAGGCAACAGAACCAGTCAACAGCCTCTAACCAAAAGAGTCACCACCATCGATGATGTTGCCGGGGTTTTTAGTATTTTTAACCAGACATATAAAATATATTAATATACATTATTAAAATTGAGTAACTAAGGTGAACCTGTAAGCCATTTGTCATTACTTTGGTTCCACACGAGTGTGTCGTCGCCGGGCAACGGATCTCCAGGAGCTATTTTGGTCCAGGTTTGGGTGATCGGATTGAAAGCAAAGTTCTTCGAATTGGGTGGTGGTGGAGGAGCTGTTTGAGTCACAAGCGGGGGGCGAGTGATCGGCACAATATTGGGGAAAGCGTTCACAGCGCCAGCTGGCTTGTTGTTACTGATATATTCCACCTGCGACTTGGGATTGGAGTAATCCGGCGGAGCTCCCGCAATCAAGGAAGGGCAGAGCAGAAGCAGAGAAACTGAATAGTGGCCAAAAGTAAGTTTAGATTTCCTGTGTTCAATAAAATCTTACTGCAGAGATAACTGAGCATCATGATTGCTACGGGAGAACAAAGAACTCCTCCGATTCGGGTGGCACTAATAAAATCTGAATCTGAATCTTTTCAACGTCGCAACCGACAAACAACGCAATCGCAACTGGACTGACAGATCGCTCAGGTCGGGCGGCGGCCTTTCACATGAGAGATACAATCGAGAGGCCTCCAAAGCATTTATTTTTTTATTTCATGACGTCATTGATAGCTTTGTAAGATTGACTAACACTAAGCAAGTCTGGGGGTTATCTCTGTCGCTTCCGCGCTTCCTGCCCCAAAGCTCAACAAATTCCATTTCGCAACCGTTCAACATCTAAGCAGGGAGGAGAAAAGGATTATTTCCACCTGAGAATCTGGAACCCGATCCGTTTACTTACTTTTACCACATCGGAGAGCGCAGTTAAATCTATTTTCATTGTAGTAAACTATGTTGTCACTGCCACAGATGGGATTGTATTCGCTGGTGACCGGGCACACCTGCAGGCATGCCAGATATCTCGGGGAGGGAGTGGTGGGCGTGGCGGTCGTGGTAGTGCTGCTGCCATCTCCTTGAGTCGGTGGTGTCGGCTGAAAGACCTGAGGCGGTGTATACCAGTAGTTGAACAACGGGTCACCATTTTGCTCCAAAATCTGTGGTCGGCCTTGACCACATCCAATGCAAAGACAGCATATCACCAAAATGATGCCACATCGAGTCATTTTTGATTTCAGACTGCGTGCGCTTCTCTCGAAGTCCAAGGGGCTTCTGTGACTCTCTAAAAATCGGTGCTTCGTTTTATAAGCCGATTATCGCAATTGATTATTCAAGGCCCGAACCGACGTAAAAAGGAACTGATTGGGAATTCACACGTTGACTGGGGAAAAGCCAGTATTCACCATGTTAATTAGCGCACTGTAAAAAGAACACCTGAAGGGGTAGGCAGCTTAGTTGTCGATCGTCGTAGCCTTTATTGTTCGGGTATCCTGAAATTTGATTATGTTCTTACAATGTACATACCACATACATTTATACACATCTCGTGGAAAAAGTGGCAGTCTGCATTGGTTAGGCATCACAGAGGAAGTTTTCGCCCAGGCAGTAAGGCCGGGTCCAATGGTCAGTAATGATGTTATTTTCTTGAATTTTTTTTAAGAGCTTGGGATTTGGTGCGAACCTATAAAAACGAGGGGGCCAAAGGATTTGTGGGATGGGGCTGAAGCGAACGGATTGGCTATAAACTATTTTGCCGCATGGCAAAAATTCGTTGCATCTGTTGATGTTGGCGTTGCTGTTGATGTTGCTGCTCTTGATGGTTTTGTTGTTGCTTTTGCTTGTTCCTTCGGGACCCGCCCGACACACCTGGCTGCTCCTTTAGTGCATTCGGCATATTGTCGCCCAACATCAGGAATCCCGTCAGCTTGTTCTCCAACATGATCAGGCAGATGGGAACTACGGAGAGCAGTTGCAGTTTGCGAGGCGAGTGCTTCTGGTTCCGATCGGCGATCAATATGAAGTTGGGAGCATTGTGCGTATGGACGAGGACCTTCTGCATCTTGTAATTAATACTAATTACGTGGCCAGACTCCAAGGTTACCACATTTAGCATGTGCTGAAAGATTTCCATGACCACAGCGGTCATGTAGACGCTCTGCTTCATTTTAACGTACCGCTTGAAGTACAGGTTGCCGGAGTCATCTCCGGCTAATTTGGCGTTGTACTTTCGTTCGTTGGCCAACTTCGTCAGAGCATGCAGTTCGTCTGGAGTGCGTCCAGGCGGGGGACAGTATTTTAGGGCCGCCGCCAGAAGTCTAAGAAAATATGAGGCATTATTCAAGATTGGATTACTATGGAGGCCAGTATTACCGATGAACCATTATATCGGGATATCGACGAATCGGGCTCGTAAAGTGGGTGTATATGGGTATGGATAACGCATAGTGCCACAGGTCGGCGGGTTCAGTTTTTCCTTCGCTACAGAAGTACCTAAAAATTCAGACGAGATCTTAAGGGTAAATTTTTTTTCTTCCACATTTAACATTCGACTTACGTGGCTCTGGCCATTGGCTTCATAAGCAACTGGCTGAGGCAAGCGCTCATGGCCACAGGATCAGATGCTTCCCGGCATAGTCGCACCATGCTTTCCTGGAGCGCTTTTGAGGAACTGTAGTCGAGTTCCAAGCCTAGGGCCAAAAGCTTCTCCTTAAGCGATTTAAGCGATTTGGTCAATGGAGGGGGATGGTTTCGTAAAACGGCGATTTCCGGAAAGGAATCGTATATAAAACGAGCCACCGCCTGGTTGGCCAAAAGCATGAACTCCTCAATCATACGATTCGCTTCGCGCTGCTGTTCCACCTCATAACACTGCGGCTCTCCGCTGATTGGATCAAGTACGAAGCGCAGCTTTGCATTATTGATGGTGAGGGAACCGTTGTCAAATCGTGCCTTTCGCATCGACCGCGCCATTTCGTGGAGCAATAATACTCGTTCGGCGATGTCTTCAGGCTGAAATCCGTTAACAATCGTTGGGAAATCGTCCTCGGTAAAGCGTTCTCCGGGGTTGTCGATAATCTTTTGGGCATGCTCATAGGCGAACTGAGTGCACGAGTTAATAACAGTGCGTGCGAATTCGGGCTTATCTTGGAGCATGACTCCCTGCTCGTTCATTTTCCAGAACACTGAAAATGCAAACTTATCCTCTCCGGGCAACAGCGAACAGCGCATGCACATGGTCTGTGGGAGCATATGAATTACCTCGTTTACCAGATAAATCGAGGTGGAGCGCTCCTTAACGATTTCATCCAGCTCGCAGGCCTCAGATAGATAGTGTGATACGTCGGAAATATGCACACCCACCTCGAACACGTTATCCCCCAACTGCTCAATGGAAACGGCGTCATCCAGATCACGAGCCGTCAGCGGGTCAATGGTGAAAACACACTTCTTACGCAAGTCTCGACGATGGCGCAGATCGGCCGCACTTACAGGTGGGGCAGGCTCGGAATACATGTCGTTAAAGCGTTGCTCGAATGGCTTTATATCCCTGAGGCCGTTATGGAAAAGAATGGCCTTCAATTCGTCTTCCAGATTTCCCACTCGACCAACCGGCTGTATAAGTTCCGCGATGCAGTGTCCATTGCAGTCCGTCTCAAGAATATGTGCAAGGTAGAGTAATCCGGACACCTCGTTGGGCTTCTTTCCTATATGCGCCGCACAGGAATCCTGGGGTACATAGACCATCGGCACACGCAGATCGTATGGACGAAATTTATAGAACAGCTGGTCATCGCATAGTTTTGTGGGATTCGTAAAAGAAATCGTGCCAACGATCTGACGCAGCTCCGTCTGCTTAGTAATGGCTATAACAAACGCCTTGGGACAGTTGTCTGAGGATATAACGACCACGTTGTCGGGATCTGCGTCCGAGTCCTGTGACTCTGTTTCATCGGAGAGTTCCTCTTCGTCCGCTGCACGAAAACTTATGATTAGAGAATATTTTTTTATTTAGCCTGGGCCTTTACTTACCGAGCGAAATGGACGGTTTGCCACCAATGATGCCTCCAGCGGATTCCCCTGACTTGGAGTTGCTTTGGGCTCCAGCATTTAGGACAAACGCGCGTACCTTGTCTCCCTCGAAGGCGTAGCGGCGAGCCACCGGTAGGAGCACAATGCCATCACGTTCGAGGCCCTCACGATCGGTTGACATTTGAATAAAAGCCTGTCGGTTGTTTTTTCGGTTAACTCGAATCTCTTCCTCAACGATGCGTCCAAAGCCCGCCGCAGTCAAGCGCTGCGCATGGTCTTCGAGGTCGGAAAAGTCGCCAGTGAATTGCAACTCTGGTGGTAGTGGGTGGTCGACTCCGATATAGTCCTGAACTATTCTGTTTATATAAGCCCGCATCGCTACCAGCTCGGTCTTTAGCGACTGCTTGGGGTTCTTTCCAGACCCGTCACGTTTTCTATGATTGCGCTTACGCCCTCCTTGGCCTTGCTGCTCATTCTCCTGCGTTTGGTTTTGTTGAGGAGCACTGCTGCTGCTCGTACTGGATAGCTCAGACTCGCGACGCAGGCGCGCCTGGCCCTCCTGAGGCCGCTGCTGATTAATCAGCTGACGACCCATCTCGCTGCCACCATCAATGCGCTGTTGCCTCAGTCCGGCCTGAGGAATTTGGGTCACCTTGGCACGTAGACTGTCGGAGGGATGCATCCACTCCAACTGGGAAAGTACCCCGTTCTGACGAATTAGTTGGCTGGCATATGCATTGACGTCTGGTGACCAGACCATAGAAAGCTTTAGCACCATTTCCATTAGAGCGTTCACCTCGTCCCTGAGCACCTTTTTAGATTTCTTCCTCTGACTTGAACTTGGAGCGTTGATTTGTACATTCGCCCTGGAAGACGGTCCCTGTTGCATATTTTGCAGGAATTGCATCTGGGGCGAATGGGACGCTGACAGCTGGGGAGCCATCTGCATAGGAACTGCATGGAAAGGAGGCAGTGGCAAGGGATAAGGCAATGTCATTGGCATGGGTATGGCCATAGGAATAGAGCCGGTGTTGGGGAGGGCCTGCCTGTTGCTCACTGGCGTCGGGTTGGGAGCGGCCATTGCAGGTGCCGACGGCATGGAATGCCCTGGAGCCATTTCCACAGGACGCCTCAACATGAAGACCTTAGTAAGCTGAGCGGTTCTTGTAGCCTCACGGCAGCAAGCTGCCGCCGCGGATGTCTCCATTTCTCGATGCGTCAACTGAAGGCGAAGGGCAAGGCGTTGTGAGCGTATGCGGAGCGCCTGGATGACCTCGAAGGAACTCTGCTCCTCACTTTCCACGTCAAGACTAGACGTTTCCGACATATTCTGATCGCGTGGTAGCTGACTTGGGAGGATGACTTCGGAAGGTGTAAAAGGAGGTTGTTGTTGGATAACACAATAACGGTAAAAGTCTATGTCGGGCTACTGTCTGCGCGACTTTATTTACAACGCATTTTTGTTTTTTATACGTCTGACAATTTTTTTTGTCACAATTTTTAGAATTCGATAAATCCTAAAAATCGATAACTATGGGGGAAAATACAAATTTTATTTTTGAAAAAAAAAATGTAAAAATACCATTTAATCCGCAATACAGTATTTTTTTAACGCCAACGGGAGCGGGCCTGTAAACATCTGCCACCACTTGGTAATTTTTCTGATACGGGCCCGAGAATGAACGACGGTAGGTTATTTTGTTTTGTTTTTTTTTACATTTACGGCAATAATTTAAATGTCTACTTCCTCAGAGGAAATTATAAAGCAGCGTCTACTGATTGACGGAGATGGAACGGGCGAAGACCGACGCCTAAATGTGTTGCTTAAGCATTTTCTGAAGTGGGCCAACTCTAAGAACGACTCGCCGGAGACCAGGTAATTTTAGTCCTTCTCCTGGGAGCCATCTTCTAACGTTTTTCCAACGTGTAGCCAGGTTATGTACGACAGGTTAATGGCCCAGTTTGCACAGTGCAAGCTGACAGCGATGAAAAACGTACAAACGCTTCAGATGATCAATGCAGAAAGGGACAACTACAGTCGGTTAGTGGAGCAGCACGAGGAGAGCATAGTCCTAGCCCGGGATGAAATAGAGGCTAGCAAGAAGGAACTTATTACCGCTAAACAGATAAGGAAGAACAAAATGGAATATGATCTTCTGGCCGAGCTCATCGAAAACCAACCCGACAGGAATGGCACCCAGGGTCAGATCGAGACTATTCGGCGGGAGATCGACGACTTAGTGCAAAAGAAGTTGAAGATGGAGCGAAAGTTCCAAAAGCGGCGTAATGATTTCACCTTGCTTATGTACACCATCCACGAGCTGGAGCAGCAGCTGGAGCAGGACAACAGCTCTTCCTCGGCTTCGTCGACGGTTAGTGAAAGCGATACCCGTTCAGGGCACGATTTGGACGACAACGGAATCATGGAGGTGAGCGACGAAGATGATGATCTCAACAACAGCGGCCCCACCAAGTTCGATGGTGCTCGTGGGGAGCAAAAGTATCCATCTGTATCCACGGAGGACTCTAAAGCAATGTCCGTTGAGGAGGATACTGTGTTGGAACTTAGCATTGATAAAGATGAGCACGACGTGGATGTAGCTGTAGCTAGTTAGGGTCTTAGAATTCCCGTCACTTTAATTAAAATAAATGCGAAAATAATATATTCCTTATAGCATCTGTCAATTTTATCGTATTCTGCAAACTATGTATAATAAAAACTGATAAAACTTCCAAAATTCTTAAAAAATAAAATTTAATTTTTATTAATTAATTTAAAAAATCTGGGTTATTTTTATATTAAAATATATTAATATTAAAATATACCTAAAAAAAGTAGGCTGTTATTTCTGACAGCTATTTCTATATTCGAAATACAGTCACACTAGAAGCCACCAAAAAGGAAAAAGTAGGAAAATTACACAAATTTGTAATTGATAAGCAAACTAATAGTCTTTGGAGAAGCAAACAGAGCAAACCTAAAAATGATGACTGATAAAAGGTAAGAACAATTTTGTTAAACACATTCAGCGTGCGTGTATGTATTGACTTCGTTTCCTCGCAACTCCCCGCCCATCCCTTCGTTTTCCCCAAACAGCTATGACTCCAGTAATAGCGAGTCGGAGGAACGACGGACTAAGCACAAAAAGCCAAAGAAGCACAAAAAACACAAAAAGTCCTCTTCAAGCAAGAGTGAGAAAGAAAAGCACCCCCACAAGAAGCATAAGAAAGCTAAGAAACGTCTTCACCGGCAAAGCGAGTCCTCGGACTCTGAAGCGCCGGAAATAGCGACGATCAAGCAACCACGTAACGCATCATTAAGTAGCAAGTTTACCGAGATTATGGAGAAGGCTAGTCGGAATGGTGCCGATCTAAGACTTGCTAAGCAAAAGCTGCCCACGGATCCTTGTAGTCTAGTTGAAGAGATAACCAAGACTATACAGAACAAGGTGCTGCCTGTTTTGGAGGTTGCCAGCTCCGGCAGCGAGAGCGATGTGTATGTATTAGTGGCGGGTATATCATAAAAAAATAATTTAAGTCTTCACCATTTTTTTCATAGCCCGGTCGATGTGGCCAGTCCCGTCATTTCGCCGATTATAGAAGACGAACTTAACTTGGAGGACTTAATGCGACAAAAGGCCCTGCTGCAGGCTCGCCTTGGTGCCTATCTGTCGGACCCTGAAGTAGAAGAGATGACCGATCCCCCCAACCATCGCCAGACGCCGAAGAAAACTCATCAGGAGTCTTCGCAGGGAAAACCTGTGGCCAAGGTGGCTACCCACGCAGCGCAGCCCCACATAGCCGCCAGCAAGTCTGCAGCGCCGCTGGCCACTGCAACTAGTAAACACGCTATTATTAAACAGTCTAGCAAGCATAACTCAAATGAATCCGATGTTATATTGTTGGATGATTCTAGCGGAGGACAGCGCACGCCCTCGCCCACACCCGAGAAGCGAAGACGCCATGCATCCCCTTCCCCGGCCACGACAGCGCCAAGAAGTCGTGTTCGTGATGAGTCAACCCACGCCCGTAGAGAGCGTCGCTCCAGGGAACGAGAGCGCCTTCGCAGCCGCACACCACCGCGTCGCCGAGGAGAACCACTTCCTATACAGTCCAGGCCCCGAAGTCGCAACCGGAACATGGAGGATCTTCGGCAAGAGATCAACCGAGACAAGCAGCGCGAGAGGCGCGAACACAGCCGAGACCGAGATCGTGAGAGGGATAGAGAACGGGAGCGGGACCGTAGAGGAACGGACAGGCAGCAGGCAACTGAGCCGCGTACGGGTCGCCCTAGGGATCGGGATGGTCGGCCGAACCGTCAGCGATCCCACAGTCGTAGTAAGTTGGAGTCAGACAGGCGCCGAGAGCGCGAGCGCCAAAAAGATCGAGACCGAGGTGGTTTCGATCGTGGACGCGGTGGTGGCCGTGGTGGGGACAACGGGGTCGGCGACCGTGATCGCTATAAAGGCTCGCTAAGCGAAGGTCAGAAGATGCATGAAAAGGAAAGCAGTGATGAAGACATCAATCTGGACATTGACATTAACGATGACGAAGACGATGAAGAGCGTATCATCGAACAGCGGCGAAAGAGGCGAGAGGAACTACTTAAGGTTTGTAAAAAAAACCACTTTCGAATTTCGTACTGGTGCTAAGCTTTTTTTTTATAGAAACTGGGTTCTGGTCAGGAATCACCCACGCCACAAAACTCAAACTCCTACGAGTCGCGAAGTACTTCGCCAGGTTCATCGCAAAGACCTGCTAGGTCTCCCACGCCGACTCTCCCTGAAGCAATTCACCCGAAGGACCAGCAGCAGCTAGATAATTCGGGTAACCAAAAGAATAATAAGGACTCCGGTAAGGAAAAGCGAAATGAATGGGACATGTTTGCTGACCAAGATGTGGATTCTAATTTTGATGTGAGTCGCAGGCTTGTAAATTTCTGAGCGTCTAAAATGTGATGGGATATTAACCTATTTAATTTTGCCAGTCTCCTAATACAATTGTTCAAAATAAGCACCAACACGATAATCCCGCCCTCACCGACAACTGGGACGATGCCGAGGGCTACTATAGAGTTCGAATTGGCGAGGTTCTAGACAACCGATACCTGGTAAATGGATACACGGGCCAGGGCGTATTCAGCAATGTTGTGCGCGGAAGAGATCAGGCTCGCGGGCAGGCCAATGTGGCCATAAAAATCATTCGAAATAATGAGATAATGTAAGTATCGAGTTTTGAATTGATTAATTATAAACAGATTAAATTGTTCATTTAAAAATACGTATACTTTTATATGACTTAAAACAGGCATAAAACGGGACTACGCGAGTTGGAAATTCTCAAAAAACTTAATGATGCTGATCCGGATGATCGGTTCCATTGCCTGCGCTTATATCGCCACTTCTTTCACAAACAGGTAACTCAAAATCCAATAAGCTCTAGTTATAATAATGCTCTAAATGTTTTTTTCGATACCCCCAGCATCTTTGCATGGTTTTTGAGCCACTGGCAATGAACCTCCGCGAGGTACTCAAGAAATACGGCAAGAACGTAGGCCTACATATAAAAGCCGTGCGGAGTTACACGCAGCAGTTGTTTTTGGCGCTTAAGCTGCTGAAAAAGACGGGTATTCTGCACGCAGATATCAAACCGGACAACATCTTGGTAAACGAGAACAACTTGATCCTGAAGCTGTGTGATTTTGGATCAGCTTCGGGCATCAGTGACAACGAAATTACCCCATACCTTGTTTCGCGATTTTATCGCGCGCCAGAAATTATCTTGGGAATACCGTACGACTATGGCATCGACACGTGGTCGGCCGGCTGCACCATCTACGAGCTGTACACGGGAAAGATTCTATACAGTGGAAAGAGCAACAACCAGATGCTCAAGTTCTTCATGGATGTTAAAGGCAAGATTCCAAACCGCATTGTGCGTAAAGGCCAGTTTAAAGAACAGCATTTTGATCAGAGTTGCAACTTTTTGTATCACGAAATAGACAAGCTCACTGAAAGGGTAGGTTAATGAACTTTTAAGAAGAGTGTTCAACCCCTCATAAAACAATGAATTTTATCAATTTTGCAGGAGAAGATTGTAGTGATGCCGGTCATTAAACCTTCACGGAGTTTACAACAGGAACTCATCGCTGATCAGAACCTTCCCGATGATCAGCACCGTAAGGTGACGCAGCTAAAAGATCTTCTGGAAAATATGTTCGCTTTGGACCCAGCGAAGCGGATTTCCCTAAACCAGGCACTAATGCATCCTTTTATTCAGGAGAAAATGTAGAGCAGCCTACGGCTTCGAATAAACGTAAATCTGTTTGCTAGCTTGTAAGAAAACTGATACGCCCAACTCGCGAGTTAGTTATAGACTAGTTACTATACTCGTTTGATACCAGATAACACGCTCATCTAGAAATCACACGACCTATATACATCTTTTTAGTTGATGTAAATAAGTTCGGTGGTTTTTTTACTGTACGGCGCGATTAGAAACCCGAATTAAACTAATTATGCTTATTCAGTTAGAAAATGTTCCGAAACTTGTTATTCGTGTGTGTACCATGCGTGTATATAAGTATTTTAAAACCACTCTGTATGAAATGCATGTGACCGATTTTCCACACACAATATATATATATATATTAAAACCCATACATTATCCTAGTTCTCTATTTTTCTTATTCTGTGCTATTGTTTTTTAATTAATGTGTACTACTATTTCAGTGTGCCGCTGTTTACGGAAGAGCATGTCTTGGCCATGGGCTCACGCAACTGGTAATAATTGTTAATCACTCCCTTGCAGAGGTTTACATTAAGTCAAAAACTAAATAAGTCGTTCCGATTGTAAAGGAAATTTATATTTTATTTAGTCAGTCAGAACATAAATACTTACTTCTAAATTGTTTAACTATTAATTCAATAATATCCTTTATTACGTATTCGTATACGAAATCAGAATCTGACATGTTTTAAATTAATATCACTGCAAGAAATGCCTGCTTCGGCTAGACGAAGAATGTATTGGGGGTATAAGCTTTGTACTGACCAATTACTCGGGACAGTTTAAGCTCATTCCGCAGACCTTAGTTATGCCCAGAAACTAATTATATTTAACCTTGCAGCTTTTTTGACCGGGAGTCCCGCGGAGTCCTCTGTCGTCTGCGGCTCCAAGAGTTATTTGCTTTCTGCACTGCGTGAGTACATTTTAAATTATTTCCTTAATTTTGTTAGGGATTTGGAACTCAACGCAATATTATTAACATGGGTTGGTAAGTATTTTACCTGTGCATGTAGACTCCGGCCCAGTGGTTCTTCCAGAGGCTATTCTAGATCTTCGCTTGGCACCGGAAGTTCCAAGGCTGCCTGCAAGGTCTCACTTGAATCGAGACTGTGGAGTTCAGGAGGCTGCTGCGCGCTTTTCAGTAGGAACTTAAAATGTCTTGGCTTCCAATTGTTGTCTAAGTGAGGATCACGAACAAGCCCAAAGGCGCACTCGAAGACGCCAACGCATTTGTCCTTCGTGTGCAACGTGCCGCAGGAGAGTACCACGACGTGGCCATAGGCATCCATACGGCCCTGAATACCGTCGTGCGTCAGGTTCGGATTGAAATGAAATCCAAATTGCTGCTTTATGTTTGATAATGCTGTTATGACGTCGGCCGCATTGGAAGACTCAAGTTGGTTCACCCCATCGCTGGCTACAATGGTCATGTTCAGAGTTGCGTCACTCCACAAGTCTACCAAATAAACATTGTCCTTGTTAAAGTTTTCGAAGAACCACTCTCCAAATTTTCGAGCAATCGTGTGAATCGGGTAGTCCTCTTCGCTTTTGTGTTCGCTATTAGAAACTAAGTCAATGGAATTTTGTGGTATGGTGGACACAATGCCTTGATCCCAGTAATTGATAACCTTAGTTATAAGGTCTGCTTTTGTAAAGTCCGTGGTCACCCCTGGAATTTTAGTGTTGAGGTACGTAAACAATATCTCTCTTGAGATGGAGCGTTTCGAAAGTAATTTGTACGTGTCGCCAATCTGTGTTATGAGAACATCTAGGGCCTCTGTAAGTTAAGACTTGGAAAGTTTAATAAACTTCCGATGAAATGAAATAAAATGCGCAGACCTGAGGGATCCTCTGTTTTGCAGACATGTTTAGTGGTGCTTTTGGCAAGCTGGATGAGGAGTGGTCCATTCTTTTCAGTTTCTAACAAATCTTTGAGGCCAACCTTATGATGTTCCAAGATAGGCATTTTTTTAAATTTATTTTTGTTATTAGCTGCAGGTAATTGTTTACCTGGCAACCAATTCTGTTTTATTGGTGAACAGCTGTCGGCCACAGGTAGGGTCGCACCAATTACACAATGTTGCCAAACTAATGAAAGTAAAAATAAAGTGAATGCGTTTCGCTGTGAATGTCGTTTATGCCCATCATAATCAGGAAAATTCCTAAACAGAACATTTTGTATTTAAGATGGTTTAAAATATAATAAATTATTTAATTAAAACCCATAAGAAAGAATTTGTATTAATTTTTATGTCAACAAATTTCACCTCTTTGCGAACTACCTAGTTTCCAAATTTTCCGCCGCATGAACACTCTTTTGCCTATTTGTTGTATCACTCTCATTCGCAATAAATATTTACAGTCGAAACGAGTTTGAACGGCTGCACCCACAAACAAGGTACTACGGAGATTGGCAAAGAGAGGGCTCGACGACGCCTTATCTCTTATCGTGGTTGTTTCCGTTGAATATGTCCAATAGATTCGAATAGCTAAATTAGTGTCGCCACAATCGCGAACGAGTGCACATACATAACCCTATTTATAGGTAGAGGTGAACTCTGGACACAACATATTTATTACCAAATCGAGGAATGGATTCTTCACCAACGTCCGATACCCCTTCGCGCCCACCAGCTCCGATCACGGGCCCATTTGTGGGCGCCATCGACGAGGGCACAACCTCGGCGCGATTCATAATTTTCCGCGCCGGCACCGATGACATTGTGTGTTATCACCAAATCGAGGTGGCCTCGATCTTCGCCAAAGAAGGATGGTGCGAGCAGGATCCCTTGGCTATTGCAAACACAGTCAACGAATGTATTGCTGGAGCTTGCCAGAAATTGGTCGCTGCTGGTGGTAAAGTCGAGGTAAAGTAAAAGTCAAAATATCCGCATTAAATGTGGGTTAATGGGTTTCTATTTATTGCAAAACATCGTGCAGAGTTTTTAAGAGGGACTAGCTGCAGTCCAAAAACGCGCGGTACCTCTGGGCCTCGTCGATCCTATCCTGGATTGTTCGCGGCGGTTTGTCCTCTGCTCGCTCATCCAATTTTATGTATATTTGGTCGTTAAAGCAGAAGTCTCCTTCTCTGCGAGGCATGACATGGAAGTGAACGTGTGGCACCGTTTGTCCGGCATGAGCTCCATCCTGGACGGTTACAGTGGCAGATGTGGTTTGATAAATCTTTTCAAGCATACGTTGCACCATGCAAACAGTGGCAAACAGATCAGCCATTTCCGCGCAGTCAAGACCACATAGACGAGATGTGACTCGCTTGGTAGACACCAGCACATGACCGTCCACCACGCAGCGAAGGTTCGTAAAAGCAAAGCAGAATTCCGACTCGTAAAATATAGTACGTTTATCCACTATATTCTTGGCAAAGAACCGATCTTCAGTAGGCTCCTTGCTTTTGATATTGTATGCCGTCAGGCTGTATAATTCGTTACGTCGGTGCTCGAAGCAGGGCATACTCTGGTACAGAGAATCCAATGTCGCAAGGTTTATTTCCGCGGTACCAAGGTTCAGTTCTTTTTCGGTGCCACAATCAGCTAGGACCCTGCCCCAGGGATCAACGATTATGCTTTGGCCCCAGCTTTGCCGCTTCTTATTGTGCCATCCCTGTTGCGCGGCGGCTACTACGAAGCACTGCGTCTCGATAGCTCTAGCACGCAGGAGGATCTCCCAGTGCGCTTTCCCTGTGGCATAAGTAAAAGCTGCTGGGTAGGTGAGAATCTGGGCGCCAAGCTTCCGTAGCAGAATTGACGTCTCTGCAAATCGCAGGTCGTAACAGATTTGTAGTCCCACCATGCCGACCGGTGTCTTCACAGGCCTCTCTAGGCGTTCCCCAGGGGATACAGTACTCGACTCGCGTAGTGTGATCTCCTTGGTGGTTGCGTCAAACAGATGCAGTTTGCGGTATACGGCAGCTAGTTCCCCCTTCTCATTGACCAGCACATGAGCATTGTATATTTTTCCCTCCGAGTTCCGCTCGTGTATTCCGCCGAGTGAAAGCCATATTTCGTTCGATTTGGCCAGCTCCCTGTACTGAGCCATAAGTTGACCATCCAATGTTTCGGAGAGCTCCAGGGTCTGCGCGCGATTTTCGCCTACAAAGTCGCAGCATTCGGGCAGGAAGAGCATGCTGACATTCTTCGACTTGGCCTGGGCTACCAGTTCCTGGACCTGGCAAAAGTTTGCAGCTTTGTCATTGGTGGAACGCATCTGGCCCACAGCAATGGTGGTGCTCGGCCTTTTACTACTGGGACAGTTCTCGACGGATTCACTTGCCATACTTCGAAATTGCTTTGGGCTGCTGACAATAATGCGTCGAGCTATTCTGACAAGGTTTGACATTGAAAACGGCCGACGTCGGAGTGCAAAATTTCCGTACAGTTACTGGTTACGTCGCTCACTTGGTTTGTTATCAATTATCCGCTCTCTTTTTCGTTGTTTACATCCGTCCCACCAGCCTACGTTCCTGATAATTTTGTGTCGGCTCTGAATGGCAACCAATGTGTACACACCAATACTTAAAAATAATACTAAAACATTTATTTATATAAAATTTTTAAAAAATCCGTTTTATACATATATGTTAAGCACTCTGACTATAACTAGTTCCACTAGATACCAGACTAGCACTCTGACTATAACTAGTTCCATTAGATATCTACATTTTAGATTAAAAATAAGTAACACCCCATTTTCAAGGGATCCCCTCACGAAAAATGGAAAAAAAATCAAAAAAATATTTTGCTTCAGGATTTTGATGCAGAATGGTAGAGAATCGATCCAGAAATCGTTTAAGGTACTCCGCTTGAGAATCGGATCAGAATTGGGGAAGATATAGCCATCACTGTGTGCCATATAGGAAAAACCCCATTTTCAAGGGATCCCCTCACGAAAAATGGACAAAAAATCTAAAAAATATTTTGCTTCAGGATTTTGATTCAGAATGGTAGAGAATCGATCCAGAAATCGTTTAAGGTACTCCGCTTGAGAATCGGATCAGAATTGGGGAAGATATAGCCATCACTGTGTGCCATATAGGGAAAACACCATTTTCAAGGGATCCCCTCACGAAAAATGAACAAAAAATCTAAAAAATATTTTGCTTTAGGATTTTGATGCAGAATGGTGGAGAATCGATCCAGAAATCGTTTAAGGTACTCCGCTTGCGAATCGGATCAGAATTGGGGAAGATATAGTCATCACTGTGTGCCATATAGGGAAAACACCATTCATATAGGGGAAACCCCATTTTCAAGGGATCCCCTCACGAAAAATGGACAAAAAATCTAAAAAATATTTTGCTTCAGGATTTTGATGCAGAATGGTAAAGAATCGATCCAGAAATCGTTAAAGGTACTCCTCTTGAGAATCGGATCAGAATTGGGGAAGATATAGCCATCACTGTGTGCCATATAGGGAAAACACCATTTTCAAGGGCTCCCCTCACGAAAAATGGACAAAAAATCTAAAAAATATTTTGCTTCAGGATTTTGATTCAGAATGGTAGAGAATCGATCCAGAAATCGTTTAAGGTACTCCGCTTGAGAATCGGATCAGAATTGGGGAAGATATAGCCATCACTGTGTGCCATATAGGGAAAACACCATTTTCAAGGGATCCCCTCACGAAAAATGAACAAAAAATCTAAAAAATATTTTGCTTTAGGATTTTGATGCAGAATGGTGGAGAATCGATCCAGAAATCGTTTAAGGTACTCCGCTTGAGAATCGGATCAGAATTGGGGAAGATATAGCCATCACTGTGTGCCATATAGGGAAAACCCCATTTTCAAGGGATCCCCTCACGAAAAATGAACAAAAAATCTAAAAAATATTTTGCTTCAGAATTTGGATGCAGAATGGTGGAGAATCGATCCAGAAATCGTTTAAGGTACTCCGCTTGAGAATCGGATCAGAATTGGGGAAGATATAGCCATCACTGTGTGCCATATAGGGAAAACCCCATTTTCAAGGGATCCCCTCACGAAAAATGAACAAAAAATCTAAAAAATATTTTGCTTCAGGATTTTGATGCAGAATGGTGGAGAATCGATCCAGAAATCGTTTAAGGTACTCCGCTTGAGAATCGGATCAGAATTGGGGAAGATATAGCCATCACTGTGTGCCATATAGGGAAAACCCCATTTTCAAGGGATCCCCTCACGAAAAATGAACAAAAAATCTAAAAAATATTTTGCTTCAGGATTTTGATGCAGAATGGTGGAGAATCGATCCAGAAATCGTTTAAGGTACTCCGCTTGAGAATCGGATCAGAATTGGGGAAGATATAGTCATCACTGTGTGCCATATAGGGAAAACACCATTCATATAGGGAAAACCCCATTTTCAAGGGATCCCCTCACGAAAAATGGAAAAAAAATCTAAAAAATATTTTGCTTCAGGATTTTGATGCAGAATGGTGGAGAATCGATCCAGAAATCGTTTAAGGTACTCCGCTTGAGAATCGGATCAGAATTGGGGAAGATATAGTCATCACTGTGTGCCATATAGGGAAAACCCCATTTTCAAGGGATCCCCTCACGAAAAATGAACAAAAAATCTAAAAAATATTTTGCTTCAGGATTTTGATGCAGAATGGTGGAGAATCGATCCAGAAATCGTTTAAGGTACTCCGCTTGAGAATCGGATCAGAATTGGGGAAGACATAGTCATCACTGTGTGCCATAGAGGGAAAACCCCATTTTCAAGGGATCCCCTTAAGAAAAATGAACAAAAAATCTAAAAAATATTTTGCTTCAGGATTTTGATGCAGAATGGTGGAGAATCGATCCAGAAATCGTTTAAGGTACTCCGCTTGAGAATCGGATCAGAATTGGGGAAGATATAGTCATCACTGTGTGCCATATAGGGAAAACACCATTTTCAAGGGATCCCCTCACGAAAAATGAACAAAAAATCTAAAAAATATTTTGCTTCAGGATTTTGATGCAGAATGGTGGAGAATCGATCCAGAAATCGTTTAAGGTACTCCGCTTGCGAATCGGATCAGAATTGGGGAAGATATAGTCATCACTGTGTGCCATATAGGGAAAACACCATTCATATAGGGGAAACCCCATTTTCAAGGGATCCCCTTACGAAAAATGGAAAAAAAATCTAAAAAATATTTTGCTTCAGGATTTTGATGCAGAATGGTGGAGAATCGATCCAGAAATCGTTTAAGGTACTCCGCTTGAGAATCGGATCAGAATTGGGGAAGATATAGTCATCACTGTGTGCCATATAGGGAAAACACCATTTTCAAGGGATCCCCTCACGAAAAATGAACAAAAAATCTAAAAATATTTTGCTTCAGGATTTTGATGCAGAATGGTGGAGAATCGATCCAGAAATCGTTTAAGGTACTCCGCTTGAGAATCGGATCAGAATTGGGGAAGATATAGCCATCACTGTGTGCCATATAGGGAAAACCCCATTTTCAAGGGATCCCCTCACGAAAAATGAACAAAAAATCTAAAAAATATTTTGCTTCAGGATTTTGATCCAGAAATCGTTTAAGGTACTCCGCTTGAGAATCGGATCAGAATTGGGGAAGATATAGCCATCACTGTGTGCCATATAGGGAAAACCCCATTTTCAAGGGATCCCCTCACGAAAAATGAACAAAAAATCTAAAAAATATTTTGCTTCAGAATTTGGATGCAGAATGGTGGAGAATCGATCCAGAAATCGTTTAAGGTACTCCGCTTGAGAATCGGATCAGAATTGGGGAAGATATAGCCATCACTGTGTGCCATATAGGGAAAACCCCATTTTCAAGGGATCCCCTCACGAAAAATGAACAAAAAATCTAAAAAATATTTTGCTTCAGGATTTTGATGCAGAATGGTGGAGAATCGATCCAGAAATCGTTTAAGGTACTCCGCTTGAGAATCGGATCAGAATTGGGGAAGATATAGCCATCACTGTGTGCCATATAGGGAAAACCCCATTTTCAAGGGATCCCCTCACGAAAAATGAACAAAAATCTAAAAAATATTTTGCTTCAGGATTTTGATGCAGAATGGTGGAGAATCGATCCAGAAATCGTTTAAGGTACTCCGCTTGAGAATCGGATCAGAATTGGGGAAGATATAGTCATCACTGTGTGCCATATAGGGAAAACACCATTCATATAGGGAAAACCCCATTTTCAAGGGATCCCCTCACGAAAAATGGAAAAAAAATCTAAAAAATATTTTGCTTCAGGATTTTGATGCAGAATGGTGGAGAATCGATCCAGAAATCGTTTAAGGTACTCCGCTTGAGAATCGGATCAGAATTGGGGAAGATATAGTCATCACTGTGTGCCATATAGGGAAAACCCCATTTTCAAGGGATCCCCTCACGAAAAATGAACAAAAAATCTAAAAAATATTTTGCTTCAGGATTTTGATGCAGAATGGTGGAGAATCGATCCAGAAATCGTTTAAGGTACTCCGCTTGAGAATCGGATCAGAATTGGGGAAGACATAGTCATCACTGTGTGCCATAGAGGGAAAACCCCATTTTCAAGGGATCCCCTTAAGAAAAATGAACAAAAAATCTAAAAAATATTTTGCTTCAGGATTTTGATGCAGAATGGTGGAGAATCGATCCAGAAATCGTTTAAGGTACTCCGCTTGAGAATCGGATCAGAATTGGGGAAGATATAGTCATCACTGTGTGCCATATAGGGAAAACACCATTTTCAAGGGATCCCCTCACGAAAAATGAACAAAAAATCTAAAAAATATTTTGCTTCAGGATTTTGATGCAGAATGGTGGAGAATCGATCCAGAAATCGTTTAAGGTACTCCGCTTGCGAATCGGATCAGAATTGGGGAAGATATAGTCATCACTGTGTGCCATATAGGGAAAACACCATTCATATAGGGGAAACCCCATTTTCAAGGGATCCCCTTACGAAAAATGGAAAAAAAATCTAAAAAATATTTTGCTTCAGGATTTTGATGCAGAATGGTGGAGAATCGATCCAGAAATCGTTTAAGGTACTCCGCTTGAGAATCGGATCAGAATTGGGGAAGATATAGCCATCACTGTGTGCCATATAGGGAAAACACCATTTTCAAGGGATCCCCTCACGAAAAATGGACAAAAAATCTAAAAAATATTTTGCTTCAGGATTTTGATGCAGAATGGTGGAGAATCGATCCAGAAATCGTTTAAGGTACTCCGCTTGAGAATCGGATCAGAATTGGGGAAGATATAGCCATCACTGTGTGCCATATAGGGAAAACCCCATTTTCAAGGGATCCCCTCACGAAAAATGAACAAAAAATCTAAAAAATATTTTGCTTCAGGATTTTGATGCAGAATGGTGGAGAATCGATCCAGAAATCGTTTAAGGTACTCCGCTTGAGAATCGGATCAGAATTGGGGAAGATATAGTCATCACTGTGTGCCATATAGGGAAAACCCCATTTTCAAGGGATCCCCTCACGAAAAATGAACAAAAAATCTAAAAAATATTTTGCTTCAGGATTTTGATGCAGAATGGTGGAGAATCGATCCAGAAATCGTTTAAGGTACTCCGCTTGAGAATCGGATCAGACCCTGAAGTATCAAAATAACACTACTTTCGTTTTTTTTTTAAGATTGAAAGTTCGAACTTTCTATAAATTCTATTTTGGGACATATGATCCGACCTCCTAATAAGGATCATAAGGATCGTTCCACTATATCCCACAGCTGCCATATAACTAAACAATTGGAAAAAGTATTTAGTATTTGGTAAAATTACCAGCTTTAGTATCTTTGGAGATAAAAGCTTTGGACTTTTTTTTTAAGTTTTGTATTTACAAAAATTGGTTTTATAATAAAAGCTAGCTTTCGTTTCTTGTTTTTTATATTTTAATATTTCTTCTTTTGTGACTAATTTTAGGATATTGTTACAATCGGAATAACCAACCAACGCGAGTCCACCGTTGTATGGAATCGCAACACAGGCCAGCCCTTGGCAAATGCCATAATTTGGTTGGACAATCGTACAACAAGCACCGTGGAGGAATTGTTGGAGACAATACCAAACAATGCTAGAAACATTAATTACTTGCGTCCTCTTTGCGGACTTCCCCTTTCTCCGTACTTCTCAGGTGTAAAGCTACGCTGGCTGCGCGACAATGTTCCAGTAGTAAGCCAGGCCATGGAGAAGGGCACCGCCATGTTTGGCACCATCGACACCTGGCTAATGTATTGCCTGACCGGAGGAAAGGATGGAGGGATACACAAGACGGACGTGACCAATGCATCGCGCACCATGTTGATGAACATTGAAACGCTGCAATGGGATACCAATTTGCTAAAGTTTTTCGGGCTGCCCAAAACCATTCTTCCCGAGATCTGTTCGAGCGCCGAATTCTATGGCAATATTGCTAATGGCGTACTCAAGGGAGTCAGCATCACTGCCGATTTGGGCGATCAACAAGCAGCTTTAGTGGGACAACAATGCCTGTCCAAAGGTCAGGCTAAGGCTACTTACGGAACGGGCTGTTTTCTCTTGTACAACACCGGGCCCTCCATTGTACACTCCCAGCACGGACTTCTTACCACGGTCGGCTATCAACTGGGCAGGAAGTCTGCTCCTTACTATGCCCTCGAAGGAAGTGTTTCTATTGCTGGAGCGGCTTTTAACTGGTTGCGAGACAATATGGGCATCATCCAGAACTCTGGGCAGATAGAGTCAATGGCCAACACGGTTGATAATTCCCTCGACGTTTATTTTGTGCCAGCCTTCAATGGACTTTATGCTCCGTACTGGAACCAAGATGCCAGGGGCGTCATCTGTGGGCTGAGTGAGGAGACTACAAGCGAGCACATTGTGCGAGCCACCTTGGAGGCGGTTTGTTTCCAAGTACGAGACATCCTCGACTCAATGCACAAGGATTGCAAAATTCCTTTGGCCAAGCTGATGGTGGACGGTGGCATGACTGTGAACAATCTTTTTCTGCAACTTCAGTCTGACTTAGTGGGGATTCAAGTGCTCCGGGCTAAAATTGCTGAAACCACCGCTTTGGTACGTAACTCTAAATTTTGCAATGACTAAGATTAAAGATCTTAAAATTTAACTTTTGAAATTTAAGGGCGCTGCCATGGCCGCATATAAAGCAGTGGAAAGCCGCTATTCTATGGAGGCACCACTTTCGAAGTCCGGTCCCCGGGAACCCATCAAACCCTCTATTAACGCCACCGAGAGGAATCTCCGTTACCAGAAGTGGAAAATGGCTATCGAGCGCTCTTTAAACTGGGAGACATCCACGCTTCCTCAGGGCGAACGCGAGGCTTTTGATGGAGCATAAAATCGTTCTTGCTAATAATTTACGATGCATTTGTTTGTCGTTTCGTTTATTTCGTAATGGTGCTTCGGGCCGAAAAATTATTTGTTTTCACAATTGGATTTTATTGTATATATAAAAAAGATGTTGATGACAAACGTAGAAAGCGTTTTCTGTGCGCTCTTCGGCTTTGCTGGCAGTGTGTTCCGCTCATCCACCGCCCGTTGCGTGTGGCCTGTTGGATCATACGTTCTCGTCCACGACTCCGCCCGCTCCACCAGCTGCTTGTTCCAGTTCATTGAGCATTACAACACCTCCTGCCGCCTCATCTACGGCAACCACTGCGGCTGGACCAGCCACGCCCATAGCTGCGGGAGCAGCGGCTACACCAACGGCAAATTCAGCGTTGTTTGGATGTGGATTAACCACAGCAATTGGTGGAATTGGGTTTCCACCTGAAAAGTAAATTAAAGTTGAAAATGCGTGAAGTCGTATCATAATGTTAACGTTCTGACTTACTTGCATCCAATTCCAAGGGCGGATCGGCATTTGCTTCGGCGAGATTCGTTACAGATTTCGATTTGACGCATTGAAAGTCCACATGGCGACTTTTAGCTTCTTCCTTTTCCCAGGACATGTGGATGAATGGACGCTGCACATAGCTATAGATCACTTCTGCCCGTCCACCGGGGCGTCTTCGAATCTTTTCCTTGTGGGTGGGGTATCCCTCAATACCGCAACGGATCTTCTTAAGCCCACGGTCTTTCATCACCTGTTTTGCGACATCTCGATTCTCGATGTACTTAAAAAAACGATGCATGGCAGTGCTATGAACGGCTGAACGGAAATGTTTATTAAACAAAAATTCTATTCTTTGTGAATATTTGAACTTACTTTGACAGTACTCCTCGCCCATTTGGGGTGGAAACTCTTCGTCCCAGTCGACCATATCGTCTTCAAGAAGCACAACCACGTGGCACTCCCGATCCCCACGTTGCGCAGACGCTACCATCAGAGGCAGAATTAAATCTTCCAAAAAGAGCTCAAACTGTTGGCGCGCTCCTTCGTTGCTGAGCTCATGGAGAAGGCCTCCTTTTTGTCAAACATAACAGAAGGCATGTTACAAGAAAGGAAGAGACGGAAAGAGCAAAGAGCAGAGGTGGCCAAAACTAAGGTTCGCGCGGGCAGATGCAAGCACTTTATACTCACTTAGGTTTTGGCATCGGACAGTTGTGGCGTCGAAGGGAATGAGAAGGTAGTCACAAGCTTCCTTCAGTTCCGGGACCGAAACAGTTGGTGGGCATCGGATTACACCGCTCTTGTAGTACTCCAGGATGGCCCTAAAGACCAAGTGAGAAATGCCATCAGCCACGTCGTACTCTCCGCGCTCGTTGGCGTGTGCGAACTGAAAGCCGGAGCCGAACATGGTGCCCAGCATTGTGGTTGGGTGGGCCGTAAGAAGAGACTGCTCGACCGTGAATCTAACTCCATCGACCAGCATGGATATCCTTTCGGGAGGTGCTTGAAGACGTCCACCGACACCGGTCGAGGTTGTCGCCTGGCCACTCGTCGATGCTCCTACGGGCGATTTGCCGTCATGCTTGGCAGCGCCTCCGCCACCAGACATGTTGTGCTGCGGACGGTTCAAACGGCTGCGATTTTTTAAGATTCGCCTTCGTCGCTCCTCAGCCGCCTCGAGATTCTCCTCACTGCTGTCGCTGCTGTACGTATCCTGCTTTTGGGGCTGCTTGTTGTTGCTGTTGCTGCTGGGAGTGGTGGACATGGTTGTGGCGTTTTTCTAAGCCGCTTTACATACATGTATGTAATTCTCGAACTTGAGACAAAGAAGCGATCTGTTGACGCGAAAATGGAAAATTAGACATACGCGATAGGAAAATGCCACTGCTTATCAGCCGACTTTCGTGGTCCCATTTACTTTACCTATGTGCGACTGTTGCCCTTTTACATATAGTTATAAATATACATATTTCTTTTCGATGCGTTTGTTTTTTTTTTCATTACTACCAGGCAGTGTTACCAGGCTTCAAAATTGCCTATCACCAACTATGAGTCGTAAAAAGGAACAATGGGATTGAAACACGAGCGAAGTTTATTTGATTCAAATTTAAAAATTTTTTAAAAAAACTCTGACACAGCCTCCAACACATCAGAGTTGTAAATACTCTCCAATGCAGCCATGACACGTTGATCCGACAGTAGCTCTATCAGGCGGTGGTCCTCTTTAACCGCATCAAGAGTAGAATACAATAGATTACTTTTGATGTCGGTAACATCTGGTTTGTTCATTATGTTAAGGATCTTTTTTTGCTGAACGATTTCCGGGTCAGGAGCGTTCAGTTTTGACACGGCATTTGCCTCACCCACCTCTTTCTTCAGTTGCTCCTCCCTTTCGTCTTCTAGGTATTTAATGACACACTCGTACTGCAAAGCAGTCAACAAATGGTTGTCCGCTAATCGGTTTAACAGTTGCTGAATTTTCTCTGGGTGGCGATGTCCTCTTTGAACGAATTGTGCCGGAGTGACCACCGCATCCCGCTGCTTCTTTAGCCTGAAGTCAGTGGCTATCAGGGTGATGGCATCTTCTAGCGGCATATTGCGGTGCTCTGCAGGAACCCCATAAAGTATATTAACAGTAATGCTGTTAAGGGCTTCATGTTGAGGTGTGACGACTACAGCGTACAAGCAGCCTCGTGACGAGATATTGGCCAACACTTTGCCTAGCATTACGTCCTCGTTGGGGAACAGCACATCCACTCGCATCCCACAACCCCTGAGACGGTCTTCAATGTTCTCTGCATATTCGCTGAAATGAAGAGTTAATTTAAAAAATTGCGCATATCTAACTGGTATTTTAACCGGCTTACGTGTTATCCCTGTTAACCACTATAATCTCGCAGTCGTTAATAAGGGCATCTTCAGCTTCCACCGCCGACATGGCGAGTCCCCCTTGAACGGCTACATGTGGCGGAGGTTTTGGAGGCGAGTTTTTATTTGGATTGCAATTAGGCACTTTTCCTTTTTGGCTGGCGTTTCTTACAGTCAATTGTTTTGACTTGAATATAGACTTGTGCAATGCGGATGCAGCTTTGTTGGCTATTTCCTCCGATTCAAATTGTACAAATCCATAATTTTTCTGCACCATTGATCCCAAAACCTTTCCGTAAGGCTGACAAATGCTTACGATCTCTTCGCGTGTACAGTTTGGAATGTTACCTAAGAAAACGCGGCTTTTTATTAGTTTTGGGTCTTTTGTTATGTTGTATCCTGAAGTTTCTGTCATAATTTTATTCTCAGAACTGTCAAAACAATACAGAATAATAAAATCAATTATAGTGTGACCAGCTAAAGTTTAAAAACAAATTCTGTTACAAATTATTACTACACCTTCTGTATGAATCAAAATTTTCACCCAAACATAATATTTTATATGGTTTCAGAAACTTTATGCAAAACGTACTCTAATATATTTTACAATTGTTCGAATCTTAAAATAAATTTATAACAATAGGCTTTCAACTTTTTTTTCTCTGGTCACATTGATATGGTCATGGCAGCGAATTTACGTAAAACCTTAATCGTGGGTAAAAAAATAATAATTTATATCATATAAGTAAAACTAATTCTCTTTTAGACTGATGGAAACATGCGAAGGGGATTCGCTTCCGCCGCTAAGCTGTTAAAAAGCCAACCCGCCAAAATTTATTCACTTACGGCTGTCGGAGAGTCTATTGCCGCTAAGGGGTAAATAAGTGGTCTATCTTCACACGAAGCTGTAACTTAAATCAATTTTTATTTAAAGTTTTCTGCGTCCCCACAAATCTTACACACCACCTGCCGATGCAGCTGATAGGATTCGCTCTGTGGCTTCATCACTTCAATTAAAAGGGGATAAGATTGGTGATCTCTCTGAAAAATTCAAATTTTTGTCCGCGTGCTTCCAGGAACTCAAACACGGAGTACCCAACTCTCAGGTGCACGAGTTAAATACTATAAGCGATGTGATCATCTTTTACGAGACATCTGTTGACACAACTGTCCCGCTAGACGCACTGAAGCGCGTTGAACTACCAGAGAACCTACACATTCAGTACGAATATTTGCGGTTCAATCCAGAGACGGACACTAAATTCAATGGACAGACTGCGTTCCCAAAGAGTTCAACGCTAGTGACCGGTCTCAAGTACCGCGGCAAGTACGAAGGGAATGAAGCCAAACGATCGTGGCCTTAGTCAAAGCATCATTTAGTTGTTATTGATTTAAATTTAATAAATTGTGGGTTTCTCTAGAAACTTGGCCACCGCTTTTGTTAAGTCGCTGTTTTTGGAATTATGTTTGGAACAAAATGAGGAAACTGATGTCAGTGTTGGTGGAATTGATAGATCCTTTGGAGTATTTTTTTTTTTAGATAAATATTTTATCTTTGAATATGAATTTATCAATATTCTTTCTCATTTACATATGTAAAATGCACATATATATGTATGTGTTTATCAACTAAATAGACTTATCGGAAACTTATTTCGGTGTAAAAAGTATAAGTAAATAGGAGCTACTAACAAAAATGTTTGTAGTTTGTTTTTTTAAATTCATCATGTTATTAACTTTGTACATACTTGTCAGCCCTAAGCATAGGGCTCTGGTATAAGCCATAAAATATCGATTACATTCGATAAGTTTTAATCAAAAAAATTTATAACTGTCCAACGGAAGTTTAAAATATTGTTAAAATGTTATATCTGGTGCTTATTCTTGTTTTTAAATAATGAGTGTAACATCTCCGAATCCAAGTGTGGCCTCAACATATTTTTCGGAGTTTGAGCAAGAAAATGAGTGCTCCCAGAAACGACGATCTCTAAGGTTGATCGAAAAGGAGTCCCGATCATTGGCCAATTCTGCACGAACATGCAAATCTCCGCAATTGTTTGGGGAAACCCAGGAGGAGTGTAGTCAGATATTATGCCAGCAGCTCTGTCCAACCAAAATCGTCCATTTAAAGAATGAAGAGACAGCTAATTCAGCAGGGGCCTCAGAAGATACGTTGTATTTTAAACCAGATGAAAAAGTTCAATCTCTTCACCGATCTACTAGGATTATGTATCTCAAGCAGGAAAAAGAAGACAAGAAACTAATATCCAAAGCATCAGAAGGTTCTGGTCGCACGGTAAATCGAAAAAGAAAGGCAGATACTCAGCCAAAATGTAAGCCAGGACGAAAAAGAAAGCCGCCTGCTGAATCCCACACACTTTCTAAAACTATAGAACATCCACCCTTATTAGATACATTACCCTCTACATCAAAGCTCCCTCTTCAATACCCAGCGCATTTTGTTCACCAGTTGCCACCTACGAAGGAAAAAGCCATCTTTGTACACAATCAATCTTTGACGACTCCCGCAGTTCAACTTCAAGAATTGTGCCCCACACCAGAGTCGACACCAATGCTTACCACAGAGGGCGTGGACCCACCAGACGCAGATTCCGATAGCTCTATGACAATCTCCTTGAGCGATTCCATTGGAGAAATATTTGGAACCAAAGATATATGCACCATATTAAACGTAGAGTGTCCGAGGCAGTATATTCTAATTGAAGATCACCTTCCTGCAATGGCCACCATGCTTAATGTGGAATTGAGTCGCTTGCAAAGCGTTTTGGATATTATACAACGTCTGACTCACGAGCAGATCGTTCAATTTTCTATAAATCAAGATGACGAAGTCCAGCTTAAATTAAATAAGTAATATGTAGTTCATAATTTTTCCCAAATGTCGTATAAATCTCCCTAAAATTCATAAGATATACATTTTTCGTATATTTATAAGTGGTATTTAATTTTTTTTTGTTTTTGCCTTAGACTTTCAGAGTGCACAATTTTGTTTAAACCTTTTACTTTGTTGTATATTTTAAATTACTAATTCTAAACGTTATCTAGACTTTATTATAATTCATAATTGGTTTGCTTCTCCCCTCGGCGACAAATCAGCAGCAATCAATCTGGGTTTTTTTGACTCATCTCGCCACCACATTTTTATGCTCTTGCTGTTTGCGTATTTTGTTTTATGTATATACAACCGCGTGGATATAGTGTCGATCTCTAGTACTCGCTTTCATAACTGCCGTCTTGTTGCGCCTGTGTAGAATCATCCGAACGCTCAGAGGTGGGCTCCAGATCAACGTCCAGCGCTGTGTTGTTGGCCGGACAACAGCTGGGATGGGCCATGGAGTCGAAGGCATCTTTGATTTGGTTGTTGGCACCCTTTGGATCGAGATCGGTGGCCCAGCTAAAGTGCATCAGAGCCAGGTCCATGTTTCCAAGTGTCTTGTGTATCTTGCCAATAAGATAAAACACCACCGATTCCTTGGGTACTATCTCCTTAAGCTCTTCCAGCTCCCGCAGTGCCTCTTGATACTTACCAAGCGAAAAGTATATCGAACCCCGATGAAAACGGGTCAAAGGATTTTTGGGGTCCAAGGCCGCGGCTGTGTTTAGTGTCTGCAGGGATAGGTCCTTTTTCTTCATGCAGTACTGCATAGCGCCTATGTGGACTAGGATTACAGAGTTCTGTGGATTTATTTTCAGTGCTTTCACATAGTGAATCTCCGCCAGTTCGTGCTTTTCCTGCTTTGAGTAGATGGTACCAATACCGAACCAGGCGTTGTAGTGGCGGGGATCGCGCACCACTGCTGCTCTGAAGTAATCCATTGCTTTGTCGAACTCCTCGGTCAGTACTAGCTCATGTCCCAAGAGAGTGTAGCTGTAGACAAAGTCCGGATCCACTTGCACGGCCCGTTTGAAGAACTTGATAGCGGTTTCGTGTTCCTTTTGAAGGGAGAAACAATTGCCGGATACACACCAGGTCACCGGATTAGTCTTGTTCTGGTTGATCAAATCCTGGGCCAAAGAAGAGAGTTCCACCTCTCGTTGCAAGTGCCACAAAGAGCTTGAGTAGATCTCCATATAATCTAGGCGACATGGCTCTGCCTTATGAATGCTTTCAAAGATTGTTACTGCATTCTCATACTCGCGCATCTCGTACCTTGCCAGTCCAATCAGTGACTGCACCCAACTGGAATTAAGATGATTTTTTGGTATCGTCGTCTCCAACTGCTTTATAGCAGCCTTGCACTGGAAGTTGGACAACAGTTGATAGGCTTCGGCTAAGTCACGAAGCAGAGCCATCAGTCCGTCGGCAGATTGCTTCTTCAGTCCCAACAGCTGATGGGCCATCGTTTGGGCATTGTTGAGGCTATTGTTTAGCAGCACTTTTGCCTCTTCGGCGGCAGTGCGCCCATTAGCGTTGTTGTTTGCTCCCGATGATGTGATGGTTTCCACCTTTTCCTTACGCTTTTCGGAGAGGTGATGAGACTTTTCCTCGATCAGTTCGTTATTCAGGCAGATCTTAGTCATCCGCGACTTGGTTTTCCTAGGCGGCGAGCGTGGTTGCACAAATTTATTGTTGGTTATGTTGGGTGATTTGTTATTCTCCTTAACCGAGTACGCGGAGTTACTAAACAGTCGCGAACTGCGACGCACTGCAGCATTAGCGTTGGGCGCAACGTTTATATTACCATTATTGCCCACATTGTTGTTATTTGGAGTGCGGGGAGTGATGTTTCCCGCCTGAGCAAAAACGGCGGGCTTGTTAAGGCTGCTCTCTTTGCGATTTATTAGTCCACCGACGTGCGTTTTCAGTTTCTTGCCCATTATCTTGGGCTCCTGATTAACCTCAACCAGCATCTGCGGCATCGGAGAATAGCTGCTGATGTTCATTACGGGAGTGTGGGCACCAATAAAGGAGCCATCGCCGCCGGTGCATGGACTAGTCAGAGGCATGACACCGAAGCTAGGAGTAGGTGGTGAGATGGCCGAAAGATATTTGAATTGCTTTCGAAACGGTGTACCGCTGCTCATGTCATATAGCTGCTGGTGTTGCTGCACAGACGAATCGTGTGTGAAGCCCCCCATTGGAGTGTCTTCCAGCAACGCCAGCATGCTGGAGTTTTGCATCAGACTACCTCCGCGGAGCATACTGATCGAGCTGTTGAGATTGTTATTGTTATTATTGTTGTTTATGGGCGTCATCAGATTGCTGTTATGGTTCTGGTTTTGATTTTGATTCTGGATGAGCTGCTGTGATTGCTGCTGTTGCTGGTCCACCGGGGTGGTCAATATGTAGTTTGAAATATTGCTTAGGTTATTAACGAGCGACTGGTTCACCTGCTGTTGTTGTAGGTGCGGTTCGGCGCCGAAGAGCACCATTGAGTTGGCGCTGCTACCTTGACAGGTGTTGAACACATCCGTACTTTGAATTTGGAATATAGATGCCGCGTCTGTGTCCTGGCCCAGCAGGCACAGGTCAGCAAAGGCGTGCCACATGAAAGGATTAAGTTTGAGGGCACGTCGTAGCGCACTAACGGCCAGTTTATTGCGCTCCGTTCGCACGCAGATCTGCGCCATCAGTTGATAGGCGAAACAGGCCAACTCTCCAAAGTCTTTTTGGAGTTCTTCGAAGTTTTTGTTGTCCGCGAACCCGGACGCGATCAGTGCACTCTCCGCTTCGGCAAACTTCTTAAGCTCGTAGGCGCATTTGGCTTGTAGGAATCGGCACTGTGGTGACTTACGCCCCTTCTCTTTCAGGAGCCAATAGGCCTGGTGCACCTGATTAGAGCGAAAGTAACTAGTGCCCAGCAGGAATATCGTATCGTCGCTCTCCACTGTAAAAAAATTCAAATAAACAAAGTATAAATAATTAATGAATCTGGAAACCTAGAGGACCTTGACCTTTACCTTCCGCGCACAGTCGCTCCGCCAGGAAAACAGCATCTTTGAGGTCGTAGTAATTCATACAATGCCATATGGCGGCCTTTTGGTGGAACGAGACAGAGGGAGATTAGAAAGCAGTCAGGTGCATGAAGAAGCTATCGATTTACCTGTACGGGCTCTTGAATCATCATATTGGGTGACTTTGTTTGGGGGGCGCAACCAACTACTTGGCAAGGGACTCCAATAACGTTTTCGGCTTAAGGCGGCTCCAATTCTGTGTTTTTTTTACAATAATTCAAACATGCAGTGTATACAAATAGAACAAATTATTATCATGTCGCCTTCGCACACGCTACTTGCAAATTTTCCAAAAATATATTAGCACTATTTGTGGTAGTGAAAAGAAAAAGTGTATGCAGCTCGAAAGCTTCGGATTTGGTTTCGGATGCGACCCGCTGTTGCTGCTGGCGGCGGTATTGATGGTTCCCTGACCACTCCACTCATATACCACTTCCACTTTAGAAATTGCAATTGGTTTGAGTCGAGCCTTCGCCTTCTGTACACACACACTGTTGGGCCTAGCGTTTTCCGTACTTGTGTTTAGGGGTTTTCTTTCTTTACAGACGCACACGTATGTGAAATGCGGGAGGCGCCAACATAGGACTACACCTTTGCAACATTTTTATTACTAAAAACACGATGCATTGGCGTTGCATTCCATTTTTAAAAGTAAAACTAAAATATGTCCGTGCTAAGAGCTGTCAAAGTATCGATAACACGAAGTATATATCGATAAAAGTATAGCGTCACGCGGTAGCACAAAATGGACAGATGGTATTTTCGGTATAAATGCAGTATCTGAATTAATTTTAATATAATGACCCAAATTAAAAAATTATATATTTAAAATATGAAGCTTACTACGTTACTTTTAAGAGAAAACTTTCGACAAATGACTACTTTTCTCCAGAAACACTTTTTATATAAATGCCATTTTACTAACAAAGCGCCTTTAATAATACTAAATATAAGCTTATATTTATGGTAAGATACACTACACTCTGGTCCTATTGAGAGTCGCTAGAGCTAGAGCTTGAGCTGTCCGTAGACATCACCTCAACGTCGTCTTGGGCGCGAGTCTCTAGTGCTACTGTATTTCCTGAAGCGCCCATGGTCATGTGAAGCTCGCCCAGGTTCCAGTTGAATTGGTTTTGATAGGAGTTTGGAACCTCGCCGCTGGCACCGGCTCCGCTGCTACTTCCACTGCTCCCTAAGTTACGCTGCTGATCTGAGGCCATTCCACTGTTCTGATGTGTAACGGGTCCCCCGTTTAAGTTCTGTTCCGACTTGCCGAGAAGACCGTTGCGCATTTCAATATCTGTTGGATACGGACGCCGCAAATCTCCGATACACCATGTGAGCGGGGCACTGACAGCGTTGGCGGAGCTAATACGGTGGGCGTACTTGATAAGCTCCTCTGAGGAAACTGGACGTTTGTTAGCTTGGTTTATGCTGGCCAATTTTTGTCGTGCCTGAAAAATGGCAGTGGACAGGATGGACTCGGCATCCTTTAGGGATTTCTGAAGTTTCTGAATTTCTCTGTCCTGTACAATAGTCATTCCCGATTATAGAATCCATACAAGCATAAAAGATACATGCTACTTACATGCACCTCAACCTTGGCACGAAGTTTATCCATCGCATCTTCCACTTTGGCCTGCTCATCGGCCAGTTCAAGCATTTTGCGAAGTTCCTCGTCTTTGGCAACCAGAAGGTCCAACAAGTCGGCTAACTCTGTGCTAGATATTTTTTGATGCGCTTGCTCAATCAGCTCTTTTGAAATCATCTCCATATCGTCGACCAAAAGCAGCAGACGCTCCTTAGTGCTCAAGTGAAACGACATTACCTCGGAAAAGTCCAAAATAAGGTCAATTTTGCAAATTGTTTGTTTTATTTCTGGCCGGTGCAGTGTGACCGCTTTTAGATAGTTAACTTACACTAATAAATACTAAATAAATGGTATTAAAATACTACATTTGGGAACCATTCAGCGTTGCCGGACTATCTTAAGATTCAAAAATATTCAAATACAAATTTTATCTGAAAGTTTTTCAATAGTTATTGGCTAAAGTAGTTTCCTCCCTATAATTAAAGCTAATAATAAATTTATGTGGTACGTATTATTTTTTTATTTCTTTCATGTTACATGCTTCGTAGTTACATTTTTAGCATAAAACTCTATGTTGATTAGCCGAACCTTCTCAAATATGGCAGATTAAAATACTCTCATGTATCCTCTCGTGTTCGTTCAGTTTCTCTTATAACATACAAACTAGCAAGCAGCTTGCAGCAGGTACGTTGAGGGCCATGTTAATAACCGTTTAGAACTAGTACATATTCCTATAATTAGTTAAAATATAAGTGGTTTTTATAGATTTCTATAGATATATTTTCCCAGGCAGATGAAGATGGGTCTTCGAACTCGGATTAGTATCTCTGGCTTTCCCGATCCGAATATTTTCCACTCAGCTTGCTGACCGAATACCGATCAGAGTATGCATCGTATTTATCCGCCTTGTAATTTATCTCTTGAGGCGTATAACCGATGTTCTTCTGCCAGTGTCGTGTCCAGTAGAGATCTTCGTTTCGCACCTGAGACGGGGTCCTGGCGTCCCGGAACACATATACACAGTAGATCATACAGCCGATCAGGGTGAGGAAACCAAAGATCAGAAAAACGATGCCTAGAATCCAAACGTACAGTGGCTCGTAGAACTGCACCACGATGACAAAGCCCAGGGTGACCAGGATTAGCCCCAAATTGAGCAGCAGCATCAGACAACACACGCCCTTTACGTTTGGGCAGAAAGGGTTCGGTGCGGACATGGTCTCGATTTTGGCACCCCTCCTGGTCGTCGAACGGGCACTACGTCCAGTTTTAGCGGTGCTGGCCACCGAATAGACACTGCGGGGAGCTCCACGGGACACTGGTCGGGCGCTATAGCGACTACGAAAGAAAGAGGTATTTTTGGGGTCTACTTATTAATCCTTATTTAAAAACTAACCTTATCTCTGAGGGCGCCTTGTAGGCGGCGCTGGTCACATAGATGTCACTACCAGCGTCACCAGCTTGATCATAGCTTAGGGCGGATGGGGCCCGTGGGGGCTGGCGCGTTGGTGGCGGCCCGCTAAGAGAACGGGGACCTCCATTGTCCGGAGAACTCGAGAGGCCCATCTGACTGTGGCTGTAGCTACTCTGAAGGTGCTGGTGGTGGCCATTTGAGCTGGAGGAACGCTTCTTGCGAGACGGATTATATTGGTTGCGGGACTGAGGCGAGACTCGCTCATGAGTCAGCGTATACTCCGAGTAGGTGCGCTCCGAAGGGGCGCGGTGGGAGTGCGTCTCGTCTCCGTCCGTGGAGTAGCCGCGGTTGGAGTGCACGTAGGGTGGATCGGGTGTGAGGCGTCCGTGAGTGGCCACATAATGACTTCCCTTCAACCTGTAATTGGATCGCAGACGAATCGAATATGTTATTGGAGCAAAGGACCACATCTGTGACTCACTTCTTCACTTGTCTCTCGTGCATCTCAGGTTCCTCCTTAGTGGATGCCTCTTGATGATTTTTGGCGTTGGCCCCTTCTTCACCCTGGTAGCTCTACGACTGATTGATAACTAATGGAGCTGGATCCGGACCCAGCTACGACGACGGCTAACAAGTGCTGAAGCTGCCTGCAATAAAGAAAAGCAATATAAAACACACAATTAGCCTTTGTCTTTGCCTTAACAAGTCAGTTTAGAACTTTTAATTGGGGCGATGAAAGTTTTATTTTACTCTAAAATCTCTATCAATCCAAACACACACAAACACATATGTACATGCTGCTAAGCACCCACCCGAAGGAATCATATAAAATAATTCGTTCAAATTTTTGAAACTGCAAACATAAAGTTTTATGACTCAGTGTTTGGTGCTCGTAAAGGTAAATAGTAAAAATTTTAGTACTATTGCAGTTGATGTTTTCAGTCTAAAACGCGCCATCTGACTCGTAAAACATTCCAGTTATGAAAAGTTTTGGTAAAAGCATATAGTTTAGTAGGATATGGTTTTTATTATTTTAAAAGTGGTCTCATAAATAAATTTTTTCTTTTAAGTAACCAGTCACCCTCAAAAATGGATCCTTTTGTAAAATCAGAAACAAAATGATATATACATATAAGATAATAAGGAAAGTTTTTCTGGTCGGAATTTATCGGAATCTCTTCAAAGTACACTCATCGTGGATCGTAGATCTTGCATAACTTATATCAATTTATTAGTCCCCAGTTAGCTGCAGGAACACACCCTGGGTAATGATTGGAACTGCAGTTCGTTGCACTTTTCGCTCGTTCCCGTTAAATGCTCCCCCTCAGCCACTCAAAAAGTTGGAGAAATTCGTTCTTTCAAGTTCATGGCAGGGAAATTGAAGTTGCCTGTCCTTCGTCGTTCCTAGTCGTCGGTAATTTGTCACTTGGTCACGTAGCTCTCGGTTATGGGAGCGTCACTCCAGCCAAGGTGACAGTTGATAAAGGAGCGGCACCTCAACATCTCCGGCACCGTCGACAACATCGGGGGTGTGAGCGGGTTAAGGGCAAACTGGTTACGATATTCGCCGCCAACTTAATCTCTGACTGTGGCCCATGTTCCCATGAATTTGTTTACGCACCTTAGCAGGCATAAATCGGAATTTTTTAGCATTTTTTACACTCGAATATGGAAATCAACAGGTTGCACTTATCTAAAAAGAATGTGTATTTATCACTAGTAGTTTTTTTCGTTCCAAGTATAATACTCCACCACAATGTTCATCTCTGATACGTTTCATTTATTTCCCGACATATCATTATCGCCTGACACTAGCTGATAAAATTGAGTTATTGCCCCGATTAGGCCAATTAAAGGGTGTTGTTATCTGGCCTATTCGCCGTCTGGCAAGGGGATCCTCCTATTTTCCTCACAAAAAATGAAAACCCCGACAGGCCGTACGGGCCAGCCTTCTTATTATTTCAGCTGAAGCCAATTTCTGAGTGCATTTACATTTGTTCCCTGCCCGGCGGTCAATCGCGATACAATTGTCAGTTGGGATCTGGATCTGGGGATCTCTGGGGTAGTGTGAGTGGTAGTACGGGAGGGGAAAGCCTTTTGCGGTCTAAAGTTCAGCAAAAACTTTCAAGTTCAATGCGTTGATTTGAGCGCCTAGGGACACTGCCGTACACACATATATTGTACAAATATCCGCATTTATGGTGTGGGCGGTAACGTCGTCAAATGAAAAATCGAACCAAGGGGATTGGGGCGACCCTTTCATCTGGGCCTGGACATGGACCTGAACCTGAACCTGGATCTAGGTTTGGGTCTGTGTGGTCCCAATGGCTGTTTCGCTGACCGACCACTTCTATCACTTGGCGGCCATCAAGCCGGCGTGCTCGCCAGCTCAGCAGCAACTCCCATGCGTCGGATTTCCACTCCGACTCCGGCACATTGATTTGTTTATGCGGTTTTTGGGGTTTGTTTTGTTAGGCCTGCCTTAAAGCCTTTTCCTTTTGCGGCTCTGCCAACTTCCAACTGGCAAATGGAATGCCGATGCCAATCCAAATGAGACCGAGAATGAGATTAAAATGTGTTTGCTCTTGCATTTGTGCTGTGATGTTACCTTGGCCCATTGCCAGCCAAGGGGTCTTAACATTTAACGCCACATAAACAGCCTTAATAAACCATGAAAGCCTCGAGAACTCACTCGAGAGCATCGTAATCTGCATGCACATATGTATTTATGAACTATATTTTCTGTATTAAATATATACACGGCTAAAATGAAAGCTTAATTCTAATGATTATGGTTAATGACTATTTTTAAATGTTGATATTTCTAACCGATATTTCTTTCGAAAGAGGTATGTATGTATATATCAACTAAGATAAAAGAAACTACCTTTCTTCCGATAAAGAAAATCTTAGGATTTACCTTAAAAAAATTAAATATTTCGTTTAGAATACTTTTTAAAGAGCCAAATAATTTTTTTCACCGTTTTTCCAAAGGAATGGTCATTTAACATAAATTGGATTATCCATTAGGAGGCACCCTTTTTTTCTTTTAGTGTGTCACATGCCTTTGGAATCGCTCGTAAAGTGTTTTAGGTGGTCCAGGTTACACGATATTTGCATTTTGTCGCTCGACCGTTAAAGAGGTGGCGCCTCCGCCCGCGAAGGCATTGTCTTCGATGGATTTCACAACTTTCGCTGCTTCCGCCCGAATAAAGACAACAATAGCCCACGAGCGGAAGTCGTTGCCAGCGAAAACGAGAAGTTAATTTGCCACAATTTGTGTAACACTCTAGTGCTGAGAAGTGAGAAACCAGGCGCCGAGAGATTGACCACAAAAATGTATTCCATTTTACTGTGGTCAAGTGACATTAAAGGTTGAACGAACGAGTAGGAACGAGTTGAACTTGCGGCGGTGGACGAAAAAGTTGTGGTCAGTGCAGAGTTTGTATATTTCATGGCCAGAGCCATATTTTGGGGGCGCGGTTTAGAAAGTTTTCTCGATATGCGCTGCGATGTGCATACATGAAAAACTGGGGCAAGGCATTCACTAGAACTGCAGGCCCCACTGCCACTGCCTCTAACAGTGCAGCCTGTGACTGAAAATCTGTAACACTCGACCACAGTCGGTTGCCTTTCACAAAATCAGCAAATACATAGTCTGGAAAAGATCTGACAGTTTCGCAGCGAGGAGGGCAGCCGAAATTGTAATCTGCATTGTCCAATAAATTTCGCCACATTGTCCCCAGAAGTAGAGTTTTTAGAATATATAATAACACACTTTGTGTTGTCATTCTAAGAATTTTTTAACCATTCAAAACGGTTACGCAGTCAGTGCTCTTTTAAAATTCATAAATCTAGGATCATTGTTTTTTATACGGTTTTTAAATTCAGTTAACGTTTTTCAAAAGTCAAAAAGGAAGTTGGAAGCTTAATTTTAATTCTTTGAAATTAAGTTGTATTTCCTGCCTTTACCTAAAATAGCATGAATTGAATTTCGATAACTGGAATTGAAAAGCATGCTTTTTAGCCAAAATCATAACTATGAAAGCTACTGGCCTTTTTTAATTGGCCCCAAAAACATTGGCTAGAAACACCCTTGCTTGAATTGCAATTAAGCTGTTACGACTCTTGGTGCATGAATCTGATAATCAGCATAAAATTTTATTGCATTGTTAAAAGCTAAACACTTAATGCTGATTTGCCTCGGTCTTTAAACTCGAAGCGTAGAGAACTGGATGAGGATCGTGGTCCACAATATAGTGTAGTATTTATATGGGATGCTGATGTTAGACACTAAGTAGCCATGGCTGCCGCGCGTTAATCGCTTTTAATTGCTAAATTACGCTCTGCATGGCCGACATTGCGACGAGGGTCTCTCTTGGAGCCATCCATACAGTTGAGACCCGAAGATGTAGCAAGAGTTGGGGGGACATGGGGCATGGAGCTGGAGGCTTGGAGACATGGCTGCGGCTGTTAACACACTGGCGACTCTGGATCTGGGACTGGCCGGCCAACTGGCCAACACTAATGCGTGTAATTAGCCGCAAAAAAAAGCGGCAAGACCACTTAACTGATTTATTAAAACGTTTTTCCATTAAATTTTTAACCCTGCAGGCTATTAAAAACACTAACAGACGTAAAAAGAGGCCGCAGAAGGGCGCGCAGACTTGAAAAATGAGCAGCGTTTAAAATTATTTTGCGTTCTTGTTACCATGGGCAAAATTAAAAAAAAAGGCCAAAAGAAAAAATGTTTTTTGAAAACATAGACTTTTTTCATTCTTGACGTTTTATACTTTGAGCTATAAGGTACATAAACTACATTATTTATATACCAGACAGTTTTTATCTCCCATTTAGGCTTAGTTTAATCCACTGTGCTTAGAGGGCTCTATGTAAATTGACGCCTGTTCACCAACAACAACAAGTGGACCCTAAAAATTTAAATAGGCGGTCAGTTGGCGGTCAAATCCCAAAAACCCATCCGAAAACCCTAAAAAAACTTTCTAGCAATAATGCTCGCTCACATCGTCTTTCGCTGTCTGGTTTTTGGCCGCAAATATTCAATGGCAAGGGAACAAAATTAATTATGGCCAAGTGCGTCGATGAAAGTGCGATAAAGGTGCCATATTTCTTTTATTAATTTTTAAGCCATTTGCGCTTAAGCCATTAAAATCAATTGCCAGGCAGAAAGAATCGAATGGAAACAGAAATCAAACAGAAACCAAACCGAGACCCGAAAAGAAGGTTGTGGTGTGGCATTAAATTGGCATTCGTTGGATGTTGCTGTGGTATGTGGCCAAACCAATATTAAATCTCAACACTCGTGCAGAGAAAGTTGGCTTAACGGCCTAGGCAAAGGCCACTTCCACATCCATTTCCTCCCCCAATCGCCTTGCTTTGGCCCGGCTTGTGACCGAGCTTACATTTTTTTCCCTCGATTCTGTTTAGTTGTTTTGTTTTTATTTTTTTTTTGCAACTCACTTTAAACAACAAAAATTGTTTACACCGATTTGGCCCGAAGTTCTGCAATTGTGGCAACTAGCAAATGAAGCCGTTGGCTGTTTTCAGCTGGCCTTTGGCCAAGAGACCTGAGATGAATTGTGCGTACTTGTAAGTAAGGTGTCTGGAAGGTCCGATTTTGCCTAAATTTTTTGACTGCGTCACGTTTGCCACATCAATTTCAATCAACCTGAACCCGTCCCTCCCCTGGCTTCTCCCCAATCCTACTCCCAGCTAGTGGTAAAAAAATATATTCTATTTATGCCGTTTTTCACTTCAAACGCAACAGTTGTCTTGAAGTAATCTCTAAGGCAGGGTTCCAGGGTGCCTGGGATTGTCTGTTCCAGTAACAACTGGTTAGAGCTAAGGAGTTAAGGAGCTTAGCTAGCCTACTTGAAGACATAAGACCTAAGGATAATTTGCAGATTTTGGGAATTGGGTGTACAATAAAATAAGAAAAAAGGTACATACGAGGGGTCAAAGAAATTTCATTGGTGTTCAAAAAGGCAGCTCTTTCATTGTTTAATAAAATTTTCCGCCTTAAATTTAGTTCAACATTTCTATAACTTGGCACACAGCGTTGAGGTCCATTTTGTATTACAATGAAAATTATTATGTTTTATAATATTGAAGAATGCCTTTCCCATGAAACATCAGAATATTATCTTACCAATGAATTCAACTTATAGATAGCTTACTCTTTGTCTAATAAAAGTTTTCGGTAGTCTCTTGAGAACAGCTTGTCATTATTTAACTTTATTTTATATGTAAAGGGGACTTCGCTATTGGCACTTCATTAGCACACTTTTCTAATATGGTTATGTGGGCGCCCGCTGATTCCACTTCTGGCTTAATGGGGTTAGAGTCGTATACGAAAGGCGTCGCCGTTGGAGTTGTCGCCTTCCGGCGTAATTGCACTCCCATGAAATACGCACTTTGGAGGGAAATTGATTTCACATCGACTCGAGCACTGGCAAGGGTGCCATACATTCTCGTGGCCACATAATGATCTGTGGTAACGGGTGGATTTGTGGGCACATTAACTGGCTCTCCGACCAGAACCGATAGAGATCGTCGGGCTGGATGGTTCTCGTCGGGATTCATATCTGCGGCACACGGTCTTAATGGCAGCCCGAAAACAATGCGCATAATAAATATTCTAGGTGGTTTGGTGGTTTACTAAGAGTCGGAGAGGTAAACCTGTTTGTCGGCATATTTATGGGCAGTCTGGCGTGGCAGTCTAAACATTGTGGATTTCTTTTAGTGCGAGTATCTAAGAATCACGCTTAGTATCTTTTGGGTGAGTGCAGCCGTACCGTTATGACTTTTGTTTTGTTTTCTAGCTATGTATTTTTTTTTTGTCTTTGGTTTCATAAATAGTCCAAATAACTGCAAAAGTGAAGCGACGAGCCTTCACATGCAGACATACTTAGAGTCAGCTATTTTTACTGCCCATAAACCCGGTCTGCGCCGTAATCTATTGATCTTTTATCCACTTTATAACATGACGATCGAATTACACACAAGATTCAGCTGGAGCTTACATCTCGGCGGGAAAGTCCCTAACTGAAATGTTATACATTAAATTATATAAATGAGGCTACGGTACTGCTGGTATGTCTGTATGATTGCACAACTGGCTCTGGCTAATGTTTTGTCAACATCAATATCCGTAAGCACACTTGCCGGCATAAAAAGTGAAACCTTGCTATTGGTTATTACCAATAATAGAAAAATGCATATGCAAACTTAGGACCCCTAAGATCGTGGCTCCACATCTCCATGTCCAGATCCAACTCCAGCTTCAGCTTTAGCTGCAGTATACAGCTACCGCCTTGGCCAGTTTCCCACGCTAGGCTGCAGCTGCTCCGATCGGCGTTCGAGAAGGCCCAGTTGGTGGCACAAGATACAAAGATACATGCGAGTATTCTAATGGGCTGGGGACCCGGTGCAAGATTAATTAATATTGCAACTCGTTAACGGCCTTGTTTTTTGCAATTCATTGTCTTGCAAGAAGGAAATTCCAGCACTTTTTTCCTGATCTTAGTTGCAGGAACTCCATTTCGTTTGGCTTAATTATCGTCGGATCCGTAATCGTACAGAGTCCGAGAATCATGTATGTTATGTGTATGCCAATGACGACACTGTGTTGAACTTAACGAATGCCCGCTAAGTATGAAACACAATCATGGGACTTTTTTCTTTCGGCTTTTGTATTTGCTGCTTTTTATTATTGTATCTTTTGGCTGCCATCAAGGTCTTCTGGCGGCAAACACAGATGGCGAGCGATTTATGGGAGGGGTGTTGCCTTTTATAATTTGGCAAGCTATTTGTGCCATGCTGATGATGTTGTATAATATTTGCTTCGCTTTCGGTAACATTAATATGTATATAATTTGTCGGTCTGCGATCTGCGTGGGCGTGGATTGAGAATCTCAGTCTTCCTATGAGAAAATGCTTTAATGTCAAGTGTGGCTCACAAAACTTCAGTTTACGGCATTGTTTCGGCCTTAAGCCGCTCGATAAAGCCGCTTGTGTCGTTCTTGTGACTCGATTGCTTCTCTGTTTGTTTGGGGCACATTTCATCAAACGCTTGTTCACTCAATTAGATGTCGAAACCAAGGACTATAACTCTCTGTTGGCATAACTCTGTGAATTTTGACTCCGAAATTGTGGTTTTCGCTTTTAAATTCAGGAGCGTTGAATGGAGATTGAAATTGAGCTGTTTTGCGTATTGACTTTTTTTTTTTTTGGAGAGAACACCAGTTTTGCTAATAAACCGTGCTTTGTGAAGATATTATAATCAAAAATAACATACAAAACCGAAAGTGTTGTCTGAAATCACATTGCAGTAAAAACTGTATAGAAATTTGACTTTGGCTGCCTGCCACATTCAGAAATCAGAAATCAAATATTAGAAATCCACAACAAAAACCGGTTTGCATCATTCAGTTAACAAGCAGTCAACTTAGCATCGATCTGCGACTCGATCAATGATTTACATAGCTCGAGTGCATCGCGGAATGTCTGATATATAATTCATATATACCTTTTTCTCGAATAATTTGCACGCAATGAGTGTGCAAGCCACACGGGGCATTAATTACATGTGATGTGGCGATGATGACATCACCATCCTTCGTCATGTGTCTGTTTTCCCGATTTCCATTGCAGATCTTGCAGATCTTAAATGTCAAATGAAAGTTGCAGCCTCAGTCTAGTACTGGGCATCTGTAAGTTCGCTCAACCTATTCAAAATATCTGAAGACTGCTTAGTTTACACGATGTTGTGTAACAGACTAGCTGAGGGTGATTAGCGTTGATTGATTTGTGTTTTTTTGAGCATTTGCATACCTCGAAGCTCGAACTCCTCAAGTGGCTAAGATGTAAACGCATCTTGGAAAAAGGCAGCTGCAAATTGACCAGTTAAAACCTGTCTGCGTAAAACCACAAAAACAGCGAAAACCAGCCGAAAAGTTACACAACTTTCGCAGCATCTTTTGACCGTGAGTACTGCAAAAGTTAATTGTTACCAAAGACTCCACACTACTCTCTAGGCGACCCCAAAAAACTAGACAAAGCTGCAAGCTCAACAAGAGATACATAAAATTATGATTATTATCAAAACATTGTCATCAGAAAGACCAGAAACACTTGGTCGCTGGCTGTGGTTTGTGGTTTCTAGCTCCTAGATGTTGCTGCTGCAACTTTTATTGGATGGCAAGCGTGCTAAGCTTGGCTGGCTTTTAAGCATAAACACCGCCAGTGGCGAAGACACGAAAAAATAGCCCAGCGGAATCCAAAAACAAAAAACTTTAAGCCCCAAAAACCAAACTAAAAAGCAAGTTCTGTTATGCACAGTGGGTTGCATGAGGAGGAAAGAGGTTTTTGTGTTTTGGGGCGGCTAACTATGGGAGCAGATATACTCTTAGATAAGTCGAAAATCACTAAAACATTAAACCCAAAACGAAGACATCTGAAAACGCTTTTCATTGTGCTGACGACAAAGTCTGGGGCGATATGATAATATCGTTAGCTATGTCGAGCTTGTAGTTGGTTAGGCAAGGGCTTATGTCGCAGCTTTTTCCGACATCACGAATGACAATTCCGGGGGCAAAAGAGAAAGCAATAAATTAAATGCATGTATACGGCCATTAAATTTCACTCAATGATCCATTTGGTATTGGCATTTCGTACAGGTCTCCGTCTGAACATGGCGCCTAAAGACAATTCCTAATATTGCAGTTTCCTGTGTACCAAGTTTTCACAGCCCATTTCGGGATTTCAAATGACACAAGCGCTGAAAGACCAACCAACTTATGTAGCGCATTCGGCATTTGTGTTTTTTCCAGTGCAGCTTTTAAAAGAGCGAATCATGCTCATATAAGGCCAGTCTCTTGCCACCGTTGTTGACACTTTCAGGGTCAACTGGTGGGTAATCAATGGTGTCGCCCACGCCTCCTACGACACGGAGTTCACCGACAGTATTGCGGAAATCACAACCGAAGGCAGCAGACGACAGCCCTAAGATGCTCCAAAATGCAATTCCATTGGGCCAAAAACAAATTGATGGCAAATAAACAAGTTAAGCAACAGACCACACCACGGACTCAATGGGAAAAGATATATCTATATACATATAGAAATATATTCCACTGCACTCTGACTGTCGCTGTGGGCTACAAAACAAATAAAACACGAAAAACGAAAAACTGGCTTACCTTCTCGCCTCATTGTTATACAGTTGGAACCGATGATGGTGTGTTGTGTGTGGTATTGTTTCGCTTATTTATTGTTAACGCTTTTTGCCAGCTACTGCGACAGGTTGTTAGTTTCTGCTGCTGCTGCTATTGCTCTGCTGTGGCTGTTGAACACATTTCATTACACTTCACTTGCTCGGGAAAACCGAAAAACAAACAAAAACATGGCCAGCAATGTGGAGAAATATTAATTTAAATGCCAGTAGTATAGGCGGTGACGTAGTCCCCCAGCCATAATCGAAGATATGCAAATCGCGTTGAAGTGTGGGCCAAAAACCTAAACTATTTCGTTGGCAGTAGTTCTGGCCAAAATGCCAACCAACACATACGAGTATGACATAATCGCTGGCATGAATGAATGAATGAAAGGCGTATTGCAGCTTCTCTACGGAGTTGGTTTGGACGGTTCGGCGTGGTCTTCGGAACCCGTCTAAGCAATGCTGGCTAAAATCTTCTGTTTTCGGGCTGCCCAGCAAATTGCAGCGCTATAATGAAATCGCCCATAATCTTGGCTAAGACTAATAATAGCAGCAGGTTTTGGACCCACACACACAAACACTCTTAGATACACTCTGGCTTAGACAAACAGAAACTCTCACAGATGGCTAACAAATTTGCCCAATACTCATATTTTTCTTTTTTTTTCTTGCCTACAGATCGGGCGTATACTTGACGCCGAAAAAATTCAAATGACACTCACGTAATCCGCTAAAAATAGTTTAATTTACTGCGCGCTTGTTTTTTTTTTAATTTTTGTTTTGTTGTTGTTGTTGGTTTTGGCCAACTTGGAGTCAAAATGCATCGACTGGCGTACTAAAGCCGTCAAATCAAAGCGAACCCGTCGCGATCTCGGCTGGAACTGATTGCCGGAGAGCTGGCCCAACACTCGGCAACTTGTGAGTGGACTAAACAGGTCTAAAATGCGGCTCAAACCGGTTCAGCTCTCGGCTCAAATGGCCTCTCTGGAGTTTGGATCTTTGCAAAGCTTTTCAGTTGTTTTCAGCCAGAGACAAATTTCAGTGGGAGAGACTCTTTGCCGGTGTCCGCCATCTGCACTTTGCACTTTTGGAGACTGCTTTTTCTTGTCAAACTGCATTTAATAACCGTTAACCGAAAGTTCTGCAACACGTGCAGTCTACATACACTGTAAAAAGAATTATGGAACTGGAAGTTACCGTATTACGGGGGGGACGAACGTCAGAACGAAAATATGTAGATTTTCGTCAGAACTTTTGTTGAAATAATTTTTTTAAATTTTTAATTTAAATTCCTAAAGTTTTGAAAACTTTGAAGATATATGGAGCGTAATTTATACATACATACATATATAATTACATAATACATGTGCAAAAAGATTAAAGACTTTATCTCTCAAGCAAATTTGTTTTAGAAGAGATAATATTGCCAACAAGAAGAAGAAATACATAATTTTAATTATACTATTTCTAAATTCTTACCAATTCTTAACAAATGCCTTTTTAATATGTTTTTAATTTCTTTATTTTTTCTTTGATTTAATTTTAACCTTGTTTTTGCATAAAAGTTGTCATATTTTCTCTAAAATTCTCAAAGTACAACTGCAGTGGAAAGGAAGTGGGTGGCTGGAAGAGGTTGGAAGTTTAGAATGCAGATTGAAGAAGTGAGGAGGTGGGATCAAGTAGCGGGGAACAGGCGGAGGCTTACTACATTAGGCTTCATTGCCTGTCAAGCCCCACTTTTAGTCAGCTGCCGCACGTGACTGTGCAATGCTTTTAACTGCTGGTCGGGGGCTTTTGGGGGTCAGGTCATGTGCAGAGGCGGGGCAGAGGGTCTTCATTTGCATCATGTCATTAGGATGAGTGGCATCGATAATGGGGCCAACACAGAGACTCTGGGTCCGTTTTGCTAGAGTTGAGTTGCTAGAGTTGCAATTGTGTGTTGTTTGGACGCAATTCTAATTCATTTAACAATTTAATTTATAGGCGACTTAATATAACAACTTTTATATTTCCACTGGCCTTTCAGTTACGGAAATGCTAAATTTAAATTAGATATTTGATTTAAAGGCTCATTTCATATAAAGCTGACATCATTTTTAATATTTTGTCTCAGGAATTTGATGCAGAATAGTGGCGAATCAATCCAGAAATCGTTTAAGGTACTCCGCTTGAGAATCGGATGAGAATTGGGCAATAGAGGACCCTATAGGCGAAAACCCCATTTTCGGGGAACCCATCAGGAAAAATGGACGAAAAATCTGAAAAATATTTTGTCTCAGGATTTTGATGCAGAATGGTGGCGAATCGATCCAGAAATCGTTTAGGGTACTCCGCTTGAGAATCGGATGAGAATTGGGCAAGATATAGCCATCACCGTGGACCCTATAGGCGAAAACCCCATTTTCGGGGAACCCATCAGGAAAAATGGACGAAAAAACTGAAAAATATTTTGTCTCAGGATTTTTATGCAGAATGGTGGCGAATCGATCCAGAAATCGTTTAAGGTACTCCGCTTGAGAATCGGATGAGAATTGGGCAAGATATAGCCATCACCGTGGACCCTATAGGCAAAAAGCCAATTTTCGGGGAACCCATCAGGAAAAATGGACGAAAAATCTGAAAAATATTTTGTCTCGTTTGATGCAGAATGGTGGCGAATCAATCCAGAAATCGTTTAGGGTACTCCGCTTGAGAATCGGATGAGAATTGGGCAAGATATAGCCATCACCGTGGACCCTATAGGCGAAAACCCCATTTTCGGGGAACCCATCAGGAAAAATGGACGAAAAATCTGAAAAATATTTTGTCTCAGGATTTTTATGCAGAATGGTGGCGAATCGATCCAGAAATCGTTTAAGGTACTCCGCTTGAGAATCGGATGAGAATTGGGCAAGATATAGCCATCACCGTGGACCCTATAGGCAAAAAGCCAATTTTCGGGGAACCCGTCACCAAAAATAGACAAAAAATCCAAAAAATATTTTGTCTCAGGATTTTTATGCAGAATGGTGGCGAATCGATCCAGAAATCGTTTAAGGTACTCCGCTTGAGAATCGGATGAGAATTGGGCAAGATATAGCCATCACCGTGGACCCTATAGGCAAAAAGCCAATTTTCGGGGAACCCGTCACCAAAAATAGACAAAAAATCCAAAAATATTTTGTCTCAGGATTTTGATGCAGAATGGTGGAGAATCGATCCAGAAATCGTTTAAGGTACTCCGCTTGAGAATCGGATGAGAATTGGGCAAGATATAGCCATCACCGTGGACCCTATAGGCGAAAACCCCATTTTCGGGGAACCCATCAGCAAAAATGGACGAAAAATCTGAAAAATATTTTGTCTCGGGATTTTGATGCAGAATGGTGGCGAATCGATCCAGAAATCGTTTAAGGTACTCCGCTTGAGAATCGGATGAGAATTAGTGAACATATAGCCATCACTGTGGGCCATATAGGGGAAAACCGTATTTTCAAGGGAACCTCACGAAAAATGGACAAAAAATCTGAAAAATATTTTGTCTCAGGATTTTGATACAGATTGGTGGCGAATCGATCTAGAAATCGATTAAGGTACTCCTCTTGAGAATCGGATGAGAATTGGGCAAGATATAGCCATCACCGTGGACCCTATAGGCGAAAACCCCATTTTCGGGGAACCCATAAGGAAAAATGGACGAAAAATCTGAAAAATATTTTGTCTCGGGATTTTGATGCAGAATGGTGGCGAATCGACCCAGAAATCGTTTGAGGTACTCCGCTTGAGTATCGGGTGAGAATTGAGCAAGATATAGCCATCACCGTGGACCCTATAGGCGAAAACCCCATTTTCGGGGAACCCATCAGGAAAAATGGACGAAAAATCTGAAAAATATTTTGTCTCAGGATTTTGATGCAGAATGGTGGCGAATCGACCCAGAAATCGTTTAAGGTACTCCGCTTGAGAATCGGATGAGAATTGGTGAACATATAGCCATCACTGTGGGCCATATAGGGGAAAACCGCATTTTCAAGGGAACCTCACGAAAAATGGACGAAAAATCTGAAAAATATTTTGTCTCAGGATTTTGATGCAGAATGGTGGCGAATCGACCCAGAAATCGTTTAAGGTACTCCGCTTGAGAATCGGATGAGAATTGGTGAACATATAGCCATCACTGTGGGCTATATAGGGGAAAACCGCATTTTCAAGGGAACCTCACGAAAAATGGACGAAAAATCTGAAAAATATTTTGTCTCAGGATTTTGATGCAGAATGGTGGCGAATCGATCCAGAAATCGTTTAAGGTACTCCGCTTGAGAATCGGATGAGAATTGGGCAAGATATAGCCATCACCGTGGGACCTATAGGCGAAAACCCCATTTTCGGGGAACCCATAAGGAAAAATGGACGAAAAATCTGAAAAATATTTTCTCTCAGGAGTTTGATGCAGAATGGTGGCGAATCAATCCAGAAATCGTTTAAGGTACTCCGCTTGAGAATCGGATGAGAATTGGGCAAGATATAGCCATCACCGTGGACCCTATAGGCGAAAACCCCATTTTCGGGGAACCCATCAGGAAAAATGGACGAAAAATCTGAAAAATATTTTCTCTCAGGAGTTTGATGCAGAATGGTGGCGAATCAATCCAGAAATCGTTTAAGGTACTCCGCTTGAGAATCGGATGAGAATTGGGCAAGATATAGCCATCACCGTGGACCCTATAGGCGAAAACCCCATTTTCGGGGAACCCATCAGGAAAAATGGACGAAAAATCTGAAAATTATTTTGTCTCAGGATTTTGATGCAGAATGGTGGCGAATCGATCCAGAAATCGTTTAGGGTACTCCGCTTGAGAATCGGATGAGAATTGGGCAAGATATAGGCATCACCGTGGACCCTATAGGCGAAAACCCCATTTTCGGGGAACCCATCAGGAAAAATGGACGAAAAATCTGAAAATTATTTTGTCTCAGGATTTTGATGCAGAATGGTGGCGAATCGATCCAGAAATCGTTTAGGGTACTCCGCTTGAGAATCGGATGAGAATTGGGCAAGATATAGGCATCACCGTGGACCCTATAGGCGAAAACCCCATTTTCGGGGAACCCATAAGGAAAAATGGACGAAAAATCTGAAAAATATTTTGTCTCAGGAGTTTGATGCAGAATGGTGGCGAATCAATCCAGAAATCGTTTAAGGTACTCCGCTTGAGAATCGGATGAGAATTAGGCAAGATATAGCCATCACCGTGGACCCTATAGGCGAAAACCCCATTTTCGGGGAACCCGTCACCAAAAATAGACAAAAAATCCAAAAAATATTTTGTCTCAGGATTTTGATGCAGAATGGTGGCGAATCGATCCAGAAATCGTTTAAGGTACTCCGCTTGAGAATCGGATGAGAATTGGGCAAGATATAGCCATCACCGTGGGACCTATAGGCGAAAACCCCATTTTCGGGGAACCCATCAGGAAAAATGGACGAAAAATCTGAAAAATATTTTGTCTCGTTTGATGCAGAATGGTGGCGAATCAATCCAGAAATCGTTTAGGGTACTCCGCTTGAGAATCGGATGAGAATTGGGCAAGATATAGCCATCACCGTGGACCCTATAGGCGAAAACCCCATTTTCGGGGAACCCATCAGGAAAAATGTACGAAAAATCTGAAAAATATTTTCTCTCAGGAGTTTGATGCAGAATGGTGGCGAATCGATCC